GTATATAGTTCTTTATCTGATTTAGGTAAATTAGATAGATTAGATAATATATCTATATCTTTAGTAGATTTAGGGGTATCTACTATATTAGATATAATCTGATCTTGTGATTCTAGCTGTTTAGGAGTCCTGGGGCTTATTGAATTTATAGTTTTAGCCCTAAAGGATTCCTTAGTAGCAGAAATAGGGGGTTTAATAGTCTTTTTAGCCCTTTTACCTTTCGGAATCCAGCCCTTAGGAGCTAGATTAGGAAATAATAGCCAGTAGGTATTAGTATTATGACTAATAACCTTACAGTGTTAGTAGTATTTTCCTTTAAAAGGCTTATTTTTATACAATTTATAATGCTTATATTTAAGTATTATAATATTCGTATAATGACTACCTTTATATATAGAAGATTCCCTACCCCTAGCTTTATTAATTAAGCTAGAAAATAAGGTTTCTACTGTATATGATTTAGGGTCATTTCTTAATAATTGGGTTATATTTTGAATAAACCCTTTATAGTTATTATTTAGACTATTAAGAACCCAGGCTATCACTACCTGATTAGGTAGATCAATACCTTTACCCTTAAGGTTATCTACTAAGGTTTTAACCTTATTAAGATATTCTTCCATTGAATTAAAATCGTTTAATCTAGTGTTAAAGAAATCTTTTAGGGTTAAATATTCAGTAGTAAAACCCTTAGGGTTATATAGGGCTTCTAAGCGAAGCTAGGCCTCATTAGCACTCTCTATATCTTTTAGATATAGGAGGGGCCTATTATCACAATAAAGCTTTAAAACAGATATAGCCTTATTGTTTTTAACACCAATAGAAGGAGTTTCTATAGGTGTATATAGGTCATCCTTTATTAGGGCTGCTTTAACCCTAATAGACTATATAGTATAGTTCTCCGAGCCCCTAAGTTTAGGGAGATATATCTTGTCTAGGGAGGCCATAGTAAGATATATAATAAATATCGGAGATTAGGTATATATATATAGTATACTATATAGTAATATATACTATATATAATTGTGAGAATATATCACTATATACTTAATAGTATATAGTATAGTACTATATTTAGTAATATAGTAATTCGGTAATTATTCGGAGAAGGCTCGGCAATATGTCGGTATTTCCTATTTAGGAAATATATAGCAAGCCGGGCTCATAACCTGTGAGCACTTTAGCAGAAATAATATTATAGCCTAATAGTAGGTTATAATATTTTGTAGGGGAAGGTGTATTAGGTAAGCTTTATCTTATATAATATTGTATTATATAAGATATAGAAAGGTTTATACTTAGCTTAAGTAGATAATAATAGGTGAGAGGTAAGAAAAGTTGTATTGAATAATTGTTTTCTAGCTAGGAATCCTCCATTCCTTATATAGGCAAGCTCTAGCAGTATAGAATATCATAGAAAGTCATTAATAATAGAATGACTTCATTATGATATCCTAGATTTATGGCGATATATTGTGAGTCATAATATAGTTTACCGTAAATAATATATCTAAGGTTCTCTTAGATACTACCGGTAAAATATATATCTTATGCTCACACACCATAGTATATATCTTACAATTACTATTATGCTTACACGCACTATTCCAATATAGGTATTATTACTAAGCTAAAAACCTCGGGATAAACCTCTGATTCCATGATTGTAAACATGGTTCGATCGAAGCTTATATTCAACCCCATTTCTACACCAATCTATATCATTTTTTTACTCAATAGAGCTCTCTGACGAAGAGAGCTTTGCTTTATTATTGATATCTCAGTATATCCTTGATATTGATACCCCAAGACCTCGCCGCCGCCGGCAGTGTAAGGGGGATAGAGCCTCCATGAATGGTCTGATCGGACATGCGAAAAGAGGACTCGGTATTTACTTCGAAATACTTCTATTTATATATGATTTACTAAGATAAATAGGTTCTCTAAAGTAGAGATAAGAGCTTTACTTCCATATCTCGCCTTAGACCAATGTGTATACACCTATCGAATCTCTCCGACCCCCGAGCTCGCTCTCTACTTAGTCCTTACTAAGTTAAGCTTTCCAATCCGATATATTAGTGGCCTAGATATTATTTTTCGGCGTTCGGTAGGGTGGCTATATAGCGTATACACAGAAACTATCCTATTTCTATATAGGCGGTTTCGATCTATACTAAACTAGCACCCCTCCCTTACCTATGAAAATATAGAGATCTTTGCTTTAATTATCCAAAAAGAATATGGTATATAGGGCTTTATTGATAGAATATTTCGGCCTATTACACGGCCTAAGTTCTATTAAATTGCTTTATACTTAGGGTATAAGAAGCAATATAGAATGCGCTTCTAGGTAAATTTATACCCCTTTTTAATTCTAATAATATTCTAATAAACTATATAGGCTATCACTATACCTAATAGCTTAATTTCTAGCTATATAGGTCCCTTTTTAGGCAAAATTAGCGATACTAGACTATAGAAAATCACTAATATACAGTAGCGGCTTTAGGCTATATTTGATAGCTGCCCTCGCCCTCTTCTTTTATATGGTAATTTAGCATATAGCGCTTGCTATATGGTAATTACCCTATATAAACAGACAGGTACGTAGGGCCTTACTCCCTATCAGAAGGGGTTTAACCTAGCCCTTTTAACTAAGCGGATTAGTATTAAGCAATCCTTTGGCCATATTATCAATATATATAAGGAAATAGAGCTAAAACTAGCTCAGCGTAGCGGTTAGCAGCCCCTAGGGGCTAAGTATCTTATTGCTATTTTATTCACTAATATTAAGATATATATTAGGGGAGAGAACTAGATATCAAAGCGCTTTAGTATAGATCCCCCTATATTAGAAGAATATCTTTGTATATAAAAGTGAGTGATTTACTATCTAATTTAATCAATTATTATTAGATATAGGCCCCTATACTATACTCCTTAGTAGGTTCATCATCCCCTCTATTATAGCAACTATAGTATCAATTCGACTATTAAGCTTATTTTCTAGCCTGATTAAATCGGCCTTTTTAACACCAATAGGAGCTACCTCACTACTAGCTACTCGGCTATTTAGCCTACCAAGGAATATAGCCATTTCGGTTTATAGGGACTACGACGATAATAATACTAAGGATAATAGGAGAGAGGGTGGTAGGGTTCGTAGACAGGTAGCTAGACGCTCACTCTCTAGTAGTAATAATTAGTAAATAATAATATAATAATATATAGTAAATATTAATATCAATATACCTACTTAGAGACCTCGATCCCTAGGCCTTTTATCCCTTACTCTCTATACCAATTCATTAGCCATATTATCGCGTATAGAGTTAGTATATACCTACGCCTCTATTTCTATATTTATAAGCTCCCTTCGTCGACTAACAGCAGCTAATTTCTCCTATAATACTTCATATATCTCATTAGCATATTCAAAAATAGTAGCTTCTATAGCGCTCATTTCGGTGCGGCCAGTCTCTGGTATAGTAAGTATACAAGCATACTCTTTAAGCCTATCGGTGATATGCTTATACACAGTCTGGTGGTTGATTTTGCGCCTAGTTTCTATCCTCCATACTACTCTAATTGCTTCGTAAAGATTAGCATTACCTTTCATAGTAATAAACCCATCTTTAAAATTGATAGCAATACAAAGGAGATTAAGATCATCCTCCTTAGTAAGAGGCGAAGCCCTAGTAATTTGACTAGTAGTAGTAGTCAATCTACTACTACTAGGTATAGGCGTTGGCGTAGCTAGCGAGCTAACACAGGGGGACTGTACCCCCCTAATCGTAGGGGGTATCGAGCCTAGCTGGGAGGCGAGGCTACTACTCTCTCGGCGGGGGATTTCGCGTAGGGGGGGGTCCCTTTGGGGGTCCCTTGGGGGGTTGGCGTAGGGTCCTATTCGTAAAATTCAACGCTATCAAGCGTAATATCGGGGGTTTGGGACATAGTTAAGGTGTAAAAATATAGTGGTAAATAGCAATGCTAGTCAGTATAGAGTAGTCATGAAGCCTTCGAGATATCTACGCCTTGCTTACGAATTTTAATAAATTACATGTAATAAAAATTAGATCTATAGTAGGTTTAGCGGTTAATGAATTACGTGTTTTATATCAATATTTCTTGGCATTTCAATTAATTGAGCAAATGCTCGGAATATTTCTACAATTAATTGTAGCGCCAAGAAATATCTAGTGGATACTCGATTTCTTTTCCGCCTGCCTAATGCATAAATCCACTAAACTATATTAGGAGGCAAGCGAGCCCGGCCGAGCATTTCGCCTTAGCTGAATATGTCTATTAGCTCCTGAGCTAGCTGTGGGCCCTCTTCGATCCACAAGGCCGCTTCATGAGCGGTGTGCCTAGTTGATCGAGTGCGCTTTTGGAGTTTCTTTTCATTTGTTGCGCGTGGTGTTCTCTTGCGCAAGTAACACGGTATTGTGTAGGGCTATACAGTGACTCTTGATAATCCGATCAAGCATTATTTTTTAACAGTGTAGGTGGGCTTTTTGATCGTTGCTTTAATAATAAATCTTCAAGCATCGAAGCTTGCTTATCATTATTTTGGGTGTTGTTGGTTTAAATTGGCTAGATCTACTGCCTGGTCGGCTGCTTGGTGGTGTATTGTTTTGAGACAGATATTAAGCCTTGAAAGCACCCTCTCTGCATTGACTGGAACTATACTAGTAGCCGCAAACCTGCTTCGAACGATGTACGGGCGACTAAGTATGCCACCCGTAGGGGTGTACGGCTCGGCCGTAGATTACGTTAGTGCTTATGTGGGCCCCGGGGGCAGTAGCCAAAAGGTTGTACCTACTTAGGTAGGTGTGTACTGCGCCCTGCGTCCGGGCGGTCGGAGTCAAGTCACCCCACCCACCCGCCCGCCTCAGCCTCAGCCTCACAAAAACTAACACACCTCCTATTCAGTCATTACCAACTGTCTTTCTAGCAACTACGTAGCGAGAGAAAACATAGTGGCACGCCCACTGCACATAATGTCGGGCCTCGAAGTAGTTGGAATCGTCGCAAGTATCCTGCAAATCGCGGACCTTGGAGCCAAAATCTCCGTCAAGCTCTGCTCTTTTTACCACACCGTCAAAGACGCCAACCAGTCTATGCAGAGTCTCTCAAGTGACGTCTCTCTCACTTGCAGTATACTACAGCAGCTTGGAAAGGTACTCGAGAGGGATGAGAAAACTAAGATTTGCTCCCAACAGGCTTTCCGCACAGCTCAGGATGTCCTAGGGGAGTGTAAAACGGTCTTTGAGGGCATTGACAATGCAATGGAAAAGCAAAAGCAGGAAGGTGCAAGAAGCGCGTTTTTGCGTGGAGCAAGGAAGCTTACGGTCGCATTCATGGGCCCCAATCTGGATCTGCTCAAGAGTAACCTGGAGAGGCTCAAATCTACCATGTTGCTTATGTTACATGTGATCATGTACGCTGAGCAGCTTCGCCAGTGTGTTCCAAAAAAGTCAGACCAAATTCCAAACGAATACTAATCATTATCTAATAGAAGAGACGAGAAGACACATACGGGCAACCAACGAGACTTACTCGCAACCCTGCTCGAAGAGAAAAAGGCCAACGATACTAGGTTTACCGAACTCGCCAAGTCAATTGAAGCAGTGAATCTCAACAGCCCCATCCAGACCCTGGCAGTGAAAGATGAATCCACAATACAACCGATTCAAGAGCTTGGGAATTACTACAGCCTTGTGAGCAAGTTGCTACGGGAGATCGACCTATGCAAAGACAGTCTTGAGAACAGTCGTCATCATCGAATGCGCATTGGCGTTGTAAATATGCACTCTGCGGAAGCTGCAATTTTGAGACATACCTACGGCGATATACCAATAAATTTATGGGAAGAGAGCCTTAAGTGTGGGTTGAACTCAAAATCCCAAGTACCAGGTGAGATCAACACGAAGCAAGGTACTGGGAACGGCCAGGGCCATGGTATAACTCGTCCATCTACTTGGCGGCCGAATAAGGTAGCCATGCAAGAAGAACCTGCGCAGGACGCTGGTGCCCTTATCACTATTGTTGTCAAAACCTCGACAGCTAGAGAATGGACGATGACTCTCCCGGTGTCTACGTTGGTCTCGGAACTAAAGCTGAAGCTCGAAATGACCGAACCTGATAAGTCCGAAAGCTCCGATGAGTTCAAGAGAGTTCCGGCCGACCATCAATGTCTGCTTTATTCCGGCAGGATCTTAAAGAATGCCGACACACTGGGATCTTACAAGATTAAAGATGCACATACCCTTCACATGGTACGTGCCAAGGGCAGCAACCAACAACGGCCAATGACGATAGCCACACCCGCTGAAAAAATGGCAAACTATTTTTTGAATGAATATCTTTCGCAATGGACAACGCTGTCCGGTGACGAGATACACGCGGAGTAGATGCCACGGGAATCAGCTTGGGAAAATCGCTCCCCCCGCCCCAGATGTCAATCGTGTGAGTTTCACGGATCACTCAAAGAGGACAAGAAGCATTTAGGGTGTGTCTCGTAACCCTTGGCAAATTATGAGACGCTTAGATATAAATCAATGCTGTTCACAGCAAATCTTTGTGTCAAAGCTTACCTATCATCCCACCCTGATGGACCCCCAATGCACCAAGCGCTTTAGTAAAGCAACTACAACAAGCAGAGGGTAGCTCCCAAGCTGAGACTGCCGATTCAGATGTCATCTTGTTTGCGCTGTTTGCATGGAACTTCTTATGTGTTCCAAAGGTCAATTGTAGGTGTTGTATCAATCTGTATAAAAGAACATGGTATTATTACGAGTAGATACAAAACGTGTTATTATGCTTTATCATGTGATTAGGGTTTGAAAGAGCACTATCATGATTCCGACATAGAAGGCGATCCTGGGCGGGTCTGTAATGGATATTCTCAGAAACGCTATCACATTAATTCATGCAGTCTAGTCACTGGAGTCATGCTTCCATTGACGTTGCTGTCTCGTCATTGTTTTGTTGTGGATGTTTGCCACTTCACGAAAAGGGCCCAGCTTCAGATGTCTGAGTAGTAGGCGTATCTGTATATTCTACATTGACAAATGTAAAGTCTTGAAGCTCACTAAAGGCACAATTATACAAGCACTGTTGGTCAACACATTTGCAAACACAATTCCTTTTCTTTGTCCCCTGATATATATATATCACCACACTCCCAGACCCCTACACCGCAAATCGAGATGGAATAACCAAGAAACCAACAGAACTGTTTGATTTTGGTCTAAAGCTTAATCTTCCGCCATATCCTACCAAGCGCTAGCCAGATGAATCATATTTTGGTCTTAACATAAACGGTCATAAGTCTTTGGGTGTCGGTCGCAGAGAATAGGATGGATCCAATGGCCATGCTCTGCTAAGAGGCCTTACAAGTAGCATCAGCTCTGGCTGACTGACCGACTTTACAAGTCCGGGGATCGGGGTATGGGGTAGGGTCTTTATATTGAGGTTCAGTGTGGGCACGCCGGAACCCACAGGCCAGGAAAATAAGAAGAAAATAGATGAATATCGCTTTGCAATCGTGCCCTGTCAAGAGTCAAAAGGGACATAGTTATGATATAAGATGTATCTGGGAGGTTCATGCTAGTATTTCATTGCTGTTAAAGAAACTATCATGAGCGCCTGAGAGATGCACTCCTCATGCTTCTTTCCCATGTCTCAACTCCTGGGTAAGTATACCTACAATATGAAATGGGTAATCGAGAGTGCTTCGATCTTGATGCCTCTAGTTCCAGACCAGCTGATGAGTCTTATTTCCCCTCCCTGTCTTGAACTATGTTTTCTACTTGTATGGCCAGACTTGAAGGTCTATGGATTCACCGAAGCTGAATGGGCCGACAGACAAATCAGAGCTTTTTGGCTATCCCAGAGGTTGCTGAAGAAGGTCGGAATTGGATAGCAGAGTTGAATAGAGGAACCCTCGCTCAGGGGTTGATTTAGTATGGGTTGTCCATTGTTGTAGCAAAATTCACCGAAAGAAAGTATTTGGGAGAATCGCAGAAGCAGTCGGCTTATAGTAGGCCATATACACCGGTTTCTTGCATCAATTGAACTCCGAATGTTTGTTGATGAAGGAGTACAGAGTATGGAGTAGTTTGCCAGGGTTTAGTCTCGGGGTCTGATGTCGCAAGGAATAAATGCAAGCTTCGTTGAATAAGTCACCCGGGGGATATCCATCTATTAAGCAGAAGACCCCATAGAGACAGAATTACTCACTTTCTATTGTGGGAACAAACAGATGTCCTGAAATCTAAGCCACCTGGGTAGCCCTGGAGTGAAAAACTGATTAGGTAAACCGCGGGATGGAGGCCGGGGCCTCCACGAACCTCCCTCCTACGTATCAAACGGCACCACATCACCGTCCACAGCCAGGGTCCCCAGGCTTCTCAACTCAATAATTCAGTGGGCTCACCTAAGATTATCCAGCGATACGAACAATCCGCAGCGACCGGACCCAACAACCGAACCTCAACCCGCAACCCAAAACCAACCTCACCACCCATCATGAGTTTCCTCTCCCGCGTGGTCACTCTCTTCGGCCTCGTCCTGATAGCCCATGCGTAAGTTCTCTAACCGATTTACTCAATAACCGTATCTACTTCATCTCGAGCAAAGCTAACAGCCCCTCCTGCAGAGGTTATTCGGCCCACGAACACACTGTCCTTTACAGCAACAACACATCCACCGCCCTCCCACAAGACATTATCATCGAGACCCTCGTTTCCGTACTAATCGTCTCAATCGGATTGGTCTTGAGCGCACAGAAGTTGAAGCCGATTAGCTGGCGTGAATGGGCTGGCGAGATTGAACGGAATGGTGGAGCGCGCAACCCATACCTGAGTTTGGAGGAGCGTTACGGATTCTGGGATATTCGGGTGAGTTTTGGATCGACTTTGATGCGTGTCTTGCGGAACAACATTTGGCTCTGAATTCGTTGAGGATGTGTATTTCTTGCTGGACACCAATCATCATTTTGGGCTAGGAATCTATGAAGCTAACATTTGGACAAACTAGACTAAGCGAAAGGAGTTTGCGGACTGGGTCCGCGGTCAGGATGTGTTGATCAAGGAGTGATTGTTGCTCAATCTTGGGTCTGTGATTATGTGCTGCAGTGGGGGAAAGCTGTATAATATGCATTGCGGCGAGGAGTTCAGTTTTCAAATGAGATGTTCAGGTTGTTGCTGGTTATCATATCTCCCTGTCCCGAACTGATGGCCTTGTACGGAGTACCGAGCTTGGATAATGATTACTGGCACGTGCTAGCGATGCAGGGGTGGCAAACCCACCCTTGATGGCGATGTACTTTGTACTCCGTACTCTAGAGGCAATCGAGAGGTCGCACAGACATGCCACTGGTAGGCCCGGGTGCTTGTGACCGAGGCAAGTGGGATCACTGCCATATATAGACGCTTTTGGCGCACCCGATTTGCATTCCTGCGCCACACCGCTGCAGGGTGGCGATACATATGAGTAGTCTAGGCCATAGCGTGACTCTACCGAAGTTATTATTACTCGGCCAATTATAAGCAAGGAGGTTACTGCCGTCTGCACGTTAGCCAAGGCAAGCTTATTTCAGAGTCCGAGAATGCTGGGTTGAGCACAAAAATGGTCGCAATTCCGTGGTACCTGGTGATGAGTACTCTGTAGAAGGGAGTAAGGTCAATTGCCGGTATACTCCATACACGCGTAGCCTGTATTCCTCTAGATTGCATTTGATGTAGTACATGTTTATATGATGTCGCTGTAAGACTAAATTACACCATATGCACATCAATAGTACGGAGTACGGAGTACTACGTACTATATGACCAGTTAGAATAAACACTGCAGTGCTCTGGGATCAAGCTTAAACCCCAAGGTGCACGGTACGAGTATAGTATATTGACCCTCTTTGTTCCCGTCAGGACTAAGTTATATTTCGGTCTAAGAAAAAAGAAAATATAAATATAGAGTCCCAAGCCGTTGACTTGTCTCAACAAGACCCACACATCAGGACGATCTGACGAGTCTTGTATTATGATGCCCAAAGTGCGAAAGTACGGATTACTCACAGTCGAGATGATTTGTGTACAATATACAGAGAGTTGAATGTATAATCGTTGATGCTGAAAATACCCTTGCATTGGTATCATACTATAATATAATATTATGTATCGGATAATGCCCCGGAGTCGAAAACAACAAGGCTGAGCTCGGCATACTTGATTGGGTGAGAGCCGGACAAGGTGATGTCTCACTTAGGACTGGTTTGACTTGGCAAGACACGTAGGATCGCGCCATTTGAGGCAGTATTAATTACTAACAGTTGATATTGAGTCAGAAAAATCACAAACCGAACTGGATTTGGCAGGAATTCGTATGCTTCCACGCGGTCAAGGGTATGTTTCACCTAGGGTAAGCTTTCAGGCGACTGAATTCTGACATTGAGACATGTCTACTCCGTACGGAGTACTGAGATTTTTTATTGTTTTTTATTATTTTTTATTATATTTCTATTTGTTCTGATCACTCTACCATAGTACAGCCCTGGGGTGCTCAGACGCTAAATTAGCTAGTGTTTGGTGCATATTGCCATCCCGTCTGCCAACTATGCCAACTCTTCCAACTATTTCAGAATTCCCTTTGAAGACGACTCACACATTCGATATAAAGTGAATCCATATGTATTTGATTATACTTGCCACATCAAATTGTAGAGGCAAGTGTATAAATCAACATGGGGAGCTGACGGATTGGTGTGACCCCAGAAATCGACCGAAATAGAACTGCAACACCTTGCAGATCCCAAATGGCGCTAGATCCAGACTCTGTTCGCTGACTGGAGCAGAATGTCTATTGACAAAGCCACCTTAGGTCTTACCTGCGCAGTCGACAACATGAGACTTGTCTCCCTGGACAACCAACGCCTTTATAATCCCCCCTCCCCCAGCCTTTCATTTTTGATATCTCATTTATTTTCACTCTCCAAATCTCTACTTACAAATAATTCACCAATAATCTCTAATCTATCACAATGCGTTTCTCCATTGTCTTCACTACCCTCTCGGCCATCGCCTTGGCCACCGCTCAGAGCGATGTCTCCATCCAGGTAAGCGGAAACAAAACATCACCCCATACCACCAAGGACAGCAGCTAACCTTTTTAACAGACTGTCGAGAACCCTGCCACCCAGTATCTGACCCAGACAAACTCTCTCGGTGTCGTGACTGGCCAACCTGAAGTCGTCACTTCCCAGCCCACTGCTGTCACCAGCCAGGCCGCTGCCGTGACCTCCCAGCAGCCCGCTGCCTCCATCCCCGCTGGTCTGACCTCGCCCGTCGCTGGCCCCGGCGCCTCTCACTCCACTCTCTCCACTGCCTCCAGCCGCTCTGCCAGTGACTCTGCTACCGCCACCAAGACCACTGACTCCAAGAGCACTGGTACCTCCACCAGCTCGTCCTCTGACTCATCCGAGTCCTCCAAGTCTTCGTCCAGCTCCAGCGCCAGCTCCAGCTCATCTGCTGCTGCTTCCAGCTCGGCCTCCACCGGTGGCGCCGCTATTGCCACTGCTGCCCCTGTCGGTCTCGGCATGATGGCCGGTGCCGCTCTCGTTGCTTTCCTGTAAGCAGATCACGAGTCTGTGACTGGCCAATGCCATTCTCCCATCTTCTATTGTGCTGTGATGTCCACTTCGGTCTTACTAGATGGAGACCATCTGGCGGTCGGTCGGTTATGTTGATTCATGATTTGGATTAACAGGAATGAGGGACATGAAAATGCGAGCATGGATTTTTTTCTGGGGATTTGCTTTCATCCCCCATGGGTTTCTATGGAATTTGTAATTCTTTATTGGGCAGGACTCTTGTGTTTGCTGCGGTGTACCTGGAGGCGCATATGCACGGCGCACCTGTTTCCAACCTTTTTTTCTTCTATCTTTGTGACTACCTTAATCCACCCCTGGGTAAATACGAGTTTTGCTTCCCTGTGTATTGAGTCTATCGTAATAGTTGCATATATATTTCTTCGTATGCATCGCGAAGTAGTATAGGGACGTAAAGATATTTTAATTTCTCAACAAGACCATAATGACAATTCACATGATCACCGGTAGCTGGCTCATATTCGCAAAAGCAAATCTTACTTATGAAAAGGGGCTGAGAGGCACGGACTGTGATGTATATCCTGCGACAGGTAGGTAGTATACAGTACGGAGTACATACCCTGTAGTCAATCATGTTCACAAGTGGGCGAATCCAGACTTTGTCTACTCCGTACAATATTGTATAGGAGCACGCATTTCATCACATATACCCCGTCCACCGGTTTCTTCAATGGCATTGCCATTGATATAAAGTCAATTTGAGTGCTTGAATTGGCATTCAATGAAAAACATCGTATTTCTTTCAAATGGGACCATATGCTATTATTGCCAAGTGAGAAACAGGTCGTGACTGTCGATCCTGCTAGGGGCATTCTGTACTTGCAAGAAAGATGAGCTTCACACCACGGCAAGCTTCATTTATTGGCGTGTAAATGGCCTGGCTCTTGATATAGGTCATTTTCAAGGACGCGAAGGTATAATTGGAAGTTCTAATGGAACAGAAATGAAAGAAAAGCAGGGAGGACACGGGCTCGGAGCATCAGCTTGGAAGGCTCCTTTGATATGAGACTCCTAGGGCTAAGGGTGTCTTTCCTCCAAATTGTGTATAAGATGGGGCTTTAATGATGGTTCTTTATTGTTGCTAGGCGCTAGTGAGTACCAATCTGGCTTTCAAGGTTCTAGAAAAAGAAATTTTTCTTGGAATCTGGTCCGAGATTCATGGTACGAATCAAGGCTCTAATCTGTTCGAAACAGAAGTCTAGCTTCGGAGAAGGAGCCTAACCTGAGTGAGGGTTAAGGCCAAGATTGTGAGGTATAGACCGAGGCTTTACGCCTGTGTGATATCGCATTGTCAACATGGGAGAGGCATATCTGAATGATTCCTATATCATTGTTCGAAATTTCTTCCAACACCTCATTCATGGACCTGTGCAATGACTACTCCTGCCACCAACACCCATCCGACAAACCGGGGTGATATGACGCACCCAATAATATACACACCCCCGAAAAAAGGGGTTATCTCTTGCCTACCAGCGTCCTGGATCTCATGTGCGCAGTTGATGCGGCTCCACAAACTGACCGGATTTTCTCTCATATATTCTTCACCCCGTCGGCATCGTCTATGCTGCCTCTCTCTCTCATTTGGGAAACTGCCAGCCTTTGTGCTTCTGTGGCAGTTATTCAAAGGAAGCCGAAGATTGTAGTAGAATATCGATATCTAGAGAGAACTCTACAGAGCTGACTGGCAATGCGTGACTTTTATAGAAAAATAGATGACAGATGCGTTCTGAACTGCAATAGTACTTAAGGCTCTATGGGGAAGCATGGATAATTCAGTAGGCTTCATTTATCTCATTTTTCAAGATATCCATAAGGACCTACTTATTCTTGAGCAATAGAAGAGCATGTACATTTGTCTTTCTCCTTCTACTATAATACTGATGTACACATCATTTGACCATATATAGTCAAGGGTCCCTAACCCTTTCCCTTTGATCCCAATTTTCTACGTTAGATGTCTCGGATAGCAAGGGCTACATAGCAAGGACGTGATGAAACATAGGGCTATCCAGACGTCCCAAAGAGGTAATATTAGTTACGCGCATATTACGCGAAAGATATCATGTGACTGACGCGGTACCGAAAAGGTTAGTGCGACCTCCACTCAAAACAAACCGTCGACGAAGTAACCATCTCTTATCATTGTGATTGTGATTGTTGTGATTTCACTGGTCCGGATCACTTTTTGGATTTCTATTCTCCGGCCTTGCTCTAGATTATTACTCTACCACTCAAAGCCTCAGCATGGTGAGTTGTCCCTGTTCCAATTAACACACACTGGTTCCCCAGCAACCAGTATATGCTTGTGCTCTATCTCTGACATGGATATCTAGCCGTCCAACTTGCGCCGGCTAGCTGCCGACCATGCTGCCTTACAGCGCGATCTTCCGCCATACTACTTGCAGCCATCGGATGGTGATGATATGTCACAGCTGACGGTTCTTCTCACGGGCCCGGCGGGCACACCTTTTTCACAAGGATTATGGGAACTCCATCTCAAGATGCCCGATGACTATCCCAAGAGCCCGCCGAAGGCTACATTTAAGACGAGGATATGGCATCCAAACATGGAGGAGCTCACTGGATCTGTCTGTGTGGATACACTCAAGCGGGATTGGCAGCCCAATCTAACCCTTCGCGATGTGTTGGTGGTAAGTTGGTCTAGGACCGCACCGGCGCGACGAGTCTCTACAAATACCTAACATATTTTTTTTCAGACAATCTCATGTCTGCTTATCTACCCCAACCCAGATTCTGCCCTCAACGCCTCCGCAGGCGCTCTCATGCAAGAGAACTATGCCGCCTTCGCACACCAAGCCAAGCTCATGACCTCAATCCACGCTCCCATCCCACCCAACCTCAAGGACGCAGTGACCGAAGCAAAACTCCGGGGCGAGGATCCAGGAAATGTAATCGAGCAGAAAGAAGAAGACGCAATGATTAAACGCCCGCGAAAACAAGCCCGCACCCACACCGCCACAGTCAAAAAACTTGCTCGCAACGCCAATGCATCCGAACAGCCGTCACAGTCTTCATATCCTTCACAATCCTCCTCAAACCCTTTCGCTCAACCCTCCCCGCCGGTGACAGACGACGCCATGAGCGACAGTGAAAACGACGACCCCGCTAGCGCAAGCAAAGAAAACAACCCAATCCTTTCCCCCTCTCCTGTCTATCTTCCTCCCCCAAGTCCCCGCAAAACTGCCTTAGGAAAACGCCCCCTCTCCGTTCTCTCAATATCCTACCCCGAAGACTCTGATGCAGACATGATGCTCATTGACTCCGACAACGACAACGATACTCCCGCCATGACCTCCAATGAACGAAACATCACCGCAAATACACATTCCCGTACCTCTTCACCGCTACGGAAAACACCTAAGCTCTCCCTACTCTGTGGAGGAGTCAACGCCTCCGGCCGCCTCCGCGATGAGATGCCAATCTTCGAGGATCTGCCCCAGCTGCCTATGCAAGACCCTCTCCGTCGGCTGAGCGGGGATGGCAAAGAGAACCGTGGATCTGCAACCGCGCGCAGTTTGAAAGAGAAGCGCGAATACCACCATATGAAGACAGTCAATGACTCTGCTCCCCCTTCTCCAGCACATGCTCAACTACCCACCCCATCACTCTCATCGTCACCTCTCTCGGCCTCTCCAAGTACTGGAATATCCAAGAAGAAAGCCACGAGCGGTGTACACAAGCGCCTTGCCGTCAGAGCCAAGCCGCGCATTGGTATTCGTCGACTATGAAGAAACCATCCATTTATCCGCGAATAGACGCAATATTGATGGATTTTTCTCGCGTTGCAATTTAGACCTCCGATTCTTTTCGATAATTGGAAAAAACCCAACTTATGACTTGATTGGAGCTAGTTCTTTCGTTCCGGTTTTGCTTACTCTCCCTCTATCCAAACCTATTTCACCACTCCTACCCCTGTTAGCGACATTTCTTGATACCCTTGATGGTCTGTTGAATTCAACTTGACTCACAAACTGCATGAAGCGAGGAGCGAGGAGAACTGTGTGGAGCCGATTCTATTACATTGCACTGGGAACATGGCCAGGCTGGGAAAGGTGGTCCTGGGGTTACAATCTGCATTGGCTTTGGCAATCTTTACCTGATTTTCTTTTTCATGTTCCTTTGAGAATTCACATAACACTTACATTTCTTGATGATTGTTTCAAGGTTACGTGTAAATATCGTAATGCCCGAGAAAAACAGCAGCAAAACCCTTCAGTGTATTCGTATAGGATGCCCGAATCTCGCAGAGTCCAGTTGGACGCTTAGCGCTGATGCTGGAATTACAGAAAGCTGCAAGTTATAGGAATTTGTGAGCCTGAACTAAACAATTCACTCAGCCTGATTCAAAACTCATTAAAATTAACCTAGGCAGGGAGTAGACGGGATACTGTATGTACTGCCTACGCATATAAGCTCTGGAGTAGATATAGGTAATACCATAGATTAATGGAAGGATTTCTGGGACTATCGAGCTATAATGTCCTTCCCAAGTTTCAATTCTCGAAAAGAAAAACCAGGCTCTGGCACTAAAAGATTTGCCCAGGTTTTAACTAAAATGCTCAAAAAAAGACAAACAACCGCTTTGCACATATAACAGGATAAGTATAAGAATCCCAGGACACGTCGGAAAGATGATGGGTAGAATTTGGGATTGCATGAAGCCACCACGAAAAAGCGTAACCAAGGAAAGATGTGCCGATAATGATATGTTCGATCCGCGCCGGGATTGGATTATGTCCGTAGGCGTGCACGAGACAACAGCATGCTTCGCTTAAGCGAAGGATTTGCAGAGTGGTCATGCAAGAAATATATCCCATGGAAGAAAACAGAGCCACGCTTCAGGCCTCTACAGGGCGTAGGGGTTGACAGATCGAACAGTGAGGCATCTGGAATGATAATCGGAGTCAGTGAGGAACGGTCATTTGAGAGAGAAGAAAAAAACAAGCTGAATGGGAATACATACGGAGGACTCTTGCTCAGGTCGGTCTTCAGGATGATGGGAACACGAGTCATCTCGGTGACATCCTGGATGAACTCTCCATCCACTTCACGCAGCTTGAACAGATTCAAGTACTTCTCTTTGTCGGTCAATTTGTTCTCGGGTGCATCACCGCTGCCAGAGGCAATCTTAGGATCCGAACGGGTACGGTGAGGTCCCTGCTGGTGGTGGCCGTTGCGCGTAGGCGATGGGGGCATGCTTTGAGTCGAACGGTCGGCGGAGTTGAGCGACACACCGGCTGCCATTTCAGTGACATCATCCACATCTTCATCGTCATCGAAGAGAGCATCGACATCGTCCGCAGACATTGTACCAGTCTCGGTTTGCTTACGCATGGCCTCATCACGCTCTCTGGCCCGCTCTTTGGCGGCTTCGGCCTCGCGAGCAGCGGCTGCGGCTTGAGCAGCACGGGAGTTACCGGGCTTGGGACGCTCGTCCTCGGGGATGTATGCAGACGAAGGAACACCCTTCTCCCAGTACAGCTCGAGTACCCGACTATCCTTACGGTATTCAGCCTTCTTGAGTGGCAGCTGGTCACAGTGCACACGCTTTTCAAACCCATATTCTGGGATGAGGACGTCAAATGCAGACTCGTAGACGCATAGTACAATACCCTCGCTGATGAGATCACCACCAATCTCGCGACTCTTGCGATCCATCTTACGACAGGCCTCAATGTGCACACTCTGCTCCTGAGCGTTGAGAGCGGAGTCCTTCTTGTTGTTGCAAAGATCGGCAGTTTTGGTCAGCGACTCGATATCGTCATTGAACTCCACGGTACCCTCGGAGAGCACAGCCTCGAGCTGACGGTGCACTATGATATCGGCGTAGCGCCGAGAAGGGTTGGTGAAATGGGTGTAGACCGGGACATTGAGCATATAGTGCTGGCGCATTTCATCAGGAGTATTGCTACTCACAAAGTACTTGGCACGCTGCATGGCCTTGGCAATGAGAGTCTCCATACCCTGCATCATGTGTTAATAAATGTATTTATGACTGTAAGAACAACAGAAGAGACACTTACCTTGCGAAGATCAACATCTTGCACCTTGCAGAGAGAGCTCTGGAGGCTGCCACTGCTGCTTGAATCCATTTCAAAGCCAAGGCGGTTCATGCGTTCAACAAACAAAGTAAGGCGGCGAGAGTTTGGCGAGAACTGACGACGCAAGAAAGCCCTCTCCGGCATAGCACTGACAAGCTTACGAGCAACGAAGAAATTGGCCTGGTGGCTCAACTCCTCAACAAGTTCGTGTGCTGGAGTCGACTCGAAAATATTGTATTCGACTGGCACATTCTCATCATCGAGCTGCTGAAGCAGACGCTGAACAGGAACGTCTGTCACACGGTTACCGAAACGGGCTTCGCGGAACTTGCCGACAGTGTTCTGAGTGTTCTTGTTAGCATGGGGGAACCAAGACGAATGGTAGAATCAGGAAAAACTTACGTGCAACAAGTGGATACTGTCGGCAGAGATGCCACTGGTGTTGACATCAGACTTGCCCTGAACAAGTGCATTGACCTGGTCATAGTCAAGACGGCCAGTGCTCTTGATGACACCTTTGCCGATCCAGACATCCTCATCCACCACACCGGTGGCGGGATTGGCCTTGAATACCAGACTGACCGTGAGGCGATCTTCACCAGGGACGAGGGAGCAAAGCTCAGTGGAAACACGGGGAGGCAACATGTTCATGATCCGATCGACTAAATAGACTGCAGTACCGCGCTTCTTGGCCTCGCGGTCCACCAAAGAGTTACCCTTAACGAAGTGAGCGATATCGGCCACGTGAACACCGATCTCAACTTTGCCGTCGGAAAGGCTCTTCACGTGGAATGCATCCTCGAGGGACTTGCTGTCGGCGGGGTCAATCGTAAAGATGGTCTCTTCACGGAAGTCACGTCGCGACGCCAGGGCGTCACCTTCGGCAGAGACGGACCAGTCCTCCCAGCCAATGCTCTTCAGCACAGCATCGGAGAAGTCATCTGAACCAAAGTTGTTGTCACGGAGCAGGGCATCAGTCTCAACCCGCAAGTCACCCATCTCTCCAAGCTGCTCAACGAGAGTGCCGAACGGGTGAAGAGACGTAATGGGCCACCTCTTGATAGAAGCAACAAAGATTCGGTTGGCGTAGTCCTGGTGCTTCTCAACAAAGTCCCGAGGTGCCTGCTCTGTGGGGATAGCGATAAGTGGGACACGCTTATCAGTAGGCTTGAACCAGACAATCTTTGGCTTATCCTGATGACGGTCATTGTGGGAGCGGCCGTGGGCGCCATCTCTGGCTTGCCGCTCGGCCTCCTGCTTCTCCTTTGTAGCCTGGCTGCTGGGACGCAATAGGCCTAGGGTACCTGAGAACATCTGACCCGCGACACGCTCAATGACCGCAACGACGTGGCCGGCGTATAAAGGCTTCTGCTCGTCGCTGATCTCATCTTCCTCGCATAGAAGAAGGCTCTGGCCCTCGACCTCAACATCGTCGTTCTTCTTCTGGGTAGGACGCTGGCGAAGACTTCCGCGGCGACGGATGCTCCCATCCGGACCAACTTCCTGTCTATCGCCAGTAGAATCGGAGCGACCAAGCTTGTCAGTTCCAGCAGTGCTGTTGGAGCGGGCATCAGTGATATCCTTGCGCTTTTTCTTTTCCTCCTTTTCTTTCTTCTGACCCCACACCTCGTCTACATCGAGAAGTTCAATTGCGACATAGTCACCCTCGAGGGCGCGATTCCGATCTTTGCTACCGCAAATGAAAATGTCGGCATCCAGATCGTCAGTGGTCACATAGGCATCGGAACGGTTCTTCTTGTTGACGCGCAATACACCAGCTACCAACTGTCCATTGCTAAGGAGTGCAGGAAGGTTTGCCTGAGGAAGGTAAGGAGTGAAAAGGGTCTTCCGCTGCTGCTGCTGCTGCTGCTGTTGCTGTTGAACAGACATCTGCGGCGGGGCGTGCTGGCTAGCCTGAAGACCACCCATACCCTGGGCATTCTGCTGCTGAAGCGCTTGAAGCTGAGCCAGCTGGAGGGGATTCAGTTGCTGACTACCAAACATCTGAGGTGCCATCATGACTTGGCCCTGAGGAAGTTGAATAAGCTGAGGTTGGCTTCCATACTGGAATTGGCCAATAGAGCCCATGGACTGGTTCATCGAGCCGCGGGAGCGGTGGCCGGGCTGGAACCCACCCTGCTGCTGACCCACGGGCCTCTGCTGATCCTGGCTCTGGGATTGATTGTTGGGCTGGCGCCAGTTGCCCTCGAAGTTTCGCGAGGAAGACCGAGCATGGCCAGCCTGGCTGGCTCGCCGTTGGTTATCAGATTGGTTAGTTGAGGGCTCACTGGCTTGGGGGAATTGGAAACCGCCAGCACCGCGACCGGAGATGGAGGCCCGGTTACCACCGATGGCCATCGATTGGCTGCGGCCATGGCCACCAGCTCGCATGTTTCCGGCTCGCTGAAAGGCGGGTCCCTGAGGTCCCTGGGGTGCCGGAGAAGCGCTGGACGCAGGCTTGTCCTCCGATGAAGACTGGTTATCAGACCCACTTGCACCAGGAGCAGGGGCTGGGAACTGGAATCCTGAAGCTGTTCTCTTCTGCTGGGCCAGCTCGGCGGCTTTCTTGGCCTCAGGAAGAGCAAGTGAGTGGCGGCGCTGGTGACCACCGCCGGGAGGACCTCCACGACCACGGCCGTGGCCGGTGTTCTCATTCTTGTGGTTATTGTTGTTTTGGCCCTGCTGGTTAAAATCGGCGTATCCCGATGCTCCGGAAGACGGAGCAGGGGGTGGGCCCATGGGAAGACCAGGGAGGGCAGACTGGTTGCGACGGTGCGAATGCTGGTTGGGCCCGTTCATTGGCACTCCAAGCTGCTGCTGCTGTCCGCCTTGTGGGAACTGAAATGCATTCACTTGCTGTGGGGAGACACCGCTCATAGAGGCACCGGGTTGAAACGAGGGCACCTGGCCCAGTTGCTGGGGCTGCAGCAGCCCCATGTTAACGTATTGTTGGTGTGTCGCAGCAATTTGTTGCTGTTGCTGCTGGAGCAACTCGATCTGTTGTTGAATGGCTAGTTGTTCCACTGTGAAAAAGTTCAAGTTAGCTGATATGGTGGGACTACGACTTTATAGTGGGCGGTCACGAGGGTGGTCACATACTCATCAACGGGGTGAGCTCAGATGGACTTCTCCGATGAGCGATGTGGAACTTGCGGCCACCGGGGCCTTGAGGCCCAGATTGACTTTGTTGATCCATGATCCGAGATGATAGAAGCTGGCAATTACTGTAGAATGTAATATGTGTGTTGGGCGGAATGGATCCGGCGACAGGAGAGACTGGTACTGCGCCAAAAGGCAAATGAGCCGAGTGAGATGGATCACAGGCCGACCAAAAGGAATTTGTATGTGCGGATTGTGGTTTTCAATACGTGAATTATCCTAGAAGAGTGACAAAGAGCGGATCAGTCAGGGTGCAGGATAGCAGAAAGAACAAGAGAAGGTGAGAAGAGGCGGAGAAGGGCATGCCAGAGCGAATATGAAAAGTACGAGTCCTAAGGCAAGGGCGGACTCAACGGAAGCTTCGATCTCAGGGGGAGAAAGAAGCAGACCTGACTATGACCTCACAAATAACACCTCAAAAGCGGCAAGGGCAATCAAAGCCGGGGGACACTTCTAAAAGCAAATGTGTGAAGTAGATCAAGATCCTTTTACCTGCAAGATGAAACTAATGACGACCTCCAAACCCTATCATTCCAATATGACGTCTGCAGAGTTCAATGGGAATGATCGCTTTTTTTTTTGTTACAAGTCCAAGAGGCGATGAGAGGCAACCGGATGATGGTGAATAAAAGTCGAGGTAATTGCACGTACAAGGTAAACTTGGATCGAGCAACACCGTAGCAACGGAACGAAGCTTTAGACGGCAGTTGGAAGGACCGAGGGGATGGAGCTGTGCTGGAAAGCACGACTGCAACCAAAAAGCACCTCGACGGAGGACCGGGGTGGGCTTTGAGTAAAGAAAGCCGTTGAAACGAGCTTGTCTTTAGGATGATTTCAAGTTCTAAGACGGGGGATTCAGAGTTGATTCCCGAAGAGAATGACAGCAAATACTGAAATTAGAGGGAAGGATAGAATAGACGATGAAACCATCGACTGATTCAACTCGAAGGAGTGATCTGGGGGGGAAGAAGAGAGGGATGGGATAAGAACAGAGAGGAGGGGGAAAGGAGAAGAGGAAAGGTGATGCTGGAGATACAAAGAGGTGTGGGGAGAGGGCCATTGGTACGGAAAGAAAAAAAGAGCACGTTCGGAAATGACCGAACAACGTTTAATTACAGCATTTGGCGCAATAATCCTTGAGTGGATCATGTAAATACCCTAACAGTTATCCGCCATACTCCGTTCCATCAGCCATGGATGATCGCCCTACCACTTCATCATCATCCTGATGCATCCGTTTGAATTGCTTCAAGTCCCCACTTAAAGTATTGAGTATGATCCTTTGAGTCTGTGGATGGGAGCTGGCAATCATCATGTTCGGAAACTATGGCTCTTCCCCCATTCATCAATTCAATTATAGAACAGCTAGTGGGCTGACTACATTTAGTTTAGGGTCTTTTCAAAGCTAAAGAAATACTATCCAAGATTCAACCCTTGAACATAGCAGAGAAGCTTGGTAGCAAGAATAAAGTCCGGTTATCCAATACATAAGCGTATAGATTTGAGATCTATGCACCTAGGTAGTATCTTCTATATAGTCAAAATGGATGATGCTCACAATGATGTAAACGTCAACGCTTCCAGGCGGGAGCGCGCCAGGGAACCGGACCGGCTCGCGGGTCCAATGCTTAGTCATTTGTCTTGAGCCCCAGCCCTCTTTAGCAAATCTAGTAGAACAAGCAATTGGCCTTGATTGGAGTCTAAATATTTCTGGCATTACTCTCTTCTGTAACTTAATATGCCCCTCCGTCTTATTAATTGGTTAAACTTAGGAGTTATTAGGGCAAGCGCGTTTAATAGCTGATAGTCGTGGCCGACCTAGTAAGGCGGTGATGGGAAAGCGGTGAAAGGAGTTGGAACTTGAACGTTAAATTTTACAGGTAATTTATTTTCTTTGGCGTCAAAAGTGAACAGTGAGGAATTATTAAAGGCCAGAGATAAATCGATGTACGTTGAGCACTCGGCTCGCTTATCATTGGATGTTTATGCAATGCAGCCGAACGCTTGATTTTGTTTGTACCCCTCGAAAGTTATATGCTAATCTCAACCTTCCCTTAGCTCCAATCTCCATGGACCCTCCCTCCTACTAGTCTTGACGCGACAAGGTCGATTATTCGCTCGCTGCATGCGCAATTCGCCTTGCTCGTTACCTATCCTAGAACCTTTGGTGCAATTACCCTCGAGCTGTGCCTTTCATCCCACCCCCTCCCACTTTCAATTTCAGATTGGTACCACCAGCTGCGTCAATCGCGAACATCACTTTGCTTTGAGGTATTGTTCTAAGCTGAAGGCGCTTACTTCCCAACTCTCCTGATTACGGACATGTTCTCTGGGACTTGAGTTCTCCATATTCTTTTGACCATCCTTTCCCCTCAGTCCTCCGAGCCTTCTCCGCAAACTTTCCCTAAACGTCCAGTACCACTTCTCACCACAAACCCTTGGAGAAAGCCACTTACACATGTCGACACCCAAAATGACGCGGTTCCGAACCCACGTCCCACCCCTGGACAGCCCGTCCAAACAACTCATGCTTGACCTTGTCCGCGACCTCGAGAAAGTCAAAATTTTCGACGCCGACCTGAAAAAGGTCCACCAATATGAGCGAAAGTTGTTTTACGAAAATCTCGACCGGATCGACAGTGAGCGTGAAGCGGTCCACACAGCCGCTCTCGACCAGGCCGCCGCCTTCCACGACAGCGTCCGCGAGGAAGCGGAAACGACATTGAAAGACCACCTCCGCGCCGAAGAGCAAGAGCGCCTACGGAAGGAGGAAGCGACCCGCAAGGAACAAGAACGCGTTGAGCGCGAGAGGGCTGAAGGATTACGCCGCGAACGAGAAGCAGCTGCGCGTGTTGAAGCCGAACGCCAAGCTAAAGAGCAGGCCGAAAAGAAGGCCCAGGAGGAGGCGGCTAAGAAAGCCGCTGCCGCTGAAACTGCGCGCAAAGCCGCAATTGAGGAAAAACTTCGCAAAGAACGCGAGCAGGCCGATGCCGAGAAGCGCAAGCAGGATGAGGAGGCCCGGAAGGTACAGGAAGAGGCCGACCAAAAGGCTCGCAGCCAAGAGCAGCAGAAACTCGGTGCACGGAACCTTTCACCTGAAGATATCCGAGTGCAGCAACGTTATGTTGAACTACATAAGACTCTCAAGGACATGCGCAAGTGGCTTAAGGACCTCGGCCAAAGCCAGCCAGACCTCAAAACGACCATGGGCAACTTACGGCGCTCGATCAAGAAATCTGTTGGTCAGCTTCGATCTGGCACTGGTGCCAATAAACAACAGGTTAGGACCCTCCCCCCACTCAATAGATGTCATTGTTTGGACACTGATTATTTGACCGAAACCCAGATTATCCAACTTAAAGCCGAGCTTGAAAAGGCTCTTGCTTATTCCGAACCAACAGTGGATATCCGAAATTTTATCGCATTCCCACCGGAAGAGATAGCAAAAACAGAACAAAAGGTACCGGCAATGCTTATATATGGATTGAACATTTTCGCAAAGAGCTTGGTATCCTCTCTCCTGGGCGAGGCATCAATCAAACAATCCCATGCCGAGCCGATCGGCATTGTTGCCGCCCAGATTTTTTCCTTTGATTGCTTCACATACAAAGGATTGCACATGTCCGACATCCTATGGGCCAAATACCGTGTTGTTTGTCCCGCTCTGTGGGGATTCGTAGGCAATGACAAGACCGAAGGAGGCCGCCGTGTCATGGGTTGGTGGCGTTCAGCAGACACTGGCTCATGGGTCACCGAGGAAGTTCACATGGATCGCATGACAGCTCTCGGTGCCGGATATGCTGCTATGACTCTACGAAATTTCGCCAAATCACCACGTCAGAACCCGTTCCCCAACACCATGTTCTGGGCATCTATCCACAAGATCTTGGCAATCCCACCTTCGGAATTACAGGAGACTCAAGTTGCCCTCCTGGCAGCCCTCCTCCGATCTTCCGGTGAGAGGATCCTGGGATTCTTCGGCCAGTATGGACTGGCTCTGATGCACTACGTCATTGTTGACCTCCCCCGCAAGCTCCAGCGGGAGACCATGGCTGTGACCCAGTTGAGCACTCTGAAGGAGCTGTATCTGAAGGAGAAGAACTTTGCATTGTGATTTTGGCTGGCGGGCGTTTGGGGAGGAGGACGGAATTTGAAACTTTTAGGATCTAGGTAGCCTCGACAACGATGGCTGGAGGCGAATAGAAACAACATGGCGTTTTTTTGTCTAGACTGGCGACCATCGCCGGATATCATACCCACTACGAATCATGTCAAAACCATTTTGTATGGTTGAGCTTGTTGACAATAGCTGAAATCCTTGAAATGCCAGCACTATGAAAAGCACCCGAGTAACTCTGGGAACAATTGAACATTGGTTACATTTGCATTCCACGCGGCTTCGGCCCCAGGAATTCCATCTAACATTCTGACAGGTCCACTTACATACCAGGTAGCTTAGTACAACAGTACACAACGATCATCTCAATTCCAATCCCAACCAACGCACCATACTTTGTAGACCCCCAACCCCCGTTGTATTCGAGTGTTTCCATCATTTCTCCAACTCTGAGTCCTCACTGGGGGACATTCGCTTGATGTACCTATTCATTCGACGCATGGGACTTGATTTGTTAATTAGGATTCAAGGTAAGGTTCTGTCTATCTATGCTGTACATGACTTGTCATGTTTGCCTTGGTATAAGAAGAGTAGTTTGTTTTTTGACGTTTTGCACTCGCATGTTATACTGCAAAGTTAGCTAGAGATATACCGTTTCTATTAGGTACTAGGTAACGATACAAGCTCAAATGACCTACGTTTCTATTGTATGGCAAGTACCTTTGTTCTAAATCTTAGTGACGTTAAGAGTGGCTCTGGTCCAGGGTGGCAAGCAATGACATGGGGCCACCCCCTGAAAACCAACCAATCCACGAGAGGTAATATGCAGAGTACAAAGAGACATCCTGCATGTAACATGCGTTTGCATGACCATGGTGATTAGCTAACTGTAAAACCTACAGGTGGTGTGAGCTATCTCACATTTCGCTGCAAGGGACAAGACCAGGGATGCACGACTGTACACTGCTTAGAGGCGAAAGCATTTGTGAGAAGAGAGGCCGAATTGGCCAGATCCTACGTAGTGGACCACAGAACGTCCAGCTCCAATAACATCTTTCTGTGATTATTTCGAAGCGATCAAGATCGACGATGATGTGGGCGGTGTGGACTGAAGATAATAATATGATTCTTTGCCATCCGATCGATCCCCCCAATACTCTCCACATAGGGGCGCTGTTCCAAGGATTTGAACCTGGACATCTGGGCCAAGTGGGCATTGCCAGGACGCCATGGCAAATATATCAGAGATGGCTGCAAACAACTCTGGGGTGGGAGATCTAATGAGCTTCAGGAGTAGAATATACAGAGTACTGTTTGTCAAGATGTCCCTATACGGGTGTAGACAAGCTCAGTTGGGCAGTCCAGACCTTTAAAGGGGAGATGTTTCATCCATGGATCCAATTATAGCACCCTTGATCCCGATTGGCTCCAGTTGACCCCCTAAACATCAAGTGGAGTCTTTCCTCCGCCTTAACAAAGTCCCATCCTGTCAGGGCCTAAACCCTCATTTCACCCCCCGAATCTCCGAACCTCTGGGTCTTTCTTCTTGGTCCCTGACGTACTTCCCTTTTTCTTTCTTACCTTCCTTAATCTTGTCCGGTCGAATTCTCTCTTTACATCGACCTTATCTTTCACAATGCGTGCTTCTGCTCTCGTTTCTCTCCTGCTGGCCGCTGCCCCGGCCCTGGTCTCTGCTAAGGGTACTCTTGGTTTCTCGCTCGGCAACAAGAACGCCGACGGTACCTGCAAGTCCACTAGCGACTATGAGGCCGATTTCGATGCCCTGAAGGGCCTGTCTACTCTCGTCCGTACCTACTCCGGCACTGAGTGCAAGACTCCTCAAAACATTTTGCCTGCCGCCAAAAACAAGGGCTTCAAGGTCGTCCTCGGCATGTGGTAAGACTTTTTTTTTTTATTGCCCCCTAATTGGAACTATTTCTGATTCTTTTCTTCAGGGTTGGCAAGCCTACCGATACTAAGAACCTGCTGGAGGAGCCTTCCTTCAAGGGAGATTGGGCCGCCATCCAGAAGGCCATTCCCGGTTACGAAGACGTCATTCACGCCATCACCGTCGGATCCGAGACTCTCTACCGTGGTGACTTGACCGGACCCCAGCTCCACACTTACATTAGCCACGTTATGGACAATGTGCCCAAGGGTGTCCTTGTTGGCACCGCTGAGAGCTGGAACAAGCTTGCTGACGGCACTGCTGACGTCCTGTTCACCAAGGAGCCCGTCGTGAAATACGTGTAAGTGAAGAAAGAAGACAACAGGAGCTTTGCGCCATACTGACCTTCGCAGCTTGGCCAATGCTTTTGCTTACTGGCAGGGTGCTGCCGCCGACAAGGCCTACAAGACCTACTTCGATGACATGACCGGCGCCATGGAGCACATTCAGAAGATTGCCGGTGACAAGGCCGACCAGATCAACATTGTTACTGGTGAGACCGGCTGGCCCACCGATGGTGGCTCTGACTACGAGGATGCCAAGGCAGGTACCAAGAATGCCGAGAAGTTCTGGAAGACCGGTATCTGTGGCATGCTCGACTGGGGTGTTGACCTGTTCTACTTTGAGGCCTTCGATGAGTCCTGGAAGCCCGATACCAAGGGTGACAACGGTGAGATGAAGGATGAGCAGCACTGGGGTCTGTTCACCGCCGAGCGCAAGGTCAAGTTCGACACCACCTGCCCCAAATAGACTGTGTGACTATCTGTTCGATCATCGAAGTGTCTTTGCTTTGATGGCTTGCCCGCAAACAGCGGTTTCTTTTTCAGATTGTATTGATTTATTCCGGGGATACTTATATCCCACTTCAATGGAAATATGGTTTAATTGTCTGTGTTTGTTTTAGCAAATGATAACATGGGCTAGCTGCAGCGTCGCGCTGAGCTCAATTTCCAATTACATCTAGATTACATCTAGAGCTGAAAGACCTGTGATATTGACGAAAATGGCGGGTTTAGAACCAAATTCGGCGGTCATCCCATCCTGATGTTGGCTACCTCTTGAGTATCAATATGGCCTAACTTGTATGGAAGTACCATGTACCTATGTACTTGATTTCCAGTCTACCAGCACGAATGCAATACTGTCCACTGGTGCTTACGATAGGTCCAGCTGGCTTGGTGCCACTTCTGCATCACTCACATTGCCAAGCGGCCTCAGAAGTCTGGTAGCCAAGCGTCGCAGCTAAAAGCGTTTCGCTATCTTCCTGGTAAGCAAGAGGCCCAAGAGTAAAGCTCAGGCTCCTCGAGAGTCAGATTATTGATTCTGACAAAGATGCCAGCTGAATTTGATATTTCACGGCTACAAAGTCTGTGTGGTAGATGATGATAGCCATTGCATTAGCAAAGGACTCGTATCAATCGGACATGGGCTATATAAGCCCACGTAGGATTTAGCACAGTTCATTGTTGTGGTGTTTCCTACTACTGCCGTTCAATTTTCAACAATGGCAATTTGGCGCTGTGACTGCCAAGGCTGCGACAAACCGGCTGTTCGTATAGATAGGGAATGTTTTCTTTGTGATCGCCATCTTTGCGTGGAATAACCAAGGCCAGAGTATTATACATGCCCGAAATGCGAGGGTTGGCAATCGAATTCTACGAATTGAAGCAGCTACTGATTTCTTTGGTCTGATCATACTTCGAGACTTCCTTTAATCACCACTACAAGCCCCTTCATTTCCTCAGGACCACCACGACGAGTTGAAAATTGCCAGACAATGGGTATCAAAGGGGCAGGAAGGCTTTGACATCTCCCTAAATTACCAGCAGGATGTGAAGATACCGTCCTCGCATAAATTGGGTCCCCACGAGATTCTTGTTCGCATGCATGCCTCGAGTCCTTATCGCGAACTAGTCATTCCTACAGTATGCCTGGATCCCACAATGCCATTTTAATACAACCTAATCTCATTCAAGGCATCAATGGACCGAGCACGCCACCAGTCATTCCAGGCTGTGACGGAACTGACATAGTCCAAAGCGTGGGAGCGTGCGTCCGTGGTTTTTGTGTAGGCGATCGAATACTCACTCGCGATGCCCCAAAACTTGTTGGATCTCATGGAGACGACGCATTCGCAGGTGTCGCTTATACTCTATCTTACCTTGGTCATGGATCTGGCGGCACCCTTCGTTCCCAATATGTTTTCTCCGAAGCGGACCTTGTCCATGTGCGGAAGTCTTTCGACTGGGTTCCTGTCTCTACCTTGATCTGGACCTGGACTACCACGTGGAACGCTCTATTTGGTTGAAAGGGCCGGGAAGCAGGGCCGGGCTCGTGGGTGCTGGTTCAAGGTACCAGTGGGGTTAGTATGGCAGCTCTGCAGCTCGCTGTCGCAGTGGGTGCGAGAGTGATCGCGACCACTTCGTCTGATGAGAAAGGGGCTCGTCTAAAGACGCTGGGTGCGACGCACGTTATCAACTACCAGACTCATCCGGAAACCCGGGGTGAGGATGCCCGAACCCTGACTCCTGGTGGACGAAGCGCGGATTTTGTCATCGACGTTGGCGGAACTGAAACATTGCCTGTGTCTCTGGCAGCGGTGCGGGTGGATGTTATTGTTCTAGTCACTGGTCAAGTTGGGGAGTCCACCGTCGATGCTGTGTCTATGTTCGCTGCTCTGCTGCATACATGCATTGCTCGTGGCATTCTGGCCAGCAGCCGTAACCAATTTCGGGAGTTGGTTCGCTTCATCGATGACCACAAGGTTGTGCCGGTGGTCGATGATGTGATGTTTGAGATGGCGGAGGCTAGGAGTGCATACATGCGTCTCAAGGAAAAGAAACACTTTGCTAAAGTTTTGATTAAGGTTGATTGGTTGAATCTAAATCGTGCTGTGTCAATTCGTGTTCCATAGCTACATCCCTTACAGCGAAATAGCGGATAGGAACAATGCCATGTCATCTACGGAGTAATTACAAGCCAGACTTCTGAAGCAGATGATCGGAAAAAGCAGCCCCAGCCACAGCTTATACCGGTCTCTTAACACAATTGGAAATTACAACAACACCCGAGGATTGTCAAATTTTACTAATTGCCCAACACTCGCGATGCGATCAAAATCTAGGATACTGTCTAGACAATGCTTTACCCTGTCCTCGCTTGTGTGAAACCGTTTTCTTCCAATGAAAAGAGAATAAGAAAATAATCTAAGGCTTCATAACCTGAGGGAAAGGTACCAATTCTGTTTAGAAATACTCTGTATACTCCGTACTTTGTAGATACCTGGTAGTATCTTCGTCCTAAATAAAGCGCTGAGAGGAGGGAAGATGGCCAGAAAGCGCTTAGGGGATCCGTAACAGGCATGACTCGACATCCGTAGACAGATTCTGACCAATCAGCCTCAAAGCCACGAACCCTGGAAGTCTTTACTGTAGAATAGACCCTGATTGGCCAACCAAGACACGAATAATTAGTCATGCAAATAACCGCGGTGAATGGCCCCGGGTGGTACGGTCGAATCCATGGAAGCGTTCGACTCTACCCCTGAGTCTGTTTAGATCTCCAATCAAAATTGGAGTTCATTGTTTACTTTTAGTATCAAAAGTAAGGAGGCATGAACACCCTTGACCTGAAGGCAAGGGTTTGAATCAGATCTGTCGGGTACATATGCGTTTTACGTACGGAGTAGACAGCATTTGACATTGTCAGAGAAAAAAAAAAAAAAAAAGCCAAGTCAACAAGATAAGCTAAGCCAACGGCCACGGGTATACGCTAAACAAATAGTTGAATGGGCCTAGGGTACCCTGTACACCGCATTAGCTCGCGCTACCCACACTCTAGGAGGTACCCAGTACGACGATCCAATACCCGTGACGTCCAACCTTTTTTTCCCCTTAGTTCCCCATCCTGGTCTTTGGGTTTGGTTGTTTCTGAATCGAGCTTCTGACCTCTTCATTCTTTTAATCTGCTTGCAGATTGTACTTATTCCCCCCTCCAAAAAAGACAAAGACAACCTGTATATTATTTAGCCTCAGGTTGTCTTGCCAGCAGTGGTCTTCAATTCCGGTTTGATTTCCATGCGTCAACATTCTGGACGATAAGCGGAGCGGCAAGCAAGTGCTTGCTGCAGGAGTCGACACGGAAGGTGTGTTTATGCATTGATGTTCTCTCTCTTTGACCCCCTCTCTGGATTGTGGAATTGGGCTCCCTACTCCGCGCTGCCACGCGATTTGCACTTCATTCTTCAACTCCCTTCAATCGCTCTTGACCCCTCCAAATATGCCAGTCTAACCGTCCTGGATGACTACAGATCTAGATCATTCCGTCTCTTCCGCCATCTCGGCATCTTCTCCACAGTTCCACTCGCAGGACACGCGCCTTGTCCGTGAATCGCGCCTGGCTCCTTCACTACTTTTGTCCTCTCCGCCGTCAGGAGACTCTAGTCCGTCGACCGCTGGTTCCCCCGGTCAACGAACCTCTCCGCGGAGCATCACCCTTGAGCCCCCGCCTCTCCCATTTTTATCCTCATATCGCGCAACTGAAGAATCCCGGGCCTCCTCGCCGGTCAATCGCAAGGCGGAAAGCAGCATATACTACACCACCACGTGGGGTTCCCCGTATGCAGCACCTAGCACTCGGAGACTCTCAGTGACAAACAGCCAACACGAATTCACTGGGGTCGACGACGCATCTGGTCCCAACTCACCCGTCTCGTCAGTAGCTAAGCGCACCGAGTTCCGGAGATCGAGTGCCGCCAACGACGACACACTTGAACCCGTGGACCGCGATATCGTCGCCAACAACGGGGATAAATCGATCCGGGAATTTACGCAGGATTGGATCAATCAGTACCTTACCGGTCAACCTAGAACGGAGCGCAGCAATTGGCTCAGCGACGACTCGGGAAGTGAAGCACCGTCGTTCATCACTGCGAGGAATCACTTTGCCGACGACGCTTCGGACGACTGGCTTGGTCTGGAAGACGACTTTCGCTCAGAGGATCTGTTGAAAACACCAACGCTGTCTGATTTCGTCGGGAAAAAAGCCGTGCGTGCAAAGGTCAACAAAACTCTGCACAAACGCGCTGACACCCTGCGACAGGAGGACTTTTGGGGGTTCGCGTACGATAAAGATCCCCCACAAAACAACATGTCCGACTTAAAGACACCAACCGTCGAGGTAAATTCGCCGGTATCGCCAGTGGAGAAGCCGTTACCTCCTCCACCCACAAACGCGACGGAAGACACGCCGAAATTGGAAGACCCATTCGACCCGGTTCCATTAAAAACACAGGTCTCCGATATCAGCCAATCAGCCAGCCCGGCCCCACGGCAGAGAAAGAAGCTGAATTGGCGTGGGAAAGCCTGCATCATTGAGCTGCCACATGTTGATAAGAGAGGCTCGGGACCTGAATATCGTCTCCTAACACCGGCCGACGTTCAACGGCGGATGCAACAATGGGAGAGTGAAGGGTACGATGTTCGTGGATTCACCGTTGGGGATTCCGAGGGCCCCTCCACCACGGCGACTCTAGGTGGTCTCAGCCGACCCCTATATCCCGACCCATATGACCTCCATGAAATTTCGAAAAGCCAACCGCTTGTCGTCAACTTCCCAGATAGAGCCAAGTGGGAGTCTTACATTAGGGAACTCCAAGAAGAAAAGCTTCGCGCCCTTGGGGTGTCATTCGGTGACGATGAACCTGAACAGTCAATTTCACCCGATTACTCGCTCAATCCCAGCGGCACCCCTTTCCCAGGCCTTATCGCTTCCCCGCCGATTCCTACTGCGTCTGCAGCAAGTAATCCTCTAGGCCATATTCACCCATTCTCGCCTCACTTTAATCAACCATCGATGCCTACGCCTGGTGCTATGGGCTCCATGGCATCACCTGCTTCGCAATTCGGTATGCAGACGCCATTTATGGGTGCGGATCAAACTATGATGGGCGGATTCCCTTTCCAATTCCAGCCCACGCCTCCTACCCAGGGATCTATGACGCCCCAAGGCTTCTTAAACCCCCGACAAGCAACTTCTTCGGCTGGTCCAGGGGCGATGGGGAACTTTTCCTCCATGCTTTCACCAGTGTCCCCACTACATGACCAAGGTTCATTCCACGCAGGATTTAATGATAAAGGCGTCTTCGATGATCAATATAGCCATGGGATGCACCAGGAGAACTTGCCATATCAAGCTCCCCAGACTCCGGTCAACGGACACCCAGATCATTTCCACGCATCGAACGTCGAGCTTGCCCAGCCTACACCTCGAGGCCACGGTCACAATCTGAGCGAAAACCTGCAAAGAGGACTGGACCAGATGACGCATACCGATTATCATCTGGAAGACTCGATCGACCGACAATTGGAGGATGATTACCGTGATGTCAATCATACAGGCCTGCTGAAGCCACGCTGGGGATTGCCAGAAAATGATCACCACGCACAGAACCCTGCCCATCCCCTACCTCATTCCTTTGCCCAGCACCAGCTCCCTCACCAATTCTACGGAGACCAATATCAACAACACAATGGCCAGGATGCTTCCGATCTCGACACGAATCCCAGTGTTGCAGGTACACCGCAGACTCGCCAAGGGCCGTGGCACGACCCCCAGCCTAGCGGTCACTCCTACCATGCAGGCCATAAGTCGCAGCTCTCGATTTCATCACTCAACGTCGCAGCCAAGGAATTCGACCCTACTGGGTCATTCAATTCCCAGCCCGTGCCGTTCGGTAATGACCCATTCCAGTTTGGTGGCAGGGGCGAGCAAGGATTCGGATTTGCCCCGCCTCCCGCGTTCACGCCTGGTAGCAGCATTAATGGCCCAATGGATCCCAATCAGAACCATAATGCCAGCAGCAGTGGCGCATTCAAGTTTTCCGCCGCTTCGTTCAATGTAGACGCACCTGTTTTCAACCCCAACTCCTCTGTCAGCCTCAACTCCAATGGCAGCTCCGAGAAGCCTCTGGCCAGTCACACCAAGATCTTTGGCGACATTGACATCAGCGAGATACATACCCCTGACAAAAAGTCCAAAGCTATTCCTATTGTGCGTCCCGATGAGATTGAACATGAGAACAAATACAAAGACCAAGTCGTTGAAGACGCCACCAATGGTCGATCTGTGCCCACGGACCGCCACAAGCGTGCGCGTCGCGGTGTTGGCCACGCCGAAGGCGAGGCTAGATTTAGTATCTCGACTAACCCTCTGGGCGAGGCGGGCAACGTTCAAGCTTCTTCAAGTGCGCTTCATGCAGTCGCTGAGGGCAAGGAGAATGCCATGCCCAAAGAGAACAAATCAGTTGAGCGAATAGGTACTCCTGTTAGCGAAGCTGACACTTGGACCCTGTTCGATGCGAAGCGTGAGGCTGAGAACGGCTCTCAAAGTGGATCACCAGTCCGGGCGGAGGCCTCCAAAGACGTTATTATCGAAGAACGTGAACCAAAGGAACCTGCCGCAGGAGATAATACGTCTGTCACTGTCTCAAAGAGTGTCGAACATGCTCCTCACACATCCAAGAGCTCGCTCAAGAGCACTACGCTGTCGGCTAATGCTCGGCCTTTCGAGTTCAAACCTGCTGTTTCAGAGTTTGTTCCCACAACCGTTCAGCCATCTAGCTTTGCCGAGCCAAAACCTAAGGTTATTGAAGAGCCCATCAAAACCCCTGTCAAGAGTCCCGCTACAAATCAACCCATGCAAGCTGGACTCATGGCTTCTCGCTTCGCTGCCACAAGCCCACCCAAGAACACAACCTTGCTAGATCACCGTGCTGAGCCTGAAGCCAACACTTCAACCCGCGTGGAACCAGCATTCATCACTCGTAAGCCTGGGCACTACGACAGCCCATGGGACTCCGAGGACGACTCGCCTGACGATGAGGAGCTGAATGCAGTCATGCAACAGCTAAACGATGACGACGCAGATGTCGGCATCGAGCGTCAAGCAACTCCTTACAACACGATCCACGCAACTCCCTTCCAACCGCGACACGACCACCTCACCGAGTCTATGGGTGGTCCTACGAAGGAACAACGGTTTGGTTCTGCGGAGGCCCGAAGCGAAGCCCCCAGTCCGAGTCCCGGTGGAGTTCCTAAGACCTACAAGCTCAGCATTCCCAGGCTTGGGTCGGACATCGACGCCAATAGCAATGCTACCTTCTCTCCGCAAAAGAGCCTTATCTCCCGTCTTCAGTCCCCTGTTCGTCACCTCGTTACTGAAAATGACCATGTCAGTGACTGGGATGACATGATCTCCGCTGGTGAAGATGAGAAGTTCATGAACCGTAACCGCTTCTTCGACCGTCGCATCAACGATCTTGTCGGCTCCGCTATCGATGAGCGCTTGGGCCCGATGGAACGTGCCTTGGCTGTTATCCAGCAGTCGGTGGCCTCTATTGCCACTGACACTGCAAGCAGAAAGGTCTTCCGCAGCACCTCCGCTGAAATGGAAGACAGTGACGCCGATGATGAGGATGACGATGAGGGCGAGGAAGGTTTGGTTCGTGAGCGCTCGCCCCACAACATGAGGGAACGTAAGCTAGAGATGCTCAAGAATGTGGTCATGGAAGCCTTGGTTACTCACGACATTCCTCAACGTGTTTCCCCGCACTCCAGCCACAGCGAGATGTCGCAACTCAAGGAAAGCATTGCTGAACTGCAAGCTCTCACGATCAAAAAGCTCGCTCAGGACCCTGTTGGTGATATGCGTGAGATTATCGAGGAAGCCATGGCCAAGCAATTGGCTCAGCAGGTTGCCTTGCAGAAGCCCCCGAGCCCACGCCTGTCAGAAGCCGAGGAGATTGGTGCTGACAGCCTTATGCTCCAGATTGATGGCCTGAAAAGTATGTTGCGAGTCGCTGATGAGCGTGCTGAGCAGGAGTACAAGGATCGCCGCGATGCACAAGATGCTATCTCTGAACTCCAGCGACTGTTGAAATTTGCCGAGGAAGATGCTGCTCGTCACAGTGCTGCTGCAGAAGACGCCGAATCTCGTCTTCTCCAGTTCAAGGAAGAGAAGATCCCCTACTTTGAGAAGATGCAGTTCCGCACCGAGTCTCTTTCGGAAGAGAGCGAGACTCTCAAGGTTACTATTGCCGAGCTGTCCACGAAGAACATCGCGCTTGAAGGTACCCTCGACGAGTATCGTCTTTCTAGCGACAACTTCCGCCGTCAGCTGGAGACCACCAAGGGCGAGAACAAGTCTCTTCATGAGACTATTGATCACCTGAGAACTCGCATCGAGGACAGCATGATCTCTCGCCAAAACCTCACTGAAAAGTTTGATCGTCTTCAAGACGACATGCTGAGTGTCACTGCTGATATTACTCGCGATCAAGCTGCCTGGCGCAGAAAGGAGGAGGAGCAATCTGCTAGGTACAATGAGCTGCGCGCGTCGCATTCTCGTGAGCTCCAATTGCGCGAGAAGCTCGAGGAGGATGTCCGCGAGTTCGAAAAGAATGAGCGGGAGACCACGAAGCTGAGGTTTATCCAGGAGCAGTCTCAGCGAGAGAACGCTAGACTGGAGGAGCTGATCACCAGCCTCCGGGCGGAGAACCATGACCTGCAAATCAAGGCTGCTCGGTTCGAGCGGGAATTCATTGAAGCCCGTGAGAGCAGCCGTGCTGAGATCCAGCGCACTCGCTCCTCGATGGAGGCAGACCTTGAGGCTTCCAACAGCCAGGTCAACATTGTGCGTGCCGAGCTGGAGGCCCAGATCATTTGTCTAGAGAGTCAACTTGATAACAACCGCATGGACACCGATACCACTCGCGAGCGCTACGAGCTTCTCCTCGAGGAGGCCAGGGACTCGAAGACAGCTGCCCTAGCTGCTAAGGATCTTGCTATCGATGAGAACCGCAAGATGCATGAGCGCGTTCTCAATGACTTGCGTGAACGTCACGCTCGCGCTTTGCATAACTCTTCAGAGGATCGTGCACGCGGTGAGAGTCACAATATGGAGCGCATGGCTTTGTCCGAGGACAAGGCTAAGCATCTGCAAGAGCGTGTAAACCTCCTTGAAGAAAAGCTTGAGATCGCTCAGGCTGCTGCCCGTGCTGCTGCTGAGGCAGCCCACAGCGCCAAGGCAAGTCCCAGCTCAGTCCCAGCTGCCGCATCCTCACACTCGCGTGCGACACCGTCCATGTCCTACCACAAGGGCTCCGAAGAGCCTGAACGGATATCTCCTCAAGCGCTCCGCGAGTCAATATTTGTCCTCCAGGACCAGCTCCAGCAGCGCGAAACACGCATCGAAGAGCTCGAACAAGAAGTCTCCACGATAGATAAAGATGCACCAAACAAGATCAAGGAGAAGGATACCGAAATCACCTGGCTCCGTGAGCTCCTGGGCGTCCGTATCGACGACCTGCAAGACATAATCCAGACTGTGTCCAAGCCTTCATTCAACCAGCAAGCCGTGCGTGACGCAGCCATTCGTCTCAAAGCCAACCTCCAAATGCAGCTGCAAGAAAAGGAACGCCTAACAACCGGTCATCTCCCCTCCCTCGCCGACCTTGCCGCCTCCCCCCGCTCCCTTCCCCTAGCCGCAGCCGCCGCCTGGGGAAATTGGCGAAAGGGCCGCGAATCCGCCGCAAACTCCGACCAGACCCCGTCAAAACCCAGCAACGCGAGTACCTTCCTGTCAGGCCTCCTCACACCCCCGAGCTCCCACGCCAGGGAGCATGGTACTGGTCAGCAGATTAGTGCCGCTGCGCGGTTTGCACAAACTCGCCCCTTGAGAGGCCCAAGACGTGGCTCGGTTCGCAGCCAGGCACCTGTCACAGAACCGCCTCAAACGCCGCCTCTTCTCCGCCGCTCGAGCTATGACCATGATGCCGAGCCGGCGAATTACGAAGACGGGAGCTTTGCGGATGAGAACGAGAGTACCGTTGATGGGATGGTTTCAGCTTCGCCAAAAGAGAGGGACGATCAGGGTCCATTTGGGCCTCAGATTGACGTGGCCGAAGCCGAAGGAAGTGATATCCTGGCCGACGATGACGTCTCCTCTTCTGATGAACCCTCCACTGAGGAGGAATGATTTCGCCGCCTTTGATCATCACCCATAGACTGTCCTGAGCCTTTCGTCCCATCTCGATATTTTCTTGGTTTGTTTTCTCCACCGGGAAAACGATAACAGAATGATTACTCGGAGATCTCCTTGTTTTTTCATCGCTTACTGCTGTCTTTGCGTTTGGTGCCAGCGCCAATTTCTCAGATTTCTCTCCTCTCGTTACATCCATATTCCCCCTTTCGACATACATACCTATCTTTCGGCTTGGCCGTTGATCAATGTTTGCGTTTTCGGATTTGATACCACGCCGTTATTTCACTTGCTTTTTTACCTCCCCACCCGAAGATCTTGTACATTGAATATCCTACCATTTTTCTTCTTGTCCTATCGTTTACATCCCATCTATACATACTAATAGTCAATCCCTGTCATTCTTTACTTTCTGATTGTTCTATATTATTCACGCCCTCCCCCCTTTTTTGTGATCTTGTCGGATGTAGCCGTGTTGATACTCACGCATTCGCCGTTGCGTTTCTTGTAGCTTATCATTGTTCAAATGTTTATTATTTTTGAATAAAGCCAGACTTTTTTTTATACATCGCCGTGTGGTCTTTGCAATATTGACGTCTGGAATTTGATCACCTGGGGCTGCTTGATGAAGGAGGTCATCGATATGCATTTGATTCGGGGGGAAACAAAATATATCTTGATGAAAAGTTGAATTGCAAATTTTGGGATAATGATTTTAATGAGCTTTTGTCCCATCAGGGACTCGATGATACCGATAAACACATATATAAGCAGCGAGTATACGTATCAAGTCCTATAATCATCTAAGTCTACTGTGTAGTATACGTCGAGCCAAGAATCCCAAGAGCGGTGTTTATGAAAGTGGTCCGAGCGCCAATTGACACCTTGCGTGTTGACAATCAACACCGACATCACCAACCCACTCACCTGTCAATTCCCCCAGACTCGCTGGAGCTAGCCGGAATATTCCACCATGCGATTCTCAACAAGCACCCTCCTGGTCACCGCGCTGGGGTGGATCACCGCCGCGACCGCACACACCATCCAGCTCAAGGCTCACACACGAGAATGCTTCCACGAGTCACTGCACCGCGACGATGTCATGACTGTCACTTTCCAGGTTGGAGATCGGGAGTTTGGAGGAAGCGGTAATCTTGAGGTCGATTTCTGGGTATGAAATATCCCCGTCTGGTCTTGGTGATGAATGATTTGGTGTCACTCGGGAGTCCCCTTCTGCTCCACTTGTGGTTCTGGCATGGGGTTTCGGATCTAGAAACCGAGAAGTCTATGAGATACAGATATAGCTCAGCTGCTACATCAGCATGGAAGAAGGATTCCAAGTGAGAACGCAGAAACTAACACTCGGTCGCCGCAGGTCGAGGATCCCCTGAGAAACCGCCAGTACTTCAAGCAAGCCGTTGCTTCCGATGACTACTCGTTCACCGCACAAGCGGATGGCAAATACAACTACTGCTTCAGCAATGAGGGCTGGACCTCAAACTCCAAGGAGGTCTCCTTCAACGTTCACGGAATTGTCTACGTGCCCGAAAGCGAGATGACGAAGGATCCCCTCGAGGTCGAAGGTAAGCGCGGAGGACACAAAAAAAAGGAGGAATATTGAGACTGATCATCTGATACCATATAGTGCGCAAACTTTCCGAGGCTTTGGCCCAGGTGAAGGATGAGCAGTCGTACATTGTTGTGCGCGAGCGAGTACACCGCAATACTGCAGAGAGCACTAACGGCCGCGTGAAATGGTGGAGTATGTTCCAGCTTATGGTGGTTATCGGCGAGGGTGTCTTCCAGGTGTGGTGGCTCAAGAGATTCTTCGAGGTACGTGAATTTCTGTGGCTGAGACACCGGCAAATGAGATACTAATGATCAATATGCAGGTCAAGCGCGTGGTTTAAACCATATCTACCGTCTTTTCTTGATCAAAAACATATCCCTTCCCCTTCTATTATGCATCGACGAGCGGCAGTGGATTTTGGTGCTTCACAGCCAGTTCGTTTTCAGCGCGATTTACCAGGATAAATTTATCACGTTTTCACGCCACGGTGTCATGCGATCAAGTCCATATAATATAAATCTGTACCACAATGACCCAGGCCATCATGCCATTCAAGTATATGTAGTGCATGTTGTCCGTGGCAAAAGTACCGCAAAGTGCGGAGACATACGACCGCACGAAGTTCGCCCCAATTGATATCGGTTGCACTTGCAAATGAAGTATACAAAGTAAATGTGATTTCTCATAAATCTTTCACCATGCCGACATATTGACCCCGCAACTCAACAGTGGCAAAGTATACACATTGACCGTTCAATGCAAGGGAACAATTCCGACTATTGATAGGAATAAGCACACATTACATCAACCTTGCATGGCATTTTGAATATGGACAACCTCATGACGAACTTCACCATCCCCTTGAATAACCCAAATCCCAATGATCCGCTCTTCCATGTTTGCTGGCGTCGACAGTCGTGTTCAAGCTGCCTGACTGGTGATGTTGCCTGCAGCTGGTGTGCTATAGTAGGTCACATCTTCTTCTCTTTCTGTAGTCGACTCGATTCTGCCCTCACCCTTTCTGATAATTGGCATTCGATATGCGCACATGTTCCCCTTCGTATTCGTTTCATACTATTCCCTTGCATCCACTAGAATGTGGAGAAGAGTTTCAAGACGACACCCATACCCCGGATCCTCAATATGTATTACTTTTGCTTTGACTTGATCGGCAAAATGGGACCCATGATCTTCTACTCCATGCCGGAGGAAGCTAACTATTGATTGTTATGCTATAGTCCTCGACCTGTGTTCCGAATCAATCGCGGGTTCCAATATTTGCGCCATTCGGCTCAGCAAATATTTGCCCTCTTGGACCCAAAGAAAGATGGGAACTGAGGGCCCGGCCATTTGGATGCAATGCTAGTACGTTTACGGTTTTATCAATAATGGGTGCGGTGCTTGCGACAGTGGCGTTGGGCGCAGTAGGGGTTGGATTTTTGTGGCTTGTGCACCGGTCCAGATGGCGTCGGAAGGAGGCAGAGTATGGGCAGCCTGATGAAGGAGAAAGGGCATATGGGTGGCAAGGTGGGAATTCGAGGCCTGCGTCCTTGGCCGGGTTCTTTCCTCAATGGAATTGGACAGTGGGTCGGACTGAAGCCGAGGAGGAAGAAGCCGAAACAAGGCCACTGTTGGAGTAGAGTCAAATGAGAGGGTATAATTGCTATGGTATACATTCAAGCTGAACATGAAATACACCCATGGCTTGGAAATAGAGTGTGAACCTAGCCTATCTGTGTTTGTCTTTTGGTGTGTCGCTATATAGTTGCTATACAAATCAGACTGCACAATTGATCATCTCGCGTACCACCAAAGCAATCTCCTCTGTAACCTTTTTGTTTCTTGGAATTAAATGTCCGGCTCCATGGTCGAATAAATCCACACTGTCTGGATCACACATATTGTACAGTGCCATTGACCCATCAATGAACGGATCTGATGCACCCACAACATGACAGCTTGGAATAGTAATCGGTTCTTCATTATAGTCGTCAGCTGTAAGAAGCCTGCCAGTCACCGGGTGTACCGGTGGCCATCCGCTGAAAAAGATCGCGCACTTAAGTCGAGGTATCCGACCATGTTCTCTCTCTCTTCTTTGCTCCTCCAGAATGAGTGATGCGGCAATTTGGGCCCCCTCAGAGAAGCCAATCACACCACCAATATCACCTTCACCGTCGAGAATCCCAACGAGACGGTCCACGACTTGAGCGATAGAGGAGAATGTGGGATTGCCTGCTGCCTGTGCGGCTGCCTTCATTGCTTCTTCGGGAGTATTGCGCTTTGGAAAGTTGCCCATGTTCCTATGGACCAGGGGCCCATCGACCTTCATAAAGGTATAATTGGGAGGTGGACCAAAGAAACCGGCAAATTGTGGAGGAACATGAACCTCGGTGGTTCCCTGTGTGAAGTGGAAGCTGGCGTTCCCATTGGATGCGAGGGCATCACAGAAGGGGCCTGAACAATCAGTCTCTTCCAACGTTCATATCGCATCTACTGCTTACCTAGCTGTATTTTGAGAGCCTGTACAGTGAAAGTCAACTGAATGATCTCATTACACGTGATAAGCTGCTTGACATACCTTAGCGTTGCAATAACCTCCTGGGAGGCATAGAAACTTCATTGCGAGGATCAAGATCAACTGGGGAATATCTTCGGAGAAAAACGCGAGGCTAAAATACCACCCAGTGGACTCTATAAAGATATTTTTTGACGCGAGGAGGCAACCATTATGCCATCAGGAATCTGCCAGGACCTCGGGAGTTTTACCCCTGTGCTTGGAATGTACGAATTACACACCCTCGCCTTAGCAAGGGCATCGAAACCAACACTATCCAAACCATCATGACACTGGCAATATCAGACCTACTGATTCCGATCTGCAGTTATGTGAGCCACCAAAGAAAAGGGTGAGGGTAATGTCTTCATGCATGGAATATCCAATCGATGTGACTCCGATTTCCTGGATCCGCCACCATGAAAAACAGCCCTGGAGGCATGGGGCTCCTCTGGACCTATCATTGCCTGACTCAAGGTTGAATCCCCTGCTCTGATCGGGACAACGACTGGACAGAGATCGTCACGTACACGCTTTAGATGCTTATGCAAGGGCGGCCTGCACTCTAGATCCAACTGCCTCGACGCCTTTTTTGTTTATTGCCTTTCAGGAAGTACTTGGGTCGACGGATTGCGCATTTTGATCACTCACTGACTGTACCGCTCTCTAAATTCTCTTCTTGCAAATTGATATTCCTTTCTTTGGACACTTGCTAGACATTGGTGGTGATCACACTGCCAGGTACATAGTTCGACATCTTCAAACCGAATATTGAATCTATCAAAGATGCGCCTTCAACAGACCTCCGGGACTGGAACACCAGTTATCGAGGGCAAAAATGTCTCTTTGCATGAGCAGCCCAACGAAACTACTGATAATGCCACCGGCGATGTGCCCAAGCCGACGGCCATCATCGGCATGTCCTGCCGCCTCCCAGGAGACGTCTCCACGGCCGAAGATTTCTGGGACTTATGCTCACGAGGTCGAAGTGCATGGTCAACAGTTCCAAAGGACCGATTCAACGCTGATTCTTTTTATCACCCTGATCCCGATCGACCAGGCTCCTTCAACGCAGTAGGAGCCCACTTCCTGAAAGAAGACATTGGCCTGTTCGATGCGCCATTTTTCAACATAACGCTCCAAGAGGCACAGACAATGGATCCACAACAGCGAATTTTCCTCGAATGTGTGTATGAAGCGCTAGAGAACGCTGGAATTCCGAACCATGAGATCACCGGCCAAAAAGTGGGAGTTTTTGCGGGCGGCTCCTATTCCGACTATGAAATCAATAACACTAGAGATATCTCGGCTATCCCCATGTATGCTGCCACTGGGACGGCGATGGCCTTGCAGGCGAATCGGATTTCGTATTATTTTGACTTGAATGGACCTAGTGTCACAGTTGACACAGCTTGCTCCTCCAGCTTGTCTGCTCTGCATCTGGCTACCCAGAGTATTCGGAATGGTGAATGCTCAATGGCCATTGTGGGCGGATGTCACTTGAACATAACACCAGAGGCCTTCGTTTCTATGACACGTTCGAGGTAAGTGCAACCGGTAGCTCTCCTAATAGACAAAAGCTGATTGTTACTCTGAAAGACTACTTTCCGACACTGGTCGCTCATATTCCTTTGATTACCGCGGCACTGGCTTTGGCCGAGGTGAAGGTGCTGGGTGCATTATCCTGAAATCTCTCGAGGATGCAGAGGCTGCCGGAGACGTCATCCGATCTGTGATTATCAACACTGGTCTCAACCAAGATGGTCGGACTAGGGGTATTGCAATGCCAAATGGCAAGGCACAGGAAGCACTGATGCGTCAAGTCTATAAAGAGGCACGCATCGACCCAGCCTTGACAGGATATGTGGAGGCTCACGGCACAGGAACCAAAGTTGGTGATCCTCTCGAAGCCACTGCCTTGAATGCAGTCTTTGGAAAGGGGCGGTCCTCGCGCCAGCCATTGCTGGTTGGGTCTGTGAAATCAAACATTGGTCACGCTGAAGGAGCAAGCGGCATTGTTTCTGTGATCAAAACAACCCTGGCACTTGAGCGAGGCTTCGTACCGCCAAACTGCAACTTTGAGAAGGTGAATGACGAAATACCCATGGATAAGTGGAATATGAAGGTGAGATTCAGGACTGAGCTTAAGTATCAACAAACATTGCTAACCACCCAACTAGGTTCCCAAGAAGCTGACGCCATGGCCCCGTGGCAAGCCATACGCAAGTGTGAACAACTTCGGCTTTGGCGGGACCAATGCCCATGTTATTCTACAGCGTGCTCCCCGAAATGAAGGAAACCTCGAGTTAAACAACGATCCTCTCAAGCGCAAGTTGTACGTAGTCTCTGCATACGATAAGAAGGCTGTACTTCAGCTTGGGAAATCAATTGCTGCGCATCTAGATCATTTCCCAGTGGTTTTCAATGACAGCACTATGGATAACATGGCCTACACACTAGGTCAGCGACGAACATTCTTGCCATGGAGATTGGCAACCTCTGCAATATCCGGCCAGGAGCTAACTGCATCGCTGGCAATTGATGCAGTGCCTGTTCGCTCTTCCAAAGAGCCTACTATCGGCTATGTGTTCACTGGACAAGGTGCGCAATGGCACGGTATGGGCAAAGAACTTCTGAGCACCTATCCGGTTTTTCACCGGACCATGCAAGACGTGGATGCTTGCTTGAAATCCCTCGGTGCTACGTTCTCAATTATAAGTATGTTTCATCTCAACCCCGACACTGCCCACGCCGATATTCTCAGAGACTAACACCGCACACAGATGAATTGATTTTGACTGACCCCGGTGCAAGCTCTATCTCTGCCGCATACATGAGCCAGCCGGCTTGTACCGCAGTCCAGCTAGCGTTGGTTGATTTGCTGTCATCTTGGGGTATTCGTCCCAAAGCAGTAGTCGGTCATTCTAGTGGAGAGATCGCAGCAGCCTATGCCGCGGGCATTTTGAACCTCGAGGAGTGTGTTCGGGTGGCATACTCTCGTGGTGTAGCAGCAAATTTGGTTGCAAATGACAAGTCTATCAAGGGAGGTATGTTGGCGGTAGGAGCCAGCGCATCAGATATTCAACAAATCTTGGATGCCATGCGTGGAAAAAAGGCTGTGATTGCCTGTGTCAACAGCGAGTCAAGCGTGACTCTATCTGGAGATGCGGATGTTCTCACCGATCTGCAGACTGCCTTGGACAAAGAAGGGATCTTCACCCGAAGACTGCAGGTCGAAGTTGCTTACCACTCTCACCATATGAAGACTGTGTCGCAGGAGTATCAATCTCTGCTCGGCAAGATCGCACCTCGGGACTCTAATATTCCATTCCACTCGACCGTTTATGGAAAATTGGTTCCAGGAAGCACTTTAAATGCGTCCTACTGGGTCGAAAATCTGGTCTCCCGTGTAGAATTTGTGAAGGGACTGAAGAGCCTTGTGGCTGTTGAGCATAAAAATACCCCAATCAGCACATTAGTCGAAATCGGCCCTCACCCTGCCCTGCAAACACCTGTCAAAGACATTGCCCAGGCATACGCCCCAGATTCTCACGTGCAATATCTTCACACTTTGAAACGCAAGGTAGATGATATTGAAGCTGTTCAAAACCTTGCTGGCTCGTTGTTCAAACAGGGTCTGAATCTCAACTTCCAAGCCATCAACTTCCCGAACTTGGGAACCACCGCAAGAAAGCCAGCCGTTATGACAAATCTGCCTAAGTATCCGTGGAATCACTCTGAACGATACTGGTTTAGCTCACGGCTAGGCGATAACCACCTTCATCGCCAATTCCCTCGGAGTGATATCCTTGGCTCACTGTGCATGGAAAATGTTGACTTTGAGCCTCGGTGGAGGAACACCATTCGTGCAGATGACCATCCTTGGATGGGCGAGCACAGAGTACACGACAGAATTGTGTATCCAATGACCGGCTTCTTGGCCATGGCCATGGAGGCCATCTCGCAGCACGCACACCTTCACCATATTACTCCTGGAAAGATCGATCTCCGCGATATCTTCATTAATCGCGTCCTCACTATTCCGGATAACTCATGTGTGGAGACAATGCTCAGCTTAAAAGCATCCCGAGCGGAAGCTCCTAGTAAATCAGTCTTCGGCTGGCACGAGTTCAAGATTTTCTCATGGGCTGAGGGGCGTGGATGGGATCAGCACTGCAATGGTTTTGTCATGGTACAAGAAGCTAAGGACGTCAATCCTGTCGATGGGGATCGACAGCAGCTCGAGAAGACCGCACGGTTTACCCAAAAATCGTTGAACATGCGAAACTCTTGTAAAATACCTGTGGACAGCAATGTGCTCTACGAAAATATTGCTAGTGGTGGTGTACAGTACGGTCCTCTTTTCCAAGGATTGACTGATATCTCTGTGAGCAGGGATGATCAAGCAATGGCTACGCTACGTATCCCAGACACAAAAGCAGCGATGCCTCACCAGCATGAGACACCCTACATTGTACACCCGGTCACACTTGATCTATGTAGTCAAGTCCTGTGGGTCCTTCGTGGTTACGGTGAATTTGGGCCGAAAGTCACCCATGTACCCTCTCATGTCAAGCAAGTGTCTGTTTCCTTGTGTACTGAATTCAGTGCCGGTACTGTACTGCAACTATATGGTTGTATATCAGGAAATGAATCAGCAAGCGACCCTGAGACAAACCGCATATTCGCCACTGTTCCCAACAACCCAGCGGATCTTGTAATCGACATTGATGGTATCACTCTGGTGCCGGTATCGAACGATATTAGAGGATCAAATGACAGCTCGCCGGACCAGATCTGCTACAAGGTAGTATATGAGCCCTGCTTTGATTTTCTCTCTGCCGAGGATTATCGACAGCTCTCTCGTCCCGAGACCGATGTTGCTCAAGGCATCGAACGAATGCAGCAACTCGAATCTGTGGCAGAACATTACCTGGCGCAAGTGGTTAAGAATGTGACAGAAGACGAGTTATCAGCCCTCGAGCCTCACCGCCAGAAATTTTATCGTTGGGCCCAGAAAACTTGCCAAAATGTGGGCACTAATGATCCCGTGACCCTTGATGTTCTCGAAAAGATCAGAATTGCCAATGCCGCAGGCGAATTGACATGTAAAGTCGGAGCGCTGCTTCCTCAGATCCTCAGGGGGAAGGTAGATGCCTTGAATGTACTGTTGGAAGATGATGGAATCGCAAGACACTACCGTGACCTCGACTCTCTTCGTGAGGCCTATGCCAATGCCTCTGTCTGCATGGACAAGATGGCACATCAAAACCCTACACTCAACATCATTGAGATTGGCGCTGGTACAGGTGGTGCCACCATGCCAATTTTGGAGAGTCTGGGTGGAGGTAAGGCAGGGTCTACGCCTCGCTTCGGCCATTACACCTACACCGACATCTCTCCAGGTTTCTTTGAAAAGGCCAAGACGAAGTTCGAGAGCTGGGGTCATCTCATGACATATCAGACACTAGACGTATCGGCCGATCCCACGGAGCAAGGCTTCACTAATGGCACATATGACGTTGTAGTTGCTTGCAATGTGCTGCATGCTACTTCCGACATCAGCCAGACAATGGCCAATATCCGAGCCCTTTTGAAGCCTGGTGGTAAGGTCATGCTCATTGAGGAAACTGTCCCCAAGGCACGCCATTTCCCATTCGCACTTCTCTCTGGGTGGTGGCTGGCCGATGATAAATTCCGGAAGGACGGACCACTCCTCACCGTTGAAGGATGGAGCAACGTTATGAAGGAGAATGACTTCTCTGGGATTGACCTGTGTGTCGAGGAATATCCTGGAGCATCTTTCCAGTCTGGTTGTCTCATGATATCAACCGCTAACAGCCCAAACACTGGTCCCGCGAATGCCGGCGATATTGTGATACTTGGAGTTGACTCGATTGGCACCTTATCGTGCCTTAGCCTCGAATATGGTATCCAGAAAATGACTGGTGTTGAACCTATCACTGCTACGGACTCTGATGAGGTTGATGTCACCGGGAAATGGTGTATCTTCCTTGGGGGAATGGATCGCTCGATCCTATCCCACCTTACCCAAGAGAAATTCCAGACACTGCAGCGTCTTCTGAGCCGGGCTCGAGGCCTACTGTGGGTTGTCCGCCACACAAAAACTGACCTCGAATCCCTCGGCTCGAACATGGCAATTGGACTGGCTCGCACCGTGAGATCAGAAACTGGACTCCAATTCGCCACGCTTGATTTGGGCGAGCGGGAAAGCGTGCCCGATGCTCTGGCCGTAAGTCACATGCTCAATGTATTCAACGCAGTCTTCTGTCAGAAATCGCAGCTAGCCCAGAATGACTGGGAGTTCGTTGTCCGAGATGGCAATGTTTGTGTGCCCCGCTTGGTGGATAACAACGCATTGAACCTCAGTGTTCAGCAAGAGACACCAGAGGCGCCTCCACAGATGCAGCCTTTCAAACAAGATCGAGCTTTACGACTTGCTATCGGAAGCGGTAGGGGGCTCGATGAGCTTTACTTTACCGATGATATTTCCCTCAATGAACCCCTGCCCCGAGACCACATTGAGATCGAAGTTTACAGCACCGGTCTCAACTTCAGAGATGTGTTGATGGCTATGGGTCAGCTCCGCGGCGACAGGCTCGGACAGGAATGCAGTGGAGTGGTGACTCAAGTGGGAGCTGCGGTATCCGACTTCAAGACTGGAGATCGTGTCTGTGCAATGTCGCCCGGTTCATTGTCAACATTCACTCGCTGCCCGGCCTCTGGATGCTGGGTGATTCCTTACGATATGCCATTCGAGATCGCAGCTTCGATTCCAGCTGTGTTTTGCACTGCCTACTACTCTCTCATTGACCTGGGACGATTGAGTAAAGATGAGAACGTTTTGATCCACGCCGCTGCAGGAGGTGTTGGCCAAGCGGCAATCATCATCGCTCAAAGCGTTGGAGCTAATATTTTTGCAACTGTTGGCAGCCCTGAGAAGAAAAATTTCCTCATGAAAACTTACCGCCTCAAGGAAGAAAATATCTTCTTCAGCCGTGACATGTCATTTGCGCAAGGCATCCATCAGGCCACTGGTGGTGAGGGTGTGGATGTTGCTCTTAACTCCCTTAGCGGCGATGCGTTGCAGGCTACATTCGAGTGTGTTGCGCCATTTGGTCGGTTCATTGAACTTGGCAAGCGAGATATTACGACTAATTCTCGATTGGAGATGGCTCACTTCAACAAAAATATCTCCTTCGCATCTGTCGACTTGGGAATGGTCAGAGAGAAGCGTCCACAATTGACGAAGCGGCTGCTGCGTGATGTGTTTAAGCTGTTCGTGGACACCAACGCCCAATCAAGGTGGTCTGTTACCACTCTTCCCATCTCAGATGTTGAGGTTGGATTCCGGGCCCTGCAGGGAGGACAAATGATCGGAAAGATGGTCGTCCAGGTTACCGACGACTCCATGGTTAAGGTATGCTCGACCAGATTTGCGATAGTCAAATTTGGCATGGGTAATAGCTAACTCTCCAAACAGGTCCATCCCGCTAGAAGGGACGAAAATCTTCTCCGCGCAGACGCTTCATATGTTATTGTTGGTGGTACCGGTGGAATTGGTCTCGACATTGCTAGTTGGCTGCCAGAGAGAGGAGCCAAAAATCTTATCCTGGTTTCTCGAGGTGGCCTCAAGAGTGAAAACGCAGAACAAATTGTCCGGGATCTTATTCACCAGGGCGTCAATGTGGAAGTCTGTCGCTGCGATGTTGCAAATAAGCAGAGCGTGGAGCAGAGTCTTGTTCCGCTCCTCGCTCGCATGCCGCCAGTTCGTGGTGTTGTATACGGCGCTATGGTTCTCCGGGTAAGCTTTTTTTGTATCAAACAAGAGATCAAACCTCCGCTAACGCATATCAGGATACCCTGTTCGAAAAGCTTAGTTTCGCTGACTACCAGACCGTGATGACGCCCAGAGTCAATGGAATCTGGAACATTCAGCGGGCATTGACAAAAACTAATGGTATGGTGGATTTCTTTGTCAGTCTCTCATCTGCCGCCAGCTTTGTCGGCAATATGGGTCAATCCCCCTACGCAGCGAGTGGAACTTTCATGGCAGCGCTTGCTCAATACCCCGAGACAGCCAGGATGCGCTGTCTGACAATCGATCTACCCATTGTGCGCGGAGTCGGATACCTCGCCGACGAGAAGAAGCGGGAAACAATTTCCAAACAGCTCGGCACAGAGTCCGTCGACGCAACAGACATCCGTGGACTTGTTACCGCAGCAATTCGCAATGACTTCGATGTTTCCTTCGAGGGACATTGTGTGGCCGGGTTTGAAGGCGTCAAATCCACACCCGCTAGTGCACAGCCCTTCTGGGTAAACGATACCAAACTGTCGCACCTATTGCGGCTCTCCACTCTCGCTGGCGCGGGTGCATCGGCCGACTCTGCGCAGAACAGTAGTGAGATCTCGCCGGCACTTGCTATCCGGCAATCGAAGACTCGCGAAGAAGCTGAGCTCATCGTTGGGACTGCCGTGCTCACAAAAATCTCTAGCATCCTAATGCGTCCGATAGAAGACCTCGATCCTGCTGCGCCTATCACGGTTTATGGTCTAGATTCGCTGGTCGCCATTGAGATCAGAAACTGGATCACACGCGAGCTAGAAGCGAATTTGCAGATCCTGGAGATCTTGACTAGCGAATCTATCCCCGCTCTTTCTGATACGATCCTCAAAAAATCTGGCATACTTACTTCAGACCTCAAGGCTGAGTGGGGTCTCGAGGTGACTGAAGATCGAACTGGCCAGGAATGAATATGTTCCCTATATACACTCTTTGCTTGAGAAGATATCCTGAGATGTATTGATCTCTTGTCCCTTTTGGCAATGTCTTGTACTTTATATTTTTTCCCTTTTCTGTTCATTTTATCTTTTTGGCACAAAGCTTGAATTTCAAACGTTTGCTTCTCAAAATTTGCCTGACCTGGTTGCCGTAGCCAACTAAAGTAAGAATATCGAAAGCCTCGTGCGAGATATAATCTTCCCGGTTCGAGCACAAAATTATAGATGTCCACTATCCATACCACTAGAAATCATCTAAAAGCGAGGAGGCAACTTGGATATCTCATTGGTAGTCACGTGTATAGATCTAAGGTTCGTCGGCAACGACGTCGTCGCTTCCTTTGAAGATACCATTCTTTAAGATCCCAACCTCTTACTATTCTAATTACACCATGACCACTAGGCCATTCATTATACAGGGGCTCATCAAGTCTCTAGCAGGGTAACACGATCCAAACATCGTGAAGTTGAACATCAGAAAAGAAAACATCCCGGTCTTCAAGTACAGTGAGTTCGATGTGCGCGCGCTCTGTCAACTCGCGAGCAATAACTGCAAGAAAAATCACATATATGGAGCTGATCTTCGAAAGTGCTCATCAAAACAACCCACTCCGGATCCCATACATTTTGATGAGCAAGGCAAAGGGCAAGACGTTGGACACATATTGGGGCGGAATAAATATTCCTCCTCGTCCGGATTCACTCGAAATACACAAAGTCATGTTTCAACTGGGCCACATTGCATGGAAGCTTGCCCAAGTCCGGTTTACCAAAATTGGATCTCTATTCGAACAAAACGGATTTTTTGTGATTGGGGAATGCCTATCAAAAGCTCACATTTTACACCAGAGACATTGCTTGAGTGGAATTGTTCGTGGACCTTATGCCAATGAGCGTGAGCTTTACATCAGCCTCATAGCGCTCTTGATCAAGCACGCTTGCAACCTCCCGTTGTTGGAACATTGCTTCGCTGCACCGGCACCATCCAAGGAAGACTACCCTAACAAGCATCAGTGGCATGATGCCCGCGATCTTTGGAATGACTTTCTCAACGTTAGAAAAAAGACTGATGGAGCCGCGAACAGAGTTGATTATGTTATTGCTGGCCAGGCGCGCAGCTTTTTGATTCCCCAGTATGCCAGCAAATGGTCTGGAGTTACTACATCTCCGGCCAGCTTTCCACTCTGCCACTCAGATCTCACTACGAACAACATATTCGTTGACGACGAGTACAATATTACGTGTATCATTGATTGGGCATTTACCACAACTGTGCCTCTTCCTTTGCTTCTTTTACCACCAGGGCTTCCACAGTCTTGAAACAGGCTAGATCGGAAATTCTGCCTTGGTTTTGGAAATGGTTTCACACATGCAGCGTCACTCGGTGTGACTAAACCCATGGTGGGCTTGTCCGCCCCTAAAGCTATTGGGTGCGTCGAAACTAGTTAGTTTGCTTGGTACCTCACAGGGTTTCTAGCATTCGATTCCACAGCCGACCTTTCTCTTTTCCGTACCATATGGAAATCAGTTTACCCATCGGTCCCGGAGCTCGAGTCATATTTCTTTTCACAAAGAGGTCTACGCCACTATCAAGAAATACACAGAAGACTGAGACTCCAGGAGCTGTCGGAAACCCAGATCGAAAAATCAGAGAATGATCTTTTCACTAAGTCATTGACCTTTGAGCGGTCTTTGGCTCGTCATTTGACAATGATTTCGGACTGGGGATTCAACTATGACCCACTGAAAATGTCTGGCCTTCGAGAGACAGGGCAGATTTTCATTACTGAACCACGGCTTTGGCGATGGATTTTGGAATTCAAAAGACAACATTGTGAGAGGCTCGGCACTGAAGAGACCCAGTAATCACTCACTTGAGGAACATGGGTACATAAATCTCGTTCACACCGTTGATTTGGGGAACAAAAGAATATTACTAGGAAAGAAAGCAACGAGAGGCTATATGCCGACTCAATCGATGTCCCATTTTTCAGATCTCAAAGACTCATAACCTAAATGACCAGACAGTTCCTTTTCCGACAAAATGTTGTTAGTTTGTCTTTAAGCATCGAAATTTGTCCACATGGATATCTTACTATGGCAGTTTTTCCGTGTACTTAAAAGAAGTCTGTCGGATTGGCCCGTCGAGTACAGTCAAAAGGCTCGTCAATGAACCAAGTATCATGCTGCTGATCATAGACAATGGGATAGGTAGTATCGGGATCACAAAGCTTGTCGATTTGGGTCTTGTCACCAGCACTGATAGTAAACCAATAGTTGTTTGTGTCATCGCTGACCTTCTCACACTTGTAGAAGAATCCCGTAACCCCGGGACCAAACACATCGCTGCGGAAGTCGACAGCCAACTTCTTGTTGAGGTTGATATTGTCGCAATCCTGCTTCAAGCCTCCCACAGAGGCCGTCTCTGCCGACTCGCTAATGTATCCCTTCGCCGTGTGTGTGCCGCTGGCTGACCATGTCGTTGCTGGCAGGGATAGCTGCTGAGCAATATCGGCCAGTAGCAGGCTGTTTGTGACGGTTGCCGCAGAGCAGCCAACACTGGCGCTCATGATGCCCAAGGTTGTGAACAGCATTGAGATCTTAATCTGAACCATGTTGAGTTGATTCCACGTTGATTGTGATGTGACGATGATTTAGCTACTTACATTTCTGGGGAATATTTGATTTATATGGTTTTTCTTGAACGGGGTATCACTCGCCTCGAAGTTCCAATTTGCTTATAGTGGGGATTGAATCTACCATTCATATCTTGTCTTCCGGTGGAAATTCTCTGAAAAGCGCTTGGAGAGGTCGTGGACATGATGTAACGGGACGATCCGTCCCCCACGTCCAAATTAGGGGCTCATAGCCGCGTCTATGATACCCGGTTTCAGTACAACTTAAGAACTGGTGATCTGGAGGACTCTGAGGTTGAAGCTGGATAATGTATATAGCAGTGAGACGGGCAAGCAATCCACTTTGTATCCACTTCGCTATTGCTCACATCTTTGGCGGAAAATATGCCGAATTACGGAATTGGGAAATATTGACACCTGAGGCGCCACAGATAATATTTCGTTTTAACGACGGATTTGCCCCTTGCCATCTGATCCCTTCATCCTATTCAGACTTTGCTATAAATACTGATTCTTTGTATGTTCTTTGGTTGCAGTCTAGATGCACGGTTTCGCCCATATCATTCTGACCCAAACCAGTTGACTCGTCATAATGATCGGCTTTACTTCGACAGGAATTTGTTACTTCTTCCGCTGATGAATTCTACTTTGAATTCCCTATCAGTGCATATGTTAAACAGAGCTAAAGGGTTTATGAGTTGAATGCCGGGCACACTTTATGCCTATATCTCTGTACCTTGTGCTGCGACCTTTGTCAGCAAAGGGGTTTATACCCTAAAAGCACATCTGGCCACTGGATAACCGAATTGCTGTTTATTGGCAAGAATCTACTCCAGCAAACCTATCAACCATGACACATGTTATGTCCAAGAGCGCCTCAGCCGCCGAAGATATCCGGCCGCTCGGATCCCTCCTGCGCGGGGACCAATCAACACTCTGCCTACTATCGATCGAACGCCCTACCCTTGTTCCTGGCCATATGTACCTAGGTAGGTTTTAAGGCTTGAGGCTTCGGCCATCTTTGATAGGCCAAGCTAATTATCTTATCGTTACGATGTACCTGCCTCGGGTTCTAGCGGAGACCTCCGACGGCCTTCTAGAATATCCAAGGTTAAGTTTTATGTTCACACAGCCATTGATTTAACAAGAAAGTCTACTACGGAGCCCCGTGGAGATCTCCGATGGGACTACCATGATAAGCAAGGATGCGATAATGGGCTCATACAGTGGGTTCAATATAACTCCATCGGTCAATGTCTGCCTGGTGGTATGGGCATGCCTGTATCTCGCATCTTTGTGCCCTTTGTGTTGGGAAAATCCATGCTATTGACAGACTAATATGTCTCGCTCACCTCGAGCCGCCATCTTTGACTGTGGTCCAAGGCTTCTCAAGGATATCTGGACGCTCACTGGTATCGCAATTTTGATAGTAGCATTGAGGGTGGCTGCAAAAATAAGGATCCGAAAAATTGGCTGGGATGACATTCTCATGGTTTTATCATTGGTTAGCGAGTCTATTTCCTTGGGGTCACAATAGCTTTAAGTTCAAAACTGACATGTTGTCGGCACTTAGTGTCTTACTATAGTCGGATCAGCTCTGATTACCGTGGGTGTTAACTACGGGTTCTGTCGCCATGTTTGGGACCTTGACACAAAGACCGTTGTTCCAAAGGTGATTATGTTTGACTATCTGACTCAGACATTTGGCATTGCTGGCGGTACACTGGGTCGGATCTCATTCATTGTCTTCGTCATTGGCCTACTTGGCACTAGAAAATCACACAGAGTGATACTTTGGGTCATAGTTGGGTTACAAGTCGTGACAAACTTGATATTGATCATCATTCTATTCGTTCAATGTCCAGGACATGCTTCCGCTATCTGGACACAGAACGGGGAACATAAATGCTGGGACGTCCGCATCCAAGCATACTATGGGTACTATCAGGGCTGTATGAGCTTCCATTGATTGCCCTGTTCAAGACATCACCGAGACTGATTTTTGAGCCTAGCATTTAATTCGGCGACAGACCTTTATCTGGCAGTCTTTTCAACGTACATATTCTGGAGTTTGAATTTGAAATTAAGGGTCAAGCTGGGCTTGGTCACACTTCTCGGATTGGGCATTTTGTGAGTTAATCACTTGAACTCCATCTCGAGGAAAGAGAATCAGCTAACAAATGTCCCTTCAATCCAGTGCAATGGCAGCCTCCGTTATTAAAGTAGTGCAAACCCAAGTCCTGTCACACGCAGCCGATGATCCAACCGTCGCAACCGTCAATTACAACCGCTGGCTATATATCGAGGCCTATCTAGTCATCATAACGGCATCAATACCCTGCATTAGATCTTTATTGCGCTCTGTTCGAGGGCGGTCAGCTGGAACTGGACGGAGCACATACGAGTTGAGTTCGCCATATGGTGGAAACTCCATGCTCACATCTAGATCCCGGAGATTGACAGCAATACCCGGAAAGTCGACGATACGCATCTCTGATAATTCTAGTGCGGAAGATATTCTCGTGTCAAATAAAAGTGACATTGATGCAGTACACGAGAGGACGGGCTCGAAACAATCGATCCATGTCAATGTATAACAACATCATACGAATCTTGAGCGTGCAAAATTCTGAGATACAGTAGATATCAGAACTCAACTACAGCAAAACGATGATTGACCAAGCACATAGATTTATACCTCTAAGACCCAAAATGGCTTTCCCATTTCGTGCTATAAAACTGCCCTGGGCTCTCGTGTATTACATAATCACTGGATCTGGTCCACGGGTCTTCCCAATTGGATCAGGATCGAGATCGGAATCGTAGCTACCTAATTAGGAAATTATTCAACGAATCAGGATGGACCATTCTCACGCTAGGTCCAGAAAGGGAATTAAGCGACCAATCAGAAGCTGTAATTCATCTGGTGATCTATAACTTTTATAGAAATATCTACTACAGTTGGTGTTGGCCACAGTTTACATTCTGATATGAAAATCTGTTTCATTCTACTGAAATCAGCTCAAGTACCGCTACCTCTTTGGTTTCCTCGTCATCGAAAGCCAAAATGCGAAATGAACAAGGTGGAATACTCGAGTCACCACGCAAGGAACTATCGCACGAGGACAGCCATTACACTACTGGTGACATAGGGCCGGATGCCTTGAATGAAGGAGTGGATTTGGAAAGCTCAAAGTATCCTTCGGGGTTGAAATTAGCTCTCGTCTTTTTCGCTCTGTGCTTGACTGTATTCTTGGTGGCCCTGGTTCGTACCACACACTCTCTTCCTTATGAGACCACTTCTGAAATGGGCAATATCGGCTAATAGTAAGTTCTTGGACAGGACCAAACGATTATTGCTACTGCAATCCCAACTATTACCTCCCAGTTCCACAGCGTCGAAGACATCGGATGGTATGGTAGCGCATTTCTCCTCACGAACTGCAGCTTCCAGCTCTTTTTCGGCAAGCTATATACTTTACTGTCACTCAAATGGACCTTTGTCGGCGCCGTACTGGTTTTCGAGGTAGGCTCCGCCATATGTGGCGGGAGCCCTAACTCCGTCGCTCTCATCATAGGGCGAGCCATTGCGGGAATTGGAGGCGCTGGTATTTTCTCAGGCGCTTTGATTATCATCGCCAGATCAGTGCCTCTTTCGAAGAGGCCAGCCTTCACTGGAATAATCGGCGCAGTGTGGGGTATAGCAAGTGTTATTGGACCTTTATTAGGGGGAGCTTTTACAAGTCAGTCTCCATTGGCCGCTTACACTTCAAATTGGTGCTGACATTGACGCGGCATTCCAGCTCATGTCTCTTGGCGTTGGTGCTTCTACAGTATGCACCACTTCCTTTCTAACGTTATTGGCACGACTTGGGCTAATCTGAGCTTAGTTAATCTGCCAATTGGTGCTATAGCCATACCTGTCATTCTTCTTTTCCTTTCCCCGCCAAAGTCAGAAAACAGGCCGAAGCCGGAAGGCTGGGCTACCTTGAGCCAATTTGATCCTATTGGGACGATCCTTTTCGTTGCAAGCATCATTTGCCTTTTGATTTCACTCCAGTGGGGAGGGACCAAATACCCCTGGAGTGACGGCCGCATAATTGCGCTGCTGACGGTATTCGGGGCGCTGATTACCCTCTGGATAGTAGAGCAATGGCGAGGTGGTGAAAATGCCACAGTACCCCTTCGTATTCTGCGGCAGCGCACAGTTGCCTGCTCGACGTTCTATATTTTCTTTGCGAGTGCGTCGTTTGTGTTGTTGATTTACTATTTGCCTATTTGGTAAGTTTGAGAATTGCTTTCGCGGCCCCAATATCTTGATTTCATTGATACTGAATGCGAGAACAGGTTTCAGGCAATCAAAGGCGATTCTGCCGACCAGTCCGGAATCCATAACCTCCCCACTGTTCTGAGTGTCGGTAAGTATACTCTCATGGCGATCAATTGAAAGACTGCAGACTGATACGAGGGCAGTGATTTTCGCAATCGCGAGTGGCCTGGGCGTCTCAGTCTTGGGATACTACACCCCATTCATGATCACAGGTTCGATCATAATGGCAGTTGGTGCCGGTCTATTTCTCGAATTTAAAGTCGAAACTCCGATGTCGATGTGGTATGTGATTGCATATTGACCCCACAAGCTCTTTCACTGATGTACTTAGGTTTGGTTTCCAAGTTATTTTCGGCGCAGGTGCAGGTATTGGAATTGAGCTTGCCAACATTGCTGTGCAGACAGTCCTTTCCGAGAAGGATGTCTCTATCGGGACATCTTTGGTGGTTTTTGCTCGCTCTCTTGGCGGTGCCATTTTCGTCTCTGTAGGCCAAAACATTTTCAGCAACCACGTTGTCGCTGGAATGCGTGCCCATGTTCCTGAGATAGACCCATCTGTTGTCCTTCAGTCTGGAGCAACCGATCTTCAGCGTACAGTGATGCAAGCTGTCTCGGGCCAGGCCGACGACGTTGTTACTCGGGTTTTGGAGATCTACAACAAGGCAATCATCCAGACCTTTGTAGTCGCATTGGCCTTGGCGTGTGTATCTATTGTTGGCGCTGTGGGGGTCGAATGGCTCTCCGTGAAGAGCACCCCCAAAGACCTGGAGTCGAAGGAAGATCACGGAGAAAAGTAAAACATTCTCGGGATTTATCGTGTGCGTTGGTCGAAGCAAGTCTGCTCAAGGCAACAGAGACACGCTTGATGAGATTGGTTCAAGAGAAGGCGACTTCGTGTATACAGTAATGAGAATCCCTCTTCAGATAAAAATCCATGATAGGCCGCGGCAGAAACATTGAAACACCATCATGATGAATATGCATTCTGATGGAGCATTTCAACATTGAAAAATTCCCAAAACCAAGAGTCAGATGCTAGTTCATGCCGATTTTGTTCAATTCCTGGACCTCCATTATGCACGACAGGGTAATCAGATGCCTTAGAAGGCTGGAGAGGCACGTCGGACTGACCAAATCCATCCAATGGCCCAATATGAGTTATTGTTGGCGTCTGAACATGGACTGAAGGGTCACCGAGAGCCGCCGTCGGCGTTTGTATTGCAGCGCTTGATAACCTATCCCCGCCAAGGAATGGAATGCCTTCCATCATTTCAGTTTTGTCTGAGCCGGATGGAGGCCTGGATTTGGATTGATGAGTGTGCAACCACTGGCTCAGCTGAGGCATGACTAAGAATGCCCTACTCAGAGCACTGCGGTCATCTTTCGCAATGAGGCTCCTCGAAACCAGCACGAGGTGCTCGATATACACTTCCAGTCGTAGTTCGTCAGCAGTGACATATTCGCTTATTGCCCGCCCTGATGATCTCAATGCTTTGTGCAGTTTCAACAGAAGTACCACTGCATATATTACGCGACCGCCATATATATGGGGTGGTAAAGCGATCATGTCAGACGTGGATAGCTTAAGGAAAACATCCAGCAGTCCTTGTGCCGCGTGTATGATAGCGCGAAGCATGAGTATACGAGATGGGTGGAGATCGTGCATGTCGATGAAATTGCATGTCTCCAAGGACTTCACACTAAAGGGTGCCCTGAACTCATCGATGTTGTGGTTGACATGCAGGGCCAACTCATGTGTATATAGTAAGCTAGCAAATCTGCCAAATTCAATCAGAGCTGATTGGTTTGTAATCGTCAATTCTTCATCCTTCAGACCAGTAGGGACACAATTCAAGAGCGGGACTCACATTTTTTCAGAGAGGGTACTTGCTCGAGAGGAAGGCATTCGATTTGAGTCTTGAATTTTTGAACTTTTGATAACGTATTCTGGTCGGATAATGATGCCAAAGTGGTTGAATCACTCAGAGACAGCTCCTGATTCACTGCGTGGCAGATACACTCTGTTTTCACAATTACGCAAAGGAACTCATCTGTGGGGGATGTTTTGGTCCGTCGCAAATCGGCAGCACAGTCGTCATAGTGTGAGCTCCAGGCGAGCGAATTGGGCCGTCTCAAAATCAGAGACAGACTAAACCATAATTAGTTTTCACAGTAGCTCAAATAGATAAATGACCAGAATAAATGCACCTTGCAGATAAAAGGAGACAGCCAAGCCAGGCACGTTGTTCTTCCGCCCGATCCCACATCTCATTGTCGCTGCTAGTTGGCTTCGATAACTCAATCCTGTCAAGCCCGAGATCTATAGCCATAGTTGTGGCAATAGAAGCTAGTTGGTTCAGGTTCATCTGCTTATAATCATCTGGTGCTCTGTACCAAAAAGACACAATCTGAAGAGCTTGAACAAGCTCAATGGACTTTTCGCCCCTAACAACCGCGCGCTCTGCTAGATAGAGCCTGACCTTGTTCGCCAGGTCTCTCTGTTGGGTGATGGTGCAGTATCCGGCACAAGCGATGCTCATTATGGATAAAAAGAGCAATGGCTTGGTCTCTTGCACAAGCTCAGCTGTTGTGCCAGTGGGAAACACGACAATGGGGTATTTCGGTGCAAAAATATCCAAGTATCGATGGAAGATTTGCTCAGCTATCTTCGAACTGAAGACATGTTTCGCCATGTGGCCAATTTGATCACTCCCACTGCAAGACAACTGAAGAGAAGCTATTGTAACTCATTAGCTGTTCCAGAATATGATTTCATTGAGAAAAAATTGGATGCGACTCTTCAGAACTCACTGGATGTGGGCTGGGTGACTTCCTGTTGAATAGCTGGAGATGCATGCATATCTAAGTTGGAATCAATTTCAAGCCTCCTTTCTGTGCAATGACGGTCAAACAAAGATGTTTTGTTTAGAGACTGTTGCACCTGCAGCTGAGTACTGAGAGGATGAGAATTTGCTAGGGTCGTGGTATTGTCGGCTGAAGCTATTTGCGATGGGAGATACACCGTACACTGTTTGTTCTTCTGTAAGCATCGGAGACATCTTCCGACTCCAGTATTGTTATTTTGACAGCTCGACTTGGAATTTCTGCATTCAACACAAGCAGTGCCTCGCAATCTGTGGGTGTCTCTGATCTTCGCGTCAGTCACGCCTGAGATTATATGTAGGCCGTGGCCTCACTGAGCTGACGGCTTCCCAACCTTTTGTTGCAACGAACCCTCGGGTCATTTCTGGAAGAAGATGACTCGGGGTAAATGACTGGTTTAGATTTGGTCTTTTGAAGTGCCGAATTCTTGTCGTTGGATAGATGCTGCACATTGGCTTCTTGCCCCCTTGACGGCGGTCGGCACACAGCAGCGGCTATTGGGACCGGGGCAGGCCTTTCTTTAGTAGTCCCTAGCCTGAATTTGTTGAACGCCATTCCGATCTCATATGTTGACCTTGTACCCTGACTACAGAAGATCTGATATGATGTGACCCCAATATGTTTGCAGTGTTTACATGTTCTTGATGGCCTGATGATCCTGGCATACATATTCCTAAAACGGCAGGTGCAAACGAGCTGGGATGAAGGAAAGAGGTTACATACGCAGAGTTTTCGCAATTTGCGCTTCTTCGCTTCTATCGGACCCATCAACCTTTTTGGCGGTTCTGCCAGGCCAGACGTTTCATCAAATTGGACATTTAAGCGGAAGGGAATATGAATCCTAGTTGAGTACTACTCGGTGGGAAGGGGGAAAAACATGGGTTCTTTTACAGAAAAAATATAATTCTAAGAGATCGCCGCCTTCTAATAATACAACTCTTTTCCTCTATCTCTGGCCTTTCGCCTTTTGTGAACAACAGACAGGGGTGATAGATATACATCATCAGTCCCGGGTCTTTTGGACAATAACCGACGGTCCAACGTAATCCTTCCGGCCCTTAACAGCAAACATCACAAGACTTATAATAAAGACTCCCGCAAAGAGAACCACGCTCCAGTTGAAGTTCTCTGCCGTGACAACTACATCACCTGGCCATAACGCCCAGAAGAGCGCGAAACAGCAATATAGCAGACCAGCGATGTTGATACCCAGTCCCCAACGTCCCAAGTCCCATCGACGGTGGGGGAGGGTCTCGGGATGCCAGATCTTGCGGTAGATGACGCAGCTAATTGAAATGATGTACGTGTACATCAATGCGGCCACGTTTAGAGAGATAATGGCATTGAATGCAGTCTCTGATCCGATGTTAATGAGGGATAGCGCGCAACTGATAATGCAGGACAGAATGATAGCATTCGTGGGAATCTTGCGCTTTTGGTCGACTTTGCCGATCCACTTGGAGAATGGAAGGCCATTGTCACGGGCAAAGGCGAAGGTTTGGCGGGAGGTGGAGGCATTGAAGAGGATATTGCTGAAGATAACAGGCAGCAGGATAATAGCCGACAGTCCGTTCACACCTGCCGTTGAGGTGGCCTGTTGGAAAACATAGAGGAATGGGAAGCCAGTAGGATCATCCAGGGCGGCTTCCACTGATGGCATTGCAAAGAGCATAGTGATGATTAGGACGATGGCCATAAGGCCGTTACTAAAGTAGCCCCAGGCAATAGCGACGGGGACGTTGCGACCTGCATCTTTCACCTCTTCGGACATATGTGCAGTTGCGTCAGAGCCTAGAGATTTGTTAGCATATCGTATATATATGTTAGAGCTTACTCATTACGTACTGAGAGAGCCGTAGATAGCTGAGATTTGTCCGACCATCACGCTCAGGCCCATTGTGGACCAACCTCCCATATTCTTCCACTCTGAAACGAAGACAGCTTCGGCGGATTGGTGAGGAGCCATAGCCCATAGAACAATAATGATGATTGCCCAGCTGAGAACGTGGAGAACCATCAAGAGGTTGTTGAGAATTGGCATCAAATCAGATGCGTAGACGTTCACGATAAAGATCACTAGGACCATGGCAAATACAAGCAGGGTGCCCTGCCAGCTCTGGGGGTCATAATCAGGGTTTCGAACGGTGATTAATCCCTGAATAATAGTTCCAGTGAGGAACGAGCCAGAGGCTGCTCCGGCTTGCCATGCTAACACTGACATCCAGCCTAGGTAAAAGGAAATTGATCAGCTGATTTTTTTTTCTGTAATGGTGGACCATAGGATCAACGTACCTGTAATGTAACTGAGGAACCTTTGGTATCGGGGCGAGGACCACTCAGAAACCCAGTGATATTGTCCGCCCGAAGTTGGTGCCATTGATGCCATTTCGGAGATGGAGGCAATGATGAAACCAAATCCAATGAATGTCCATATATAAGCGTAAAAGAAGCCTGGTAGGCCACCATTGTATAAGCCTTCGTAATTGGAACTGAGATAACATTTTACGAATTAGAGATATGGCCAGCGGCAGTATGTCGAGTAATGTACTAACATAAGAATGAATTCCCACGTTGCCTGCAAAACCGATGCAAAACTTAAAGCGGCCAAAGGTCTTAGGTTTCTCTGTTTGGGTTAGATAGAGATCAATGCAGTATGAAAGAAATTTTACCTTCAGTTCCTGAGCCTTTCCCATTCGCTGCATGTCACAGTCATCGGCAACTGCCGCCTTTGGATCATGATCTGAAGAACCATCTCTATCCAACGATTGCAGCTCCGTATCCCGCACCGCGGAATCGGATGGTTTGAAGGAATCCATAGTAAGCAGCGACTGAGCTGCTGGGAGGTGGGGGGAGAGAGATGGAATGTCAAACAAAAGAGATGGGGAGATCAAGAATAAAAGGAGGAATGTAAGGGGGGGCAAGAGATCAAGGGGGCCATACAACATAGTTGAATCATATTAAAGATTCTTTGTCGAACAAAGGAGATTGGCGGATATAGTGGACTTTTGATCCACCAGTTGATCTCGGAATGGGCACTGTATAGGTGGGGTATGCCAGACTGTACTCTCTGGGCTTGGACCTTTCACTTCCATTTCCGACAATGTACTGTACTTGGATTGTAATAACTTTATTGTCAGGACAAAGGAAAAAGCAAAGAACAATGGAAGATCCCGGCATGTGTACATGTGGCATGCAGGGAATCAACGCCATGGTGCGCATGCGGATGACACGAGGGTAGCAGACTTAGAGCTAAGGGTGCATCTAGTGCCTTCGCGCCATGACCAAAGTACCAATCTCACGCGATTCGACGCTAAATGAAAATTTCGGTCGTATTCTCATACGACTTTTTAATTAATATTATTTTCGTTTTTGCGATCACGTACTCCGTACTCCCGTATGTATATTGTACTGCATATATGAAGATCTCCACCTTTACACCCGATGTATAATGATGTTAGATGAAAGGATGCGATTGGTTCTCATTGTGATGAGGTACTTTAGATGCTTTCCACGGAGTACCTATGGACCTTCGATAGTCGGTTCTTCTACTTTGCAACCCTTGTCCGTCCACTTTATAACCCTTGCTGCCAAATTGTAATTATTTACCGCCCTGAAGAATAATAAACCATTTTCGCCCCAATAATTCATTACATGGCCCCCTTGTTTCCACATGTCTTCAAATATATCCTCTCTGGTTGACCTTCAATAATGTTCAATCTACCATCATGTCGGTCCCTTCGCCTTTGCCTCCCGGCATAAGTCCGCCCCTCTCAACCGACAACCCCAATAACCATAGCGGGTTGATCGTGGTGATCACTTCACTCTATATCCTTCTGGTGATTGTTGCGCTCGTGACACGAATCTCCGTTTCGTTTCATCGGCGTATTATGCAACATAATAATGTTTCCTTCGGCTTCCTCATAGTATGTTCATTCCACCGCAGAGCGGGTTGCATTTGACTTGACTACTCGGATTAACGACAAGATAGGTTGTCGCAACGACTCAAGCGGCGGTAGTGCTCGCACAAGTTCACGAAGGTTGGGGTATCCGGACAAAACCCGGTCAAACTACAAGCGATCGAATGCTCAAGACTGGATATGCTGCGGATCTACTTTCAATAATTGTCTTGGGCTGCTCCAAGATATCGACTTGTCTATTCTACAGTACCCTCTTTTCACAGATACACAAGATCTTTATCCGCATCAACCTGGTTGCAATGGTTGCTTGGACGATCCTGTCCGTGATACTACTAGCAGTCCGCTGTAGCCATGACCCATGGATGGATATCAGCGTCGCCCAGTGTAGCAGTCTGGTAAGATAAGGGAAAATCTTACGTATGTGGATGTGATTAACTGACTGAACCTGCTCCTATAGTTCCCCCGATGGCAGGCGATCACAGCGATCGACATCGCCACGGAAGTCTCTCTGTTCATCTTTACTGCGATGGCAGTGCAACAAATCCAGATATCAACGACAAAAAAACTGGTAGTATTCATAGCTCTCCAGACCCGAGTACTGTGAGTCCATGCTCATACTGCATCTCGATTTTTACCATCAACTAACATCTGACTTCCCACCAGTCTCATCCCCCTCTCTGGTCTGCGCCTGTACTACACCAAATTGCAAATCACCTCCGATGACCCAATCCTCGTCGGTGCCTTCGCAACCGTCGTAGCGGAGATCTACCTTGCGATCAGCGTGTTATGTGTTGTAAGCGCATTCTTCAAATCTTTCATCGCAGCCTACGAAGACAGTAATGGAATCTCCTACACAAACGGGACTTCTGGATCGCAATCAAAATCAAGGCGGATGGACTCGAGGAATACCATTACGCACAAGGACAACAATACTGCTCCGGGTGTTCTACGCGGCTGGGAACGAGAGGAGGACCCCATTATCGGTCCCACTGATCCGAAGAGTGGGTTGAAGATTTATACATCAGTGCACTTCAGTGTGAGGGATGAGAATATTGAGTTAGCCGATCGTGAAAGTGCAGAAGGGCGTCGAGATGGATTTTGATGTGTTTGCACAATATACTATAATTAACTCGCGTTTGAGAAAATACCATGTTCATGATACCCTCCTTTTTGTCGCGGACGGTTCCTGCATCCTTTGATCCACACGAAGTACCGTATGATATATCAAACGACCTGGTCCCCGAAATCTACTATAAATCTAGCCCGATGCCCTATCTCGACGAAACCGGAACTAAATTTGTTGGCGCCAGAGTGGCCAATCAATTCATGCGCGCTATCAGTGTAAACGGATTTGAAATCTTCGCTCGCCGCTACGTGTGAAAATTTTGTATTTCAGGGGGGAAACAGAAGAAAAAAAGCCCCGGCCTTGGAGAATTTTTTTTCAACAGAATCCAATGACCATTACAGACGGAGGTACTTTTTCGGGATGATGTGCCTCCCAGGATGTTTGTCTCAGCCCCCCAGAAGCTAGGCACTAAGCTTGTCTCAAAAAGCATTCACGGAGTATATTCTTGAACCGGATTGTTAGCGATGGGGTCCAGAGCCAGGTTCCATAAAATGGGGACATCCTAACTGGCTGAAGGAGTTTGGAAAAGTGGGCAGGCCGAGGTTCCATCCGATCTCTTATTTGATTTAGATCACGTTCTCATGCGGTTGTCCTCAAATCTTAGAGCCCTACCATGAGTCTCTGGGTGCAAATTTCAGCTAGCCAGTCGAGAGATAGAATTGAGAATCGGGATGAGTCTATCACGAGATGTTGGATGGACCTGGGCTCGGGAGGGCAGATCTACCCGTGCCGTATAATGCCAAGCGCGGTACGGAGCTGAGTACGTGCGCTTGGCAATGTTACCCTGTACGAAGTAATACCGTATCTCTATTGCGCTCTAAGTAGATTTTGTAAAACTAATCTAGAACGGGAGTGCTCCGTATGTAATACCCGGTGAAATATGGATATAACATATAATGTCAGGTAACTTATAAGCGAAGTGGACACGTGGGCCGCTTACCCCGATATGTACTTGATATGTTGTACCTATACCTCTAGTGTTGATAGAGTGCATGGAAAGTGAGAAAAGTACCTTCAGGTCATATGTGGCAATTTTTTAATGCACTTGGCTAACTTAGGTTACCGGAGAAGATCCACACACTGCGATATTAATATTGAGATCATGCGCGATTTATCTCTCTTTATTAGTGGTCAACATGGAACTCGATATTCTGACGATCGAAAACTGTACAACATAAGTGAATGACGCGAGAAGGGTTCGAGCGATATAAAATATGGAGTGATCTACAAAGTATCCTCCGGCATTTATCCCATCTTAGTAGCCGGGCGAAATTTCTCCGCAAGAACTGTCCTCGCCCAATGAAACCTCCGGGGGTTAAATCAGCCCTGGAGCAGCCTACAAGCAATGGATGTGTATACGGAATACTCCTGTGGAGGGCCTTGGCATTTTATACAAGTATACACTGCAGATTCAATGTATACCCTATCCCACCGGAACAATGTAATCTTAAAAAGGACACATTGTCAGAGCACTGAACTGATGTCTCAACCAATTCAGAACAGCTAGGTGCGTCTCTTCGGCGTTGCTCAACTGGCCTTTTCACGAGACTTTAGATCCGCCCATCGGAGCCGTTCAAAATGATACACCCCAAGGACTGGCAGAAACCCTTGGGGATATTGCTTTACTTTTTTCTTTCTCTTTCTTCTTTTGTCAATGGAGGATCCATATTCAATATCAAGGATGTCGAAGCCCAGGCTTTTGCCTTCGATCTTGGCGGGGTCGAATTGGCTCAAGACAGATTTTTGGAAAACCAGGACCGTACCCTTAGATATTTGAAAGAGATAGATGTCGACAGACTACTGTATGTCTTCCGCATAACCCACGGACTGTCGACACAGCAAGCAACGCCGAACGGTGGCTGGGATGCTCCGGACTTCCCGTTCCGTTCGCACGTTCAGGGTCATTTCCTCAGTGCCTGGGCTCAATGCTATGCTGTGCTCCGCGATCAAACATGTTATGACCGAGCCACCTATTTTGCAACTGAGCTGGCAAAGTGTCAGGCCAACAACAAGGTCGCTGGTTTCACCGACGGATATGTATCTGGGTTTCCAGAATCAGACTTCTCAAAACTCGAGAACGGCACCCTGACAAATGGCAATGTACCGTATTATGCGGTGCACAAGACTCTTGCGGGTCTCCTGGATGTCTGGCGCTTGACAAACGACACCACCTCTCGCGATGTTTTGCTATCTTTAGCCAGGTGGGTCGACAAACGTACCGAATCCTTCACTTACGATGCCATGCAAAAGATGTTACAAACAGAATTCGGCGGTATGAACGACGTCATGGCTGACCTCTACCATCAAACTGGTGACGAGAAATGGCTTACTGTTGCCCAACGCTTTGATCATGCCATTGTATTCGACCCCCTTGCCGCTAACAAAGATGAGTTCGACGGTCTACACGCAAACACTCAAGTACCAAAGTGGATCGGGGCTGCTCGCCAATATAAAGCCACCGGAGATCCTCGCTACTTGGATATTGCCCGCAACGCCTGGGATATTAATGTCCAATCACACACGTACGCCATCGGCGGTAACAGTCAAGCCGAGCACTTCCATGCTCCAAATGCCATTGCCGCTTATCTTGACAAGGACACATGTGAAGCATGCAATTCTTATAACATGCTCAAGCTGACCCGCGAGCTGTGGCTATTGGATTCCGAAAACTCGAAATATTTTGATTTTTACGAGAATGCCTTACTTAACCACCTGCTAGGTCAGCAGAACCCTGATAGCCACTTTGGCCACGTCACGTACTTCACTCCTCTCAATGCTGGAGGTCGTCGGGGTGTTGGTCCCGCCTGGGGTGGCGGTACTTGGAGTACAGACTACGACTCATTCTGGTGTTGTCAAGGAACGGCCCTCGAAACAAACACCAAGTTGATGGACTCTATCTACTTCTATAATGATTCGACGTTGTTCATCAACTTATTCATGTCTTCCGTCTTGACATGGCGCGAGATGGGCATTACCTTGAAGCAATCTACGACTTATCCAGTCGGCGATACATCAAAACTGGAAGTCTTCGGCAGTGGTGACTGGACGATGAAGATTCGCGTTCCTGCATGGGCAACAAGCGCAGAGCTGAGACTGAATGGAGAAGGTTTACCTAATGTTAAAGCGCAACCCGGAACATACGCGCAAATAACGCGCAAGTGGGCTGATGGCGATGTCATCGAGATCCGTTTCCCCATGAGTCTGCGTACGGTGGCTGCAAATGACAATTCTAGCATGGTTGCAATTGCATATGGGCCAACCGTCTTATGCGGTAATTACGGCAACCAAGAACTGAGCAGTACTCCTACCCTCGCTCTTGACTCTATCAGACGCGCTGGGGATTCTAGTCTTGAATTCACCTCCATCGCCGACAGAAAGGATATTAAACTAAGTGCTTTCTACGATGCTCAGGGATACAATTACAACGTGTACTGGAGTATCACAGGAAGTCTCCACGCTAGGTAGTGGTTTAGCACTTAAAATCCGCTTAATCAATTGTCCAAACGGAATTGTTTTATACCTCATTTCACCAATCTAGTGCAACGATCATAGTCTTCAATCTTGCTTAAAGTAAAAACAGTATAGTATCAATGGGAATAAATATAGCTGACATTGATGATATATATTGACGGGGTGTGGGTATTATTCGACAGTCGCCGGACTCGGGCTTGTTGGGTAGGTAAATGTTGAAAGGAACGTTTCGTATCCATGAGGATTGCGAGGAATATAGACCAAATGCTGTCTCTCTCCCTGGAAACTAATTGCTTCACCCTGCGATTCTTCGATGTTCTTTCTTCTGCAAATAAAATCCAAACCGTGTTCACCATATGCAGTGATAATCTCCTTCTTGATCATTTCTGTGGCATTTGGAGAATAGCCGCCCATAGAGCACTGAACTACCGCTTGTTTATACACAACCAACCCAAATTTGTTGATAATCCGATGGAACTCATCGCGGATATTCTCAAAGCTCGATTTGAAAGATCCCAGATCTCCAGTAGACCAATACACCTGTACTGTGATGAAATCCGAGAAATATAGCGTGAGTAGCAGCTCGAAGAGCCTTTCCATACGAATGCCATGGTATCCGGACTCTTGCATCTTTTTGTCTGCCTATATATGACATGTTAGCAACCCGAGACTGTGAAATCAACTTGTTGTGTAGACGAGAAACTAACCGAGATAGTAGAGCTAACAACATGATCGCCCATCATTCCGTGGGAAACATTGAGAAGTCCAATATCCGAGACCGGGGGTTGCTGAACTAGCATTTTGCGCCAGCTTGCGTCCTTTCGTACAAATCGAAACATAGTCGAAGTATCTTTGTTCATGGTCAAGTCGGAAAAGTGAACTTCATGGTGTTTCCCAGTGTCCTTGGCGGGAAAGATAGAAGGAAATGCCTCTGTCAATAGTGGGTTGATTGTCTTTTCTCCCACCCCCCATTCGGAGTCTTTGATTGGAGTGAAGAAAAGGATCTTTTGGATTGACGGCGCCTGGCTGATCAGGTTCACCCAGCGACGACAGACTCGTTGTGCAGATGTGAGAAGCGTACGCATATCCACCCGAGCCAGGATCATCTCCAGGATTTCTGGAGTGTCTAGGACTTTGTTGGTTGCTGATTGTGTGCTGGACCCAGGTCGCGACTGGATCGGATGTCCATAGCTTGGATATTCTGTAACGCGACTTGCCATTCTTTCTAGGATCTCAGACTTACTGAATCACAGTCCGCTCTAATGAAAACTAAACTTTGGGTTTCTTTTGCCGCGCCCTTCGATGTGGCCTGGCTGTGGTTATTCGTAATAGACGGCTGTGAGAGCACAGAGCAGTCCGTAGGGAACTTTGTAATACTGAAAGGTCCCACTCTGTGCTGTAAAATACATCCCCGGGATATATTTACCAGCACCTCTGTAAAATTACGACGGCCTATATTATAGGAATGGACATATACTTCTGACTTGAGGCATGACTTCACCTTTCCATTTATCTGTCCATACCCCCAGTTTACGGAGGTACAACACAAGACGAAAGCGGACAGTGATCCCATCGGGGATAGACCGGCATCACCGCCCTCAAGCCAACCTCATCTTCAAGACGAAACTCCAAAGTTCTGCTCGAGGGATGAATCTCAGGCACAATGTGGCCCTTTTCAACATATCCAGAGAAGACAGTGGATGATGTAGCCGGAAAGACGTTCGACTACATCATTGTCGGTGGTGCGTCTCACTTCCCCTGAGCGAAAGCCATCAAATCCATTAACCCAAACCCACCCCTTAGGCGGTACGGCTGGATGTCTGATCGCAAACCGCCTTTCCGCTTCCCCAAACATCTCAGTTCTAGTTTTAGACAAGGGTCACATCGATGCCGGGGTTCTCTCGCGGATCCCACTACTTGGTATCCTGCAGAGCGGGGTCGTCCGCTACAACGCCGAACCAAACGCGCACCTGCGCGGGCGTCGTGTGCAACTCCTGGCCGGCGAAATGCTAGGTGGCACCAGTCGCGCTCACTCCATGGTATGGAGCCCCGGCGGCCGCCCCGAATTCGACGGTTGGGCGCGTGAGCTGGGACTAGATGAATGGAGCTGGGAAAAGGTAGCGCCAGCTTTTGAGCGGGTTGAGGAGGCTATTCAGCGGAAAGGGGCGGGTGATATAGGACTCATGTCATATGTGGATACTGCGATGGAAAGAGTAGGACTGGGTGATGGAGGGGGAAAGCGAGGCACCCAGAGATATACCCGCAGCGAGGTCTCGGTGGATGCAGATGGGAACAGAGTATCTGCCTTGACAGCGTGGCTGAGTGCCTCGGTTGTGAATGAGAGGAAGGGACGACTGACGGTGTGTACAGGCGTGACTGCAACAAAGCTCGAGTTTACAGATAACGGAACGAGTGCTACAGGCATATGGATCAAACGGGAAGGTGGTGCAGACATTTTGGTCAAGGCTCAACAAGAGGTGATTCTCTGTAGTGGCGTATTCGGCACGCCACAACTGCTCTTACAAAGGTTGGTCGCAGTTTCTAGATTGCCTCACTTTGTGATACTAACCGCCAATAGTGGCATTGGCCCTAAGGACCATTTGTCCGGTCACAATATCCCCGTGCTACACAATCTCCCCGCAGTGGGTGCGCATTTGACCACCCATATCCTTGTACCAGTCATGACAGAGCTCCCACTCAAGCACACACTGCATATTATTCAGACAGTGGCTATCTTATGGCACTTTTTACTGTGGCTCTTCTCCGGGACTGGTGTGCTTGCCTCTAACGGCCAATGGGGCGCCGCGTTTTTGCACTCGGATTCAATCAATGAGGCAACAATGACGGTGGTTCCTCCCGAAGACGGCGAAAAGGAAGTGACAGATCTAGAAATCCTGATTGCCCCGCTGAGTACACTGATCGAGCATGGTGTCCCCGGAGTACCCTGTATGACGTGGTACGCAGCACTTGTGCAGCCCCACACCACAGGCAGCGTTGAGCTCTCGTCCAATTCTGACCCAAAGGCGCCTTTGAAAATTACCCTCCCATTGTTGATCGATGCTCGCGACAGCGCCCGACTACGTAAGGCAGTGCGGTTCGCTATGCGGTTGGCAGACGAGTTTGCGGGAACTGAGGTTGGGTATCCATATCCGGCACCGTTAGCCATGGCTCCCGGGATGGGTTTGGAGTATTTAGATGGTCTTTTGGACAAGAACAAGAGCAAGAGTACGAAGAAAAAGCTTACAAGGGTATTGCCACCACAGAAGGATGCTTGGAGGACAGTGACTGATACAGAAATCGATGAGTACATAAAGAGGCTGGTGACAGGGAGCTATGATCCTGCTGGCACGTGCCGGATGGGTCTTACAAAGAATGAGGGTGTAGTAGACCAGAACCTGAAGGTATTTGGAGTATGCAACTTGCGAATTGCAGATGCAAGTGTGCTTCCCCGGTGTGGGGGCGCCTCAATATCGGCGTCCATTTATATGATTGCGGAACGGTGCGCTGAGTTTATCATGAAGCAGGATAATTTTCTCTCCTAGGTACAAGGCAATACATTACGTCTGAGACTTAATAGCCACGCATTCATCCCTAATGGGCCTCACTACTATGAACAAGCCCAATGATGATGGGGGAAACTACATCATCTGTTCTGCCTCTGAGAAAGATTCTGGCGTTATCGCTGAGCAAAAGAAGCATTCGAACAAGCACATAGAGGGTATAGGGCCAACAGGGCAATTCAGCCCTGGCCTGCCGCTCAACCTTTGGGTCCAATTGATGCCAAGCCTTTGGGCATGTCCCTTGAAGCTCTCTGCCCTTGTTTGTGGATGTCTTGCTAACGTGGCGTGTAGACGACAAGCTGGATATTGACAAGCTTGAGGCTAAGGTATGCGTCATCGAGGCCGAGGGCCTTGTCCAAAGGTAGGTTTCAGTTCGTTCATATTGACCTTGGTATTCAGAATCTCCAATTTGATCGAAAGGATGACGGCAACGTATCTCCAGACGTGCTTTACGCCCGGCTGGAGAAGATGGAAATCACGTCCAGCCTACCGACATGGTTCCCATGCAAAAGCTATGGAAGATGGCTCTGACGTATGATCGTGGGTCTTTAGTGCCATTAAACGCAACTACAAGGTGTAGGAATGCTTGGCGATAACTGAGCATTTCGTTATGATAGAAATCTGGGTGTATGACAATGGTGTACTATGAGATCAATGATATCCAACTGTCTGATAAACATGTATGATCAAAAACACGAATGTAAATAGATGACTAATCAACCACTGCACTTTTATGCACATAGATGGGACCCTTGATCAGTCAAGGAGGATTCGGGCCCCGGGTTCATTACCGACCGAGGTATCGGTGAACATGAATAATTACACGATTTTAATCACATAAGATTATGCCAGCCAAAAGAATTCTCGTTATTCTACTTATCTATACCAATGTAGCAGATGATGAGAGGACTAGAGTCAAAGGTCTAGAAAATTTCAACTACTACCTTTTGCACGCAACAAAAGCGGCTTCACGGGCTATTTTAGCGTGGTTCTCTGGAGATTATATGTTTAGGAAGACGGTACTTCGTACTGTTGATAGTGGACGCGGTGGGACCAAGTGCATAATCATTTATGTCCCGTCACTGTATTGTCACTTGGTAGTTGACACGCCCGGTCCGCCGGACTTAGGGCAACTCACCGTGGGCTATAAATGCTTCAGCCTGTTCTCCAGGACTTCTGATGACAAGATTGTTTTGTCGTAAACCTTTTACTTTAACTATCAACCCCTGGAATTCCAAGCAGCAAAATGGCCGTCAAACAGAAAGTCCTCCTACTTGGAGCTACCGGCGAGACTGGCACTTCCATACTGAAAGGCTTACAAGAGTCGGGTAACTTCGTGAGTTGCGTTGACTGTTTAGGATCAGTTCGTATGACTGACTCTATTACTCTTCGTTTCCTAGAATATTGAAGTCTTGGTGCGACCGGCTTCAATCAATAAACCATCGGTCCAGAAGATCCAAGAGCAAGGCATCAAGACCTGGGCCATTGATCTCAATGAATCCAGCGAGCTCATCCCTGCACTGTCTGGTGTCGATGTTCTTATTAGCGCCATCGGACCCAACGACTTGGTGCAACAAAAAAAGCTACTTCAAGCCGCAAAGTTGGCAGGTATCAAGCGAATAGTTCCATGCGCTTTCATCACGATCGCACCCCCACAAGGCGCTATGTTACTTCGTGACGAGGTACGAATTGCGGTAAATGAAGAACGTGAACTGAGATGAACTGACCAATAAAATAGAAAGAGGAAGTTTACAATGACATCAAATTGCTCGGCATCCCTTATACTATCATAGATGTTGGGTTCTGGTATCAGATCTCATTTCCCTCCCTCCCTTCCGGCAAAGTGGACTATGCATCGGTGTCGCCAATGAACATTATTCATGACGATGGCACAGCCCCAAATATTCTGACCGACCTACGTGATATCGGCCGATTTGTCGCGCGCATAATATGCGATGATCGAACTTTGAACAAATACGTCTACACATTTGGGGACATTCTGAGCGAGAATGAAATTTACCGTATTGCCGAGGAGGTATCTGGGGAGAAAATTGAATCGACTCAGGTATGCTGATTCCTTTTGGAAATAACATATTTCATAGTGCATAGCTTATTAACTTCACTGCCAGATGTCAATCGAGCAGATCGAACATGGCCTTGCACAGGCCAAAGCTGCTCTTTCCCAGGATCCTCAGGATCCGATGAAGCGTACTTTCTTCTATCTTTCCGAATATCAGCATAGTAAGTATGTACGCAAGGACAACAGGCCTGAGTACGCGGAGTATCTGGGATATCTGAATGCCCGAAGCCTCTATCCAGACTTCACACCCATTTCCTTCCGAGAATTCTTTGTGGAGGCACTCGCTGGGAAGGCGAAAAGGGTGTATGCTAGTTCATAGGATTTACCTGGATCATTGACCTATCGCATGATTGTCGAATTCACAGAAAGAATGAAATAAATCCAACTTGCGAATAAATATTCCCATGCAATTGTGCCCCATCTGAATTGCGACTACTGGCGACCTAGTCCATGAAGCAGTATTGTCATGCCGTGCGTTCGCCATTGAAGACTTCTAAGTTAGGTGCGGAACGTATGATCGTTCTTTTCTTGGGATAAAAGTGGAAAAGCTTTTCAGGAGATGGATATCCTGTTCTGGGAGATTATTTCCTATCTAGGGCTATACATTATAAAGTTTCCAGTAAAAAATGGCTCTGGAGTGCCGGAATCCAGAAAAAGGAATGGTTCGGCGCCATGCCTCATTAATAAGCTGAACAAGGTCTTTTGGATGAAGACTCGAGTTGTTTCCTAAATTGCTACCCGTTCGGCTTCCATGGCTTGATTCCTGGTTACAAACGAGCAGCTGCATTGATGCGTTCGGACCCGTCATATTGATATCTCATAACCCATCTTCCATGGTCGAAGCATCCACTGCGGTTGGAGAGTCGGTTTTGTCACGTTTAGTGATGCTTCGAATGACGAACATTGTCGCAATGGCAATTCCCAGACCAGCAAGGCCAATACCCATGTAGCTTGCACCACGATAACCTCGGAATGTGTCCGTGCCACCGCGGTTCACTTGACTTTCGACAGTTCCAGCAAGGCCGAGACCGATCGATATCGAATAATTCACAATGGTGTTGACGAGTGAGGCAGCAAGTCCTTGATGCTCCCGTGGCATGCTATTGCTGAGTATAATCGTTCCAGATGGAAAAGACATGTCCCTGATGAAAGGTCAGCTTATTGTAGACATATCATCCAGGTAATCAGCAGGCTAGGCGGTAGGAGGCGATATACTTACATGCCCCATGGGGTCAAGACAGAAATGACAAATGCTTGAGCCCAGTATGTTTGGTGAACAGGCAGTGTGGCCAGAAGAATTTGACCACCTGTAAATGCAAACATAGCTATGAGCATGATCGCACTAGGAGGCACTCGAGCCAGAATAAAGCCAGTCGTAACTGCAGCGATTGCACCGGACACAGCCGCCGGTGCGAATTTTGCCAGCGCCAAAAGGGGTGCATCGCCCTTGATGACTTCCATGAATTGGAAGAAATAAAAAACCACAACTCCAAAGCTGGACCAACCAGCAGCGATACAACCTAGTACCCACGCGACCTCCTCAGAGAAAACGTCCCGAGGCAGTAAGGGACATGTTGCGTGGAACTCGACCCACAAGAATAATGCTAGGCATAGGAAACCCACAATCAAAAGTACGTAGACATAGACAGTCGGCCAGCCGACAATTGGGCCTTGATTCCAAGCGAAATTAATCAGAATAAGAGCGGCTACACCGAGTGAGCCCCCTAGTAGATCACATTTGACCCACCATGGAATTTGAACTGATACTTTCGGGGGTTGTGAATCGGGAATAGCGAAGAAGCCGAGGGCCGAAAATGCTATACAGACAATTCCCATGATCCAATATCCCCATGGCCACCAGGCGCGCTCTGCTAGCAAAGCCGAGAAGGCACCTCCAATAATAAACCCTCCTGGCGCGGTCGCACCGAATATACTGAACACCATGTCCTTTCGAGGGCCAGCTGGGTATGTGCGCCCCAGAATAGCCAGGGCGTTTGGTAACAAAAAGGCCGGACCGATTCCTTGAAATGCACGACAAATATCAAAAAATATTTGGTTCGACCATACCGAGAACCCTCCAAGAAGAGACCATAGCCCAAACCAAGCGAAGCCACCAATGAACATAAGTTTATGCCCATAAAGGTCCCCTAGTCTCCCTGCAACCAGAATGAACGTACCAACCGTCAGGCTGTACGCGGCTGCGTACCAACTTAGTTGACCGGGATTGGTCACGTGGAAGCCATCCCCAATGATATGAAGGGGTACAATAGCAATGGCAAGGCCTGCCTGTGTCATCAATTGGGCAGCACAAACCACGGCGACGAACATGATCTCATGCAGCAAGCTCTTTGGAATTTCCATCGCTGATTGGTTGGTGATCGCCCGAGCGAGATCTCCCTGGTGAGAGTTCGAAGGTTCAGCATCAGGAAGATAGCCAGAAGGCTCATTTAATGAGTTTTTGCGAAATTCTCCTCGTTCGTCGGGCATCTTCGCGCGCAAGGCCTAGCTGTAGAGCCAGGTTGGGGTGTTGGGGTTGCGGCCTGCTCAGGTCTGGCTATATGAAGGCGGGTTGCACGCGACGACCAGCAGACTTGACTGATATGAAGTGATTTGTGGATTTTGAACTCAGAATGAAATGGCAAAAGGTCACAGTTGCACTTCGATGGCACCTGAATGCAAAATTCTGCAGATAAGCAGAACGGGTGGATCGGCGCGGGAGCGGAGATCGGGATTCTCACACCGTCACGCAAAATTCACAGCTCCAACATCGGCAAGTTGTGATTATCTACAAGTGCCTAGGGCATACCTAGGGAGTGCAGACAAATTGTTATATTCAAGTCTCCGCGGCCAACCGGGTTGCGGTCAATGGATAATCATCTTTCTTGTCTCACTGTGATCACGAAAATGTTCTGACTTGATTATTCAGCTTGTACAAATGCTGAAGGGGTTGCAACTCTCAAAAGAGCTCATGGCTTCTCTTCTGATTGCTCACTTGCTACTTCACCAATTCCGACTGTTATGGAACTGGTGGTACTGAACTAGGGTTAAAGATTAACGGCACATGCGCAATATGTACTACTTGATCCTGGAGGACCCGCTTATTGAGAACCTCGACACGATTTCCCCGTTAATGCTTTTCACGACATCTCGACGGTAGCTCGGCCGTCTGAACGCGAAGCCAGATGGTGTTCCTCTTGCTCTAAGTACCGATGAGGATGTATGAGGAATTTTTAACATGCGACCCTTGATATCTCGTGTCACGATCATGAAACCATCGAGGGGTTCTGATACGCGCACCATCGATTTTACCACCCACACCATTTTACATAAGCAAATTCTTAGGTAATCTAGAAATCACGGGTATAATCGGATAAAAAGTCATGTGATCATCAACCTCATCTATCAATTTACTGGGCTGATTATAAAATAGCAGATACTAATTGGTTATATAGTATTATTCGACTATATTTCCCGGAGTAAGTGATTAAATTAATACACACACAGTATGATCTAGCCCCACAAACTAGCCTAATCGGGTAGTGTACAGGTTATTTTACTCCCTCAATAGGCCTACCGCCTAAGGTTCCTTATAAGTATCGATTATCTAATCTTATTAGATTAAATCAGTCGATTTTATTGGATAAAATCACTCTATTATAGTTTATTAAGCCTATTCTAGCAGGATTACACCTAATTCTACCACTAAGTATACCCTAGTAGTAGAAACGGGTAGCAAAATACCCAATTGGGAAGGTAAGTAGCCCAAAGAGGAAGTAGAAGGCGCTAAGTAGGTATTCCGGGTGTGAAGAGACTAGGTATACGTTTAGGAGATACCCGATATAGAAGTTTTGATATTATTTGTATTGTCTAATTGGGAAATTTTTGTTGTTCGCTGTTATGTATATTCTGAGATTGATAAATGAGGTTGATAATCACATGACTTTTTATCCGATTATACCCGTGATTTCTAGATTACCTAAGAATTTGCTTATGTAAAATGGTGTGGGTGGTAAAATCGATGGTGCGCGTATCAGAACCCACCATCGAGACGGTGATTATGTCATCACACTTGGGGCAGATCGGGCCGGAAGCCGAGGGAAAACCCGATCCGATTCCGCCTCAGAAGAAAGGGCGTGATCCACACATATACACGCATCAATCCGACACACTGCCCCGAATTATAGTCACCACTCTAGGTCAACTTCGACGGATCTAAGAGAAATTCTTGTTTTATGGGGCCATCCGTCCGGGCCGCTGAGATTATTCCCCACATCCCCACTGGGTGTGGGACACCGAGGATGTCTAAGGCAACAGGCGGTTCACTAGACTTATTGCAAAAGATTGAGATCGAAAAATATTCCGTTCGTATCTGATTACATTGCTCGAGAACCATATTAACATCCGATATTAGACAACTTTCCAAATCCCTCTTCCTGCACAAGGCTGAAAGCGGATATATAACAACTTGGCCAAAACTCGTAGAACGTCCCCCTTTTCTGCTGCAGCATGTCCAACCCACACGTGCGACATGCCGACAGACCCCATCAAGCGAAGCTTTATTCAAGCATCGTCATCCGAGATCTTCTCGGTAACGGTACCATCGTCTGTAACAACAATCTTGTGCACATTGAGGGAAGCCTTGACAGGGTTGGGCTGCTGGTAGACCCACTCCAACTGTTCGAGGGTACGGCCCTGAGATTCAACACTGTAGTAGCATACGTTAGCTTGAAAGGGTTTCGAGATGTGGGAGGATTGGGGCTGGACTTGGATGAAACATACCAGAAGAAGTACCAGAAGACGGACTCGAGAACGTCCCAGCCGACGAAAATCCAGAAGTAGTTGGTAGAAATGTTTTGGAGACCAATGGGCGTAGCGAACTGACTGATGAAACTGATGCTGGAGACCATGAAGCCAGACAGGGCCAGACCCTTGGAACGAGTGGTTGTCTCCAGAGCCTCGGCGGGAATGACACCCTGGAGGGGAGTGTAGGTGAACGAGAAGATCACGTTGAAAAGGTAGTAGAAAGCGAGAGCAGCCTGGCCCTTGGTCTTGCCGATGGAACCAGTATTGGCGACTTCTTGCAGAATACCGGCGTTGATGGCCAGGGCGACAGCGCATGCTGTATATTGGTTAGCCGGGCTGATACTCACAGTCTCAGGGGAAACCGCAAAACTCACCAAAAGTACCGAAGATGAGAACAGGGCGACGGCGCATTCTGTCGGTGAAGTGCACGGCGGTCAATGCACCAATAGCTGAAACGATAGAGTTGACGAGGTTAAGCAACAACTGGGTTGAGCTGGACTCGTATCCAATGACCTTGTAGATAGTGGCGTTGAAGTAACCAAGACCGTTTCCAGACCACTGTCCAAAGACGGAAATCATGATGACCTGGGCGAAACGCCAGCGTCCACTCTTGGTGGTGATGAATGGGCGGTCTGGGGAGATTTGAATCTTGGTCAGTTGCTATCGCGATAAATCGTACTGAATGTCGGAAGTGCAAAACTTACAATCCCACCATCTCTTGTCAATACCGTCAATTCGAATACCCTCCTTCATCTCCTCAATCTCAAGACGGACCAAGCGAGCGTTGGGGTCACCATTGCCGTGATACTTGACCAGGAATGCCTCGGCCTCTTCGTTGCGGCCATTGGCGATGAGCCAACGAGGTGACTCTGGGATGAACCAGACAGAGATAATGACAATAATACAGGCAAAGCACTGGCAGAGGAAGGGGATACGCCACTGCCAGTTGTTGTTAATGTGCTCGGTACCGTATGTGAGAGCAGCGGCGGGGATAGAGCCACCGAACCAACCACAGTTGTAGAAGCCTGTTCTAGCGTTAGGATCGATCTATAGAATTTTTTCCGACAAGATCCAGATATACTTACCGACGGCACGACCACGCCAGTGAGGCGGGGCAATCTCGACAGCGTAGGCGGGAGCGGAGACGACCATGACTTGAATGCCGACACCGAGAACAAATCGGCCGACAACGAATTGTGCCAGAGTCATCGCACTGGTGATAATGACAGAGCCAACAATAATGACCAAGGAGCCAATGAACATGCACTTGCGACGGCCAAGCCTGTCGGAAATGATAGCACTGATAGGAGTACAGACCATGGAGCCACTGGGAAGAATTCATATCAGTTGCCGTAGTGTATGTAGGGTGGAAAGCAAACATACACTGTATAGAGGGACATAACAACAGAAACCTTGGGGCCATCCATTCCAGTCTTGAAGATTGCTTGATAGTGGTCCATAGCGAGGATAGATCCCATCAGAGATCCTGTGTTTGGTCAGTCAGTGTCATCTTTTGGGGATGATGAAACAACGCACCATCATAACCGTTGGCACAAGCACAACAGAATGCGACAAAGATACAGACTGCAATGGTCGCATCGAATGTCAGTGTCTGAGAACAATTAATCGATCAAAAAAGGGTCACTGACAGTACAAGTGCAATGATTCCTTGCTCCATCTCTCAATCTTGGTCTCCTCCAGGGCGGCGAAAAGATCGGCCTATGGTACTCAGTCTAGATCAGTATTTCGCCCATACACAATCAAGCATTGGGAAGGCCACTGACATTTTGGACCTCCTTGGTCTTTGCGCCCTGACGCTGCGTCGGTCCATGACCAGCGTGAGAATTGTCTTCGATGGCAGAGGAGATGCCGTACACCTCCTCTTTAGCGTTCTTTGTGTCCGACATGATGTGACCCCAGTATTGGAATCGACGATCTCGGTTGATGATCCGGTCAGTGATGAGCGGGGACTGGGGCGATGAATCGTGAAATCCATTAGCAGCGGGGCAGGATGTGGTTCTTATAATAATGTCGGCATGTCAGATCGAGTAATTAGAGAAATATCACTATAATCCATTTCGGGATTTGGGTCGAGTCTCCGGTTCCCCAGACTCCGTTTGCCTTGTGACCCCGGTCCCCCCTGTCCTTGTCAGGAATAGGCGCCTCCAGTTGGTGGCTTTTCCAAATACCTCCGCGTCCTGATTGGAACCGGGACATTCCCCAATCATACCATTATTACCTCCACCAGAGTGGTCAAATTTCGATTCACGCATTGAAAGAAATTAAGGTCTGATACCTGGATAGCCGGCCCTGTGTCCCGTTGAGAAAAACTAGAAACTGGCTTAGAAGGTTGAAACAGTTGGGGCCAAAAAGCCCCTTTTCGAATTTGTCTAGCTAGTCTCAATTCACAAGTAGCTCGCGAGCCTAGAATTCCAGGCCAAATACTTACTACAAATGGCATTAGACTAATGCTAGCTACATATTCACATGGTCTGAACAAGATTGCTTCATTTACTCGACACGCCTTTCCATGTGACTGGCGACGTGCCCAATTATTATTTTTGAGGGTTTGTTTTGTCTATTGATAGATATGGATTTGCCATCGAACGGCGTGTGTTCCAAAAATGATCCTTTGCATGATGCGTTGGAATTCTATATTCAATTCCTTTGTCGGGGAAAGCTAGTAAACACTGCACGGAGGCCATTGTCACCGCGGAGGCCACTCCGTGTTGGATCGTTCACGGGTCCTCCCCCATTCCCCCGTTCCCCCACAATCCACTAGGCTGTTTCTGGTCGGTTTAGCCTCATTTGGTAGCTGCTGCTCAACCCTGTCAGGACAGGGAAGGGTTCCCCCTAATGCATGTACGCCACAAACCTTCCCTGGGGGGGTAATTCAATTACCAACGAGGAAGATGAATCAATCTTTAATATGCAACTAACACCTGTTTCTGTATTTAATGGTCTGTATGTATTTGAAAAATGTACTGTATTTATAACCCATGATGTAGATGCATATGCATGATTTAGGGGACTTTCTTGACCTTACCCTCTTAGATCATGGTGGAAATAGGCCATTCCTTCGACCATCACACTCCATGAAATTTCGGCCCGAATCTCCCAATGTACCCCGGAGTTCCCACTGAATCCAAGCCGTGCGCTGAGGTAGGTGTGCACGAGCACCAAAGCAAGATTGAGATGCATCTAAACTCTCGGGACAGAGCGCTATTGGGATGGAGATTGGACCGACGACAAGAAACGATCTCGCTACTCCCGGCCGAGCTGAGAGTCACTAGAGGCGACACTTCCCAGACGGAGATGGCCACGGAGATGGGTCAAGAGACACGCTCAAGTGTCTGTGGCCATTCTTGCCCACTCATACCTCCGTACGGAGTACTCCCCAGCTAGTAACTTTTCAGAGTCACCCGTGATGTCTTGGCAGCTGGCCTGACTGGAATCGTTAAAAGGGGGTAGGCCCCGCCTGAGGGCTAGAGAATTGGCACGGGACCACCAACCATTGCTCGGCATAAAACGCCCAAATGGTTAGACGCACACCAAGTGGCGTTTGTGGCAATGAATATCCTGGAGTCCTGGAATCGGTCCACTCGGACGAAAAAAAAACAAGCTTGCGAGCGACATGTCCCGACAGTCCTCGGGAATCAGCAGGCCTCGGCCCTTTCTTTTCGAATTGTCGGAGACCGTCACTGGGCTTGGCATACATTTTCTTCAAACATCTTGCCGAGAGAGGCAAACAACAGCAGACGTTTATGTTCCAGACGTCGTGAGGTGTTGTTGAGCATCCCTTTTGCCACATAGACTTGAGTCATATCGCTAAGCCAATAGAATGTAGGGTTCCAAGGTCATGCCAGATGAAGTTTAGTCGGGAGTCAATATAGCATGGTATGGATGTATTGCATTCGGATCGGCGCCTGGAAATCATCTAAACCCCACCGTTTGTAGTCGGTACTCCGCAAAAATTCGATCTCGTATTATCCAATATTGGGCAAACTGCACTACTCCGTTGAGGCCGTGCTTATTTAAGATGATTAGTCCCTAGCCGTATCCTCCGTACGGAGTATGGAGTAGCCCATAACCTCGAGCCTCGCTAAACACTAGCACTGCTATAGAACTTGGCGTTTATACACGCAGCTGACAGGTTGGCCATGAATACCCAAATCTCCACATGCGTATTTTGGCTTTCTCGCTAGCCCCAATCAAGACAGCAAAATCTGCCATGTCAACCATGGTCTGATCACAAGATCGAGACGGATGTGCTAGTGCTCTACTCCGTACTCCGTACGGAGTACGGAGTAAGCCCTACTAGGCTCGATGGCGAGAAAGATTTGCTCGGGTGACCGACAACCCTAGAACCCTCCAATCGGCTGTGATCACGAAGTGTAACCAAGTCTCTCGTAGAGCCTCAATTCTAGACCTTGCATCCCCTGATCGCTCTTGGATCTTTGCTCATGCTATCGCTCAAGTAATGCACCAGTAACATGTTATGACTGTCTAGTTGTTTGATGATTTGGAAAACCCGAAGCTCCTCCTCCACTGATAGAAAGTTCATGAGCACTTCCCTTTTGCTCTCTACGAGTCTCAATTGACCTTCTCTTTCTGTCCTTTTCGGGCCATATTTCTACAGTTAGTACGCTGACCATCGCATGACCTCGACGTTGATTTTCCCAAAGCTCACTCCAATCATCCCCACTTGTTTTAGACAAGTTAGCAAAGGCTATCCAGTGACAGAGATGAAGGCAAAGATATCATTACTTACCAAAGGACATCTACATGAGCATATTAGATTACAAAAAAGAGCCGGACTCACATCACATCTTGACGCTCACTATCGCCACTAGAACGCTAAATTGGACAGATGGAAAACGAAACGAACAGCATCGCAAAGAGCTCGATTGGGCTAGTTTAACAATCCATTATCCTAATTCAAGAGACTCGTCTTGGAGTTTCCCAAGGACCATCGGCCGTAGGGACTCAAAAGCTTGAATGCAGAGCTTGATTCTGTGGCCCTCGATCTCACATATTCTGCCCAATGCTGGCCACCTCCATGCTGCTGATCATTTAGGGATACGAAAAACAAATATGACATCGGGCCGCGAACCAGTACTATCCAAACAACCCCAGCGCGCTCAAGGGGATGTGTTGCCTTTTCATCAGGCCATCTCAGTCTTCCCCGTGCAGACTCTAAGTCCCCCCCTCTGCTGGTTTTCTCTATGTTGGAAAGACGGCAAATGCCTACTTGAGGTACACAAGAGAGCCAGTGTCCCAAAAATATCAATCAGTGCCGGCCCGAGTTTAGGTTCCTCATCACCATGATTATAGGGAGCTAGTATGATTGTTCACCCGTCTCATCAGCGATACTACCGTGAACACTCCCAAGGCACTCCTAGGATAAAGGTTCTTTTGGAAGTATTGAGCTTGGGGGGGCCTTTATCGGTTCCCCAGCTGGGTCGGTCCATCCTCGCAAGGGTATCAGTATTAAACTCGTACTCCATTTTCAATTCATCTTTCATTTCTAACTAGTGGAACACAATGCTTGATACGAGTTGTGTAGCTCATTGGAAATTTGCTAACTTGGAGCAAGAAATTGGATATGTGTGTGAACCCTGGAGTTGAAGCTTAGTTTCGGAAACTGCTGAGCTAAGAGCATCCGAGACATGAACATCGGAGTTTTTATCTTTTCCACCGAGTGCCAATGACTTGGGCTGGATATTCTTGGGGCAGTACAATACCACAGGCTGCCCCTTCTTGGGTTTCTTTATTCTCATACATGCTATCTATATCATTAGTAATGGCATCATTAGAGACATAGAATTCAAATATCATACCTTGAGCCAGCTTATTCATTGAAATTCCGGACTCCAATGTAACCACCGCACGATAGCTTGGCAGGTGGTTGAGGTTGATACCTCGCGTGTGTGTGCCTCATCCAGGAAGACATGGCCCAGAGACCGCACACGTGCATGTCCCAGGTTTTCCCTCTATCAGTCCATGTAGAGCAGCTTCAGCCGCAAAGGACTACCCTTCCACATTGACATCGCAAGTTGTGGTGTCGAACTAATGATTGTATTGTTAGATTTCCACTAACTGTTTGTCGCTTTGACCTGGCATGCAAAGCTCTGTCATAGTCATCACAGCCCCAAGAAGATGACTCTGTATCTTGTAGAGTTTTTTCGGTTCTTGCTCGGGGCGGAGTTAGGAACAAGGGATCGAGGGCGCCGGAATTCTTCCAGGCGCGATGCCAGCTCTGATGATGTGATGTAAGGCGAAGAAGGGTACAAAGAGTGTCTGAAGTTTGGGTAAAGCTGAAGTGGCTGAGATCAGATGAGAATTTGAAACCTGTGGCAGGACTTCAGAGTTCAGACCCAGGTGATACCTTTCTCCCTCACTTGGCTAATGGCTCGTTGGAAAAGGCCCTCAAGGCCATATGTATTGATCGGATTTGACAATAAGTGAGCACTTGAAATGGGCTGGGGTGTCTCTCTTTCTTGTAGAATTCAAATTTGCGTATGTGCTTTAACACTTTGTAGGAACTCGTCAAGACAAAGTCCGATTAAAAGAGAAGATATTTGCGGACTCTTTGCGATCTGCTTTATTCGGATGTCGTAAGATTTTTAGGGTTTGGTGAAAGTTGGAAAGTGAGACTCAGCCTTCCCCTGCCCAAATATATTTTCAGAGCATACTCAAAAGGGAGAGATGAATCTGACCTTCAAAATTATACTTATCATTTTTAACATAGGAGAGAAATACCTTCGCTTTACTCTTACCAGAGTATCACTTTTTTCGAGTGGGCATATTCAATGCTTTCTCATATAGATAGCGAGACAGGTATGCCATGAGAGATGATACTCATACCTCATCCACTATATCTCCCCACAACCCCCAATGTCGGCGATTTTATCTCTCCTCCAACTTTCGCAACTTGTGAGGACCCTCTCTGAAGTGAGAATGAGTGAGCCGCAAAGCCCACGTTGGCCTAAGGGCTCAACCTTCGAAGCCCAACCCAACCCACAGCCCATTCTTAGGGACCCATTTAGGAGGTTCAACTATCGCTGCAATCTGACTCTTCTACTGAATTCAAAGAGTCTATATTCTAAGATTGAAATCAGTATATAAGTATATATCCTGATTCTAGACGATATAAGACCAGTAGGGGTCGAGAAATCGCGGAAATATCAACGGAAAAGTCGACATATATATATACTAGATCTATACGGGAGTCCTACCACTTTTTGGTAAACCTATATAATCTAAATACACGCGTTCTTTTCCTTTTTTAGACCTGATATAGAGAGATACACAGTAACTAATTCGAAACGCTTTCAACAAGTAAAACTTTACCTTTGGGATAAGGCTGAGAACGGGGTTAAACTGAAGGGTAATTTTCAAACCCCAAAAAGGGGGTTCAACTTTCATGTTGTACTGTTTGGGGGCTGATTTGGGGCTGATTAATCCACAGTGGGCCCGGGCTGGGCCTTGGGCCTTGGGCTTTGTGGGCTTTGTGGGCTCTGCGGAGGTCTATCCACTACCATCGGCACAGGCCACTTGGCCAATGGGCACTCTATCTGGCGATGATAAAGTGAGACTTGAGATAAATGGGAATTTGCAGTGTTTTGAAAGCATATCGGTTGCTAGATCACACGTATGGAGGGTAAGGTAAGTCAAAATATTGAACTCCGTGCACAGAAGGGTACACGCATTGCCAACCTTGAGATTAAACTACCGCCCGATATTCCTGGGCAGCAGCTGACTATTGAAGCTTCCATTGTGATGACCCCTATATGCAGACTCAAAAAGGTCTCTAATTACCCTAGGATGTGGCCACGGAGAAAGTGTCACTGGAACGACTGTGCTGCTTGTTCCAGCTTCAGCGTGAGCGACACTCTTGAACAAGGTGCCCGCTTTTACTGACGAAAATAGCGCTTGAATTGGACTTTAGGTTGTTTGATACGCTGCATTATTGCTATCACTGCTTGCCAATGCAGTTTCCCGTAATTTTGTCTGTGTATGGGTTCTTTGTGGGCTTTCAATTTGCTAACCTCCCCCTGAAGCTATATAGATGGCCTCATGCCTGCCATTTCTCTCCATGTTTGGAAAATTTTTGATCATTCTTCTTCGCCTCCACACGTACATTTTATATTGCCACTCAGTAATGGTTATGTATTAATATAGATAGCTCGATACAGCACTCTACCTACTGAATGGATGGAAATACACAATTTCCATCTCACGGGCTCCTAACTCGTTCTCACTTCAGCCTTTCTCAGTTGAGGTTCTCCTTCTCTCTTCCCTTGTTATTTATCACACATCTCCTATCATTGCTGTATAACCCTTTTGAGAGCCACCAAGAGTGTCGTACTCAATCCTAGCCATTAGGCCAGCGTCCCTTTTGAACGTTCGTATCCTAGATCAATCATTATGTGGACCGTATAGGGGGTACTAACCGAAGCCTTTTAAGGAAACTGAGAGAGTTTCTCGTTAGAAGTGGTCTCCCGACCACGAACTATTTTGTCAGGTTATAGTTGAACAGGACTTCACAAGACGACTGGACCCAGAACGTAGCTTGGCCTCAGCAGCTATGGCTATGAAAAATTATTACGACAAATCTCACATGCGGAAATGGCTCAACCCAGGCGGCTTTGTCTACCTCAAACTAGGCCACGGGTACAATATCAAAGCCAACCAAGGCTTGCTAAAGAAGCTGGCCCGAAATCTCATGGGAAAAGTCAAGGTCCTTGAGCGCGTGGGCCACACAGCCATGAATACTCCGAGCATTTCATTTCTATAGTGAGTCCCCAAGCATCGTCGCGACGAGTGACCCTGAATTTTCTGATATCGTGTCTGTCAGGCTGAAGATGTCGCCTCTTGCCCGTGACAGCCCTCTATCTTCCAAACTTTGTTTATCCCTCTGTTTGCTTCCAAGCGTAGATATTGCTGGTGTGTATAAATTTTACAATAGTATCCCATGTCTAGCATATATTGCGGGCATTAGGGGTAGGGTGAGAAATGACCACGTCTTTCGTGATAGTCATGGAGGCTGTTTAATATGTACATATCTCTCAAGCTGAAGATCAAGGGCAGAGAACTTCAGAAAGGAGTTTTAAAAAGCATAAGATTTGCGCCGGTACCTATAGACCATCTACACTTTGGATACTGAGACGCATCTTTTCGATTTTCTCTCGTCTTTCATTCTTTCCCTCCCTTCCTTGACATCCTTCCACTGTCCCATCTCCTTTTCCATTCTCATTTCTTATCTCTTCGAGTCGTCCAATTTCAAAGATCACACCATTTCACACAATATCTTATTTGATGCCGGCGTTTAACCTCTGGGGTGTGTATCTCATATCGAGGGTAAACTGTGAATGACACTACCTAACCACGTCAATCTACAGACAAACGTCCGCGGCCCACTACACGCTGGTACCTCACTCTTTGGAGTCCTCCTTTGGATAGGACCATTGTGCAACTAACGTTTGCGCTGTCCTATAGTGGGAATAGGATCGTTCCCTGGCTTTTTTTGCTGTGGTAGGCCACAGCATCTCTCTCAGGCGGAGTGATTCCCATTCTTCTAACATTTCCGCACATTTGCAATAGCCTGGGACTCTCGCGACAATCCAAAGTGCACAAGGGTTTCTTCTCATTTTCTCGGTGAATTCCACTTTCATTGATAGCCCGTATTTCCGGATCATCCCCGGCGAGATCGGTCATGATGTGTGCTTCGGCCAGCGATAGGTAACAGAACTATGACGTGCCCGTATACGGCCTCGTGAACGACATAGGAGCAATGTTACGGAGTAGGCACGTTACGGAGTAGGCACACCGAGGCAGCCGCAGTATGCCAGTAGTATAGGCCGTACAAGGAATCAGCATAGGACTCTTTTAGGTGTCAAGAGGTCCCACAGTGGAAAGTCAAGTTCAGTGCCCAAGCCAGCAAGGTCCCCCGGTCGGCACGTGATGAAGTCATTGTCTCGTGAGTACATCGATCCGGGCATCCTAGACCAATTTTCAAACGAGTAATTCAGTCAATCTCTTGAGTATATCAAGTCAGCGGTAGGATCATTTACTGTTGTTTTCCTGTGTTTTCTCTCTACTCTGGACCCTCTGATTGGTTATGTGGAGTTCGGCTCCCACACCCGCCTAGTGACGTGACCGTGCAGATAAGATCCCTCAAGGTTTCCAAGGCCAAAAATATTTTCGACCTTCATCCACTTTCAAGTCTTGGATTTGGTTCAGAGGACTTATGCAGTCAGTTTTCTTACTGCTGGGCCTCTTTGCCGACGCCATCTCCGCCAGCCCCTTGGGGCAACAGCCCTTGGGTATTCCAACGGAGCCTACAGGCCTGGCGGAGGGTTTGCACAAACCTGTACGCGGACGATTCTTACATATAACTGGTGAGGGGACGGCCCTTGATGTCCAGGTCTCTCTTGTGTAACTCCATGCTGACCAACAGATTTTCATCCCGACCGCCTCTACAAACCCGGAAGCTCGATCGATCGCTCGTGCCACCACGGTAACGGTCCCGCAGGGTATTTTGGAGCGGAGGGGACAGATTGCGATTCACCCTTATCACTTGTCAACGAGACATTTCGCTGGATCGAAGAAAACTTGAAGGATGATATTGATTTTGTGATTTGGACCGGGGATTCTGTCCGACACGACAATGATGAAAAGCTCCCTCGCACAGCAGATGAGATTATGAATTTGAATGCCTTCCTGTCACAAAAATGGATTAGCATTTTTGGGGAGGAGGAGGTCCGTGAAACCTCGAATGTCGCGCCCAAGATGTCGATCCCTGTCATCCCGACCTTCGGTAACAACGATATCATGCCCCACAACATCTTCAACGAAGGCCCGAACAAGTGGACAAAGCGTTTTGCGGAGATATGGGGCCAGTTCATCCCAGAGGATCAGCGTCACACCTTTGTTGAGGGCGGTTGGTTCACTACGGAGGTGGTCCCCGGTCGGCTGGCGGTCATCAGCCTCAACACCATGTACTTCTTCGATTCCAACAGTGCGGTGGACGGATGCAACGCCAAATCGGAACCTGGATACGAGCACATGGAGTGGTTGCGGGTACAGCTGAAAATCCTGCGCAGTCGCAACATGAAAGCTATGCTCATGGGCCATGTGCCCCCGGCGCGATCGAGCGAAAAAAAGAACTGGGATGAGACATGCTGGCAAAAATATACGCTCTGGATGCACCAGTACCGTGACGTTGTTGTCGGCAGTTTTTACGGCCATATGAACCTGGACCACTTCATGCTCCAGGATAGCAACAAGGTGAACATTGATTCCACGGTTGATGGGAAGGTCTCAATCAGATCAAAAACCGACTATCTTGAGTCGCTCCGAGATCAATGGTCCGCATTGCCATCTCCTCCGTCGGACATTTTCGAGGAGTCTGACTCCGGATCGAATTTAGGCGATACCTCAGAATTTCAACCGGCGAAGAGAGACAAGAGGGGTAAAAAGAAGGATAAGAAGAAGCAAAAGTTCTTGGACAAGATTGGAGGCCCGTGGGCAGAGCGATACAGCGTCTCGCTAGTAGCTCCCAGTTTGGTCCCGAACTTCTTCCCCAGCCTACGCGTGATCGACTACAACATCACAGGATTGAACGATGTCGCACATGGCCTGGACTTCCTCGCCCGCGAGGTCGACGATACGACCTTTGAGCTTGACCGGGATGCGGTTGATACGCCGGAAGCTAGCGATGATTCTCTCACTCCCGAAATTCAGAAAAAGAAGGACAAGGACAAGAAAAAGACACCCAAGTTCAAAGTCCCCGAGCCCCCATCGTCCACCGCTCCTCCTGGGCCTGCATACTCGAACCAGGCATTCACATTGCTTGGCTACACTCAATACTACTCTAACCTAACGAAACTCCACGAACAGATCGCGGCAGGCGAACGAGGCAAGGATGCCCGTCTCGACTACGAGATTGAGTACACTACAAATGATGAGGTGTATCAAATGAAAGACCTGACAGTCCGCAGCTTCTTCCAACTCGCAGCCAGAATTGCCGAGGATGGAGCGGAACAAGAGCAGACGGGCGACGTCAATAGCATAGGCGCTGATTCCAAGCAAAAAAAGAAGAAGAAGAAGCCGACGAATGATATTTGGCGGGCATTCTTGAAGCGCGCATTTGTTGGATTTCCAGTTGATGACTTGGATGAATAGGGCGATTTTGTAGCATTTCTGGATACTTTTGCATGTATACATATTAACTTCTCAGGCTTATACAGTGGAGACTTGTGGATTCGCAAGATGAACACATTTGTTAAAAAGTACAAATTTAGAAACCAAAGCAGGTTCTTCATTGGTCTTCCATAGTACAATTTCTACGGACTTTCATTGGAGCAACAGCTCTATGGCGGTGTAATAGGGTGTAACTTTGGGCACTGACAGCCATTGTAGATCGGTGTGTATAAGGAACACCAACTTGCATCACTTATGGAGTACATTAATACAATATATTGCCAGCGTGGCAGTCCGTGCTAAAGTTTCAATCCCGAGGACTTGGGCAGCTATTTAGATGGTAAATGAGGCAAATTATCCAATCTATGCCCTTTCGCCTTGAGCCACGTAGCCAAACCGTCATTACCGTGATAAGGCGCATTTATGGACAGCACTGAGGTGAGATAAGTTGCCACTGGGTATCGCGCAATTATACACTGTAGGTCATCAATAGACGCCCTTGTATCTCACTTTTGTGATGATGGTGGGACTATCATTTACTATACAGTACGTACATATCAGGGGAAAGCTGTAGGACCTTGCATAGAAAAACTCTCAATTTTCTTTTTTCCCTATGGGCGTCAACTACAGCCCTAATCCTTCCATTTCTGACCCAACGCTCGGAGCTCGAGCCCCTTAGCTTCATACCCGAGAGAGTCCCCAATTTCTTCCCCGCACAGAGTTGACCATCGAACACTCTCACCCCCCTACTTTCTCGGCCGCACAATGCGTCAGGTCTACTTGAAACCCAGCTCTAAGCTCCATCACCTTTGCTGCTCCTTGCGTTGCTAGCCGAATCCCCAGCGCAACCATTCGGAATTCCGTCGCTAGACCGAAACAGGCAATATTGTGTCAATTGATCGCGCGGATAACATTGCTCCGCGCCGTGTCGACTACAATTCGGACATTAGATACGCGGTCGCAGTTGGAATTGATACCGCCAGGAAACGAAAGCCATTGGCTGTGATATACTCGGTCCGAACAATCGCCCTCTCGGGTCCCGCCGAACCTTGCAGCTTGCGCGAAACCTATTGCTCTTGGTTTCGGATATACTGTGTATTTTCCCTTTTCGACTGGCCTCGTCGCTGGAAGAGTCTGAGCTTTTTGTGCGCCAAGACCTTGATTGCGCAGATCAATTGGTCCGTGGCTGAGGGATACGCGCGTGGTTGGAGCATGATTCAGTCGCTGCGTTTGATTATTTGAATTCCTGTTTGAGCGTCTTTCGGTAAGTCTGAGCTGTGTTCGTCTATTCCCTTGCCCGTTGAGACATTCCCAGCTACTCAATTGAGTTTTCCTCCGGTCAATTGGTCTTCTCCGAACCTCCCCGCCTATTGCTCAAGACCAATGACCAATATGGCTGACTCCATATGCTCAGACTCCCCAATCCCCGAGCCCTGCGCTTTGTGGATGGCCTCCTCCGAAGTGGATCAGAAGGCCCTGGGCAATTTCGCTGCCGTCATGGGCCTCGAAAACCCCCTGCTCTCAGCAATGCTATACAAAGTCCTTGGCGTCTCTGTCATGTTATCAAAAAAGCTTCTTCGAGCTCGAAAGCTGCGACGACTTGACACAACACGCGAAACAAGATCCCTCCAGCTGTACCATCACATAATATGGCTCTCTCGCGAAGGCCTACTAATACTGGAGGGCTACATCCTCCCCATGGTAGACAGGTTTGTCGAGCTCAAAGTGCTCGCCTACAAGCTCCGCGCTTCCTTCTACCATATCTTCGTCTTATTCCACAATCGCCCGATCTTCACTCCAGAAACCGACATGCCAACTCGCTTCAAACATGACTCTATATACGGCGCAGACACCCTAACCGCTCTCGGCGTCCCAGACTCCAAATCCAAGATAAATACCGCAACACCGACATCCAGACCCCCGGGTCTACCAGTAATGCAACCAGTTCAGCCACCGCAGCCAGTTTCCACCTTCCTCCTCCCTCCACTGGACTACACAGCGACCGCAACAGCTTGCTTCAACCACGCAGCAGCCCTCTCCGACAAACTCCTCCCAGGCTCACACCCTCTCCGTCTGTCAGTCAAGCTCGAATACGCAGCGTATCTATACGACTGCCTCCAAGACCCAATCGCCTGTCGCCGTCTCGCAAAACAAGCCATTGCAGACGTCTACAATGCCCAAGAAGGCATGGACGACGAGAGCTTTGAAGACGCTGCAGAGATTGTCAGTGTGCTAGGTAAGATGGTCAAACGTGGCGGGAAACCAGGCTCCAGCACCGGTACCCCTGGGAGCAGTGTCTCCCGCGCTGGTCGCTCACGCAGTCGCAGTAGTCTTGCACCTAGTCATCTTGATACTAGCGTGCCCACTACCGTCTCGCCTGTGCCTGTTACGAAGTCTACCCCTGCTTCCGAGCCCCAGGTGGGAGTAAGCCGACCGGCTGTTCCTGACGCTTCTATGATGAATCCGATTTAATCGGGATGGAAATGTGCATGATTATGATTTAATGGGCATGACACGTGAACGATTGAAGATCCGATGCTTTTACCTCTTTGTTTTGTCTTGGCGCATTGCACTTTTTTATATGTGGGATGTATTGATTTCTTTCTTGTTTTTGCTTTTACTCAGCATGTGTGTATATGGGCATTGTGCATTTCTTTTGATATCTGTAGATATACGCTACGCCTTGATGACTTTGATTCACTATTGACGAAGGAATGGCATGATTTGCGCTATACTGTTAAATGATGTCGCGTTGTATATGTTGTTACAATTGCTATACATATCGCAGCACTACTTGCACATAGGGTCCAGAAGCAAATATCAACCGTGGTTGTTTGCTGTTTGGCCTACCTGACATTTCTGCTATAAAAGTGGTGTGAAGGTAGGACAGGTATCAACCCCCGATTTTGATCTTCAACTCCGTTCTGTCATAAGCGCTTGAGATGTATCTTGCCATCAAGATCACTCGCTACCATGGCCTTCTATATCAGATATACAATTTCTATATATTTCGAGGCTCTGAAATCATGCTGCCCTCTATCTATTAGATGGTAGCCGTTTAGAAGCTATAGCACCGCTGCAGCTGATGTCCAAAAGGGTGTCGAAGGTGATGTTTCCAAAATCAGAGGATAATCCTAGTCCTTGAGGGGCTACTAATAAATCTGGACGCATGAAGGGAGATCAAACTGAGGATACGATAGAGCATTACGGCTAACACTCAATCCACGCCTAGGTTATCACAATTTGTATATGTGGCTTCTGGTGTGAGAATCTTTGTGCTTTCTGGGATTGCTATGAGCGAAAACAGCAATCTGAGAAAAGTGAGAGGTGATTGGAATACACAAGAGAAATCTGTCCAAAGACAATCGATCACCACATATTTCTCGAGAGAAGCGACCAGCAATCTTTAACATCACCCATTCAAAGAACGCTATAGCAAATCATCACCGCGTGAACACTTGACGCCTTGGTTTTCGGATGGATACCGTGAGTGGATTTCGTATGTCTTAGCACAGAATTCTAAGCAAATCGTAATTGTAGCTCGCATATTCAGATGTGGAGATTCTCAACACCTATGCGTGTCAACGGACAGGTGGAATGCATATTCGGAAGCTCCAATCTTGCTTATACATGGGCTTCTTCAATAAAAAATACCGGGTATTGGCCAGGGTCGAGCTCGTTGACTCGGTCATCAAGTTCGTTGTGCTGACCCTAGCAAAAGACTCTTCAGGTCGATATTCATGGCTGCGCTGTTATACTAGTATCTGTTGGATAAACTTGGCCTAAAAGAGTAGATTCTCTAAAAATGCGTTTCAAGCTCTTTAACGGGCATTCGAGGCTCTCAACTGAATTTTATGCAGTTGGGCGAGAGAGATTGATAAAAGTGTTGGCCAAAGCTGGACCAAGTTGTCAAGACCTACAGGGAAGGTTGCCATCGCTCCATCCTAATTTCATTTACACAGAGCCAACAGGGCTTCTCCTTCACTTTCTAATTTCCTTGAAAATGAACAGGTCGCTATCTCTATCTCTTATTGTATGTTGTTCTTATCATTCAGAACAGGCTTGACCGAAGCAGGAAGCTAATGCCTGGATAGAGAATTCCCTGCCTGATTCTCTAAGCGAGAACAAGGATGCCTTAAGCTAGGACCACTCTGCGTGATATCGATCCAGGAGCTTTGCCAAAGGAAGTCCACCAATAGACCACGGGTCGGTGGATCAGTCTTGATGAAATCGCAGACCGGCATAGAGAAGACCTATGGTCACTTCGGGGACTTCAGTGCTTGAGACCATCATTGAGATAAGGCGACGACAATCGGAACTCATAGCTCGAGACACCATTAGGAGCTGAGCGTCAAAACCTTCCAGGCGAAGGATAACGTTTCCCAGGCAAGAAGGAGGAGTCCATGCTCACAGGGCTCGTGGAAAACTTTGTTCGTGGGTCTTCACGTGCCACAATTTCCGGATGAACGAACGAGTGAGGGTATAGAGGATTGGGGTGTCGGAGTTACATGCAACACCGGAGTGCCCGCGCAGTGGTATCGCCGTGTTTCCACTCGCGGGGTTGTCCATCCTAGTCTGGTTATGCTGGAGAGAGCATGGGTATCCCAGCCGAAGGCAACTGGCACAAATACTCAAGGCGGGGTCTCTTATACATTGGGTGATGACCCCTCGGTGGTAAGACTTGCGCTGTACAGAAGCATTGATTTCTGGATGGTCTATGTTATAGTACATGGATTCAGCGGCCTGCACTTGGGTTGCCGGTGTGTCTCTCTTCCTGCACAAAAATTGCAGAGTCACACTACCGCATATCTATGGTTGAGGGTTGGCAGGGATATAAGATATCCAGCAAAATACACCTGGAAAGACTACCAGACTCACCACGCTGCGTAAGTAGCCCGCTAATCATGCCTGCTATGTATTTCTTAGTCCAAATCTAGATAGAAACCAGAAAAGATGTGACGTGGACCAGCTCTACGGAGTAGAACCGTGCCGTATATAGAGGGCCAAGCCATATAGGGCGGTGCACGTGGGCCATGATGCCGATCCATTTCTATTGTCGAATGTTGATCGGGGTTGCCTCGAGTGATAGACTTGGCTCACATCACAATATGCATAGGGCGTCCATAGACATAAGAAAAGAACCCAAGTCGAAGTGGGCTGAAATCGAAACCAGGGAAGTTGGAGCGAAATCCTGTTTTCCTGTTTCGGAGGGATCGACATAACAAATGCCTCAGGCCAGCATTGCTGGAAACAGAAAATCGAAAACTTCAGAACTGTCAAGTCAAAATGTGGCCAACGTGGGAAACATTCTTTGACGTCGACACTACTTTGTAGATTGCGGGTGAAACGGGAGACTCAAAACCAAGTGCCATCGAGTGATCGACGTCATACTCGGAGCTCTGTGCGAAAAAAAAAAATAAGAGCCAAGACAACCGCATCCGACCTCTGGAGCCATCATTCTATTCCGAATCCACTGGAATCCACCGCATCTGCTATTTTATACTCTTTCTCTCCTCCGCCAAAATACCTTCCCAACCACCTCCCTAATATACCAGCACCCCCTGCGCGTCGGCGCGTTGCTCTGCAGAAACGCTGCATCTCACGGAACATTGCATTGAACGCGAAACGGTCAATCCCCTCCATGGCCCCCAATCTGCCATTCTTGCTTCTTCTCGATTCTCGGGGACATTGAACTATAAGACACCCTTTGGAAGCTCCTGGACCGAGTTAGGGACTAGGGATGATGCGGTCCGGCTTCGATAAACCTGGCGCTCTCCCACTTCTCATCCTAATTTTGTTCTCGCTGCTCACATTGGTGCCCTCACTACCGAACCTCTACCACTCCAAGTTTGCGGACTTTAGCTTCTATACCGGCGCAGCTGGACGTACGTGCCCGTTTCCCCCAATCTCAAGCTCATGCAAGTCGACTAACCAAGCCGATCGTTCAGAGGTCCCTCTCCTTCAAGATAGTGTCACCGAGTTAGCACCGAAAGCCCACCCTCTCCTCGAACCTCGCAAACCATGGGTTCTTTCGGCGTCACACCGATCGCGAGGCAATCGCTCACCGATTACCGCACGCATTGGAAATGCCGCCGTGGTCCCGGCCAGCGAAACGACCGCTGTCGCAAATAGGAGTCGGCTCTCATCGCTGACCCGCGAATCCTCATTTTCATTCGCCCGCAGAGCCCGCGCATTCAGAACCTATTTCATTCAGCAGTTCGACGACTACCCATTCCTCACCTCATTCTCAAATCGCAGCCTTGCAGGCTCCACGCATTCATATCCTACCATGACCATGAACGACTCTCTCCCAACCTCCGACAACAAGTCTTCTTCCAGCATGCCACCCTCTAATCATCCCTCCGACGGCACTCAGAAATCATTGCTGCCCTTCTCTGTCTCCCTCCGCGATATGTGTCAGCAGGCCTACCACGTCGCCCTGGATTTTGGAAAACGCGTCGGACTCCACGGAGCAAGTTATGTGAAATCGATCTTCCTCTCGGAGCAGATCACAGCGGCTCCTACAACATTAATACCCCACTCCACAATTCCCAATGACGCCTCAAATGAAGACCCATTCATCCCATCCGAGCCAGCACCGCCCCAACAGAAAGTTGGCGCTGAGGATTCCGCCGATGCTGCCGCTGGTCGGCACTCGCGGGAACTTCATGGAAGCTGTATGGCTGTTGTGATTGGTCTTGTTGCGTGCATCATGTGGTTCTAGAGAAGACTGTTTTGGGTACTACTCTCATCTCTGTCTGCTATGTGTGATGACCTTTCTTGTTCTTATTTGGTTTGGCGCATTGTGTTAGATACGTGTAGACAATTGGGCCGGTGGCTCTGGTTTAGCCTCCTGTTGGAATCTAATAATCACATTTACCATTTCATGTCTTGGTACAAGTTCAAAATCTGTATAATATAACGCCGGTGGGTCGGCGGTTGCTTCGCCCTGTGCACATATCCTCTCTGTAACTAGTTCTTATGCCCCTTCCGGTCTTGCAATGGCCCCACACAAGCTGTCGGAGTTTATTCAGGTGCTCTGGTTCTTCCCATCACCGGGCTAGAGTTGGATATCAAGTCACAAAGCTTATTTAGGGATGGATAACTTAGAGAAATTCAAGTGCGGCGCTTTCATTCTTTTCATCGGCGCAATGTAGTGCTTCTCCCTGAGAAATACCTGATATGAAGAGATTCTACCCGTTCAAATCGACCGAATCAAGCACTTCATCTACAGTCGCACAATGAAAGGCAAATGTGCAACCAGGACGGCTTCACGCATGTGTCTCGGCTGTTATTAGTCCGTTGTTTTCTTACAATTTAAACATCCTGCAGTCCAATCATCATCGAGAAGGAAAATATTATCTGCCCAATTCCGATTATCCTCTATGGTGTATTTGTTCAAGTACATTTGAACTATAATATGAATCATACTTGTGTGTTGATATCCGAGGATCTTTCACGGGATACATATGGGAATGCACGGAATTTCATCGCATATGCTCCACGACTCTCAGCAAGGATGTTCCGGATATTCCATCACCTTCTAATTGCTCATCAAGAATTGTTGAAGGAACAGCCTGAAAGCCCCGATACCTGATGACAGAAAGCTAACCCAAAGTGGTAAGGGACTGGGGATTTTCGCGGTCGTTGATTGGTCATTCCGAACTATACCCACGATGCACTTGAAGCACTTGAAGCACACTTAATCCCATTATCCCCGAAAGGAAACGTATAAAAAGAACCATTATGCCAGACTGAAATGGAGGAGACATCAGGCAAGATTTCTTTCCTTTCTTCATTGCTCCCTTTTTCCATCTCCAAACACCCTCATCCAAAATGTCCAACAATCAACAAGTGCTCCGCTCCGAGGTCGTTCTGGAGAAATATGGCAAGGCCCTCGCTGGAAAGACAGGTGATTGACAGTTTCTATCCCTATTTTGCCAAAGAGAAAAGCACTGACAACCCCTCCTCCTTTTGGTAGTGCTCATCACCGGTGTTTCCGACGACTCAATTGCAGGCGAACTCGCACTTCAGCTTTCCGCCGCGGATCCAAAACTACTGATCCTGACTGCCCGTGCCGAATCAAAAGTCGCTGGAATTCAAGAGAAGATCAGATCATCCAAGCCAGATGTGGAGACTCGCTTTCTCAACATAGACCTAAGCGACTTGAGCGCCGTGCGAAAAGCTGTCGAAGACCTAGATGATGTGTCTCAAATCGACCATCTTGTCTCTGTAGCCGGCGTCATGTTCCCACCTTACAAAAAGACAAAGGATGGCTTTGAGAGCCAACTAGGAGTCAATTATCTGGCGAATTTCGTGCTTGTGAACTTGCTCTTACCGAAGATCCGTGCTGCGGGGCCAGATTCGTCTGTAGTCATCATGGCTTCGTCTATGGTCAGACAGGGAAAAATGCACTTCGATGACTTCAACTTCAGTGTGAGTTCAACTGCGAAGCTATAATGTCAATACTGACATGCTACTCTCCTGTAGGATGGCCGAACCTATGATCCTATGGTCGCCTATGGCCAGTCGAACGCTGCGAGAGTCATGTTTGTCAAAAGACTGGGTGAGAAGTTGAAGGAGGATAAAATCCGTGTCTTCAGTGTCGATCCTGGTGGTATGTTCCGCTTCTTCTTACTACGCAGTGGATCTGGCTGACCAGCATTCAGCTGTTCAGACCGGTCTACAGCGACACTGCCCTCCTGGATTTCTTGACCAGGTCGCCGAATGGAAGAAGGCCGGAAGTATGTACAACCCTTTGGCATTATATTGCTTTTGGCTAATTGACATCTGTAGCCATGGTTGACATAGACGGAAATCCATTCGAAATTCCCCCGTGGACTACTGCCTCAGAAGGAGCCGCTACGGTCATCACGGGAATGATCGACCCTACCATCGCAAGTGAGTAAATTCTCCAAGTCCATATCTCTAATGACCTTTGCTAATCGTGCCTGCATCCAGAGTATAACGGCTCGTATCTCAGCAAGAACGCAGTCTCAGACCACGAGTTGCATACACATATCAACGATGAAAACAACTGGACTAAACTCTGGGAGCTCAGTGAAAACCTGACCCAGGAAACGTTTTCGCTGTGAGAGATGCGAAGCTGAAAAGGCACTGCTGTCTTTATTATGTAGATACTGAAATATTATTTGATCTTCTTAAACGACATAGGATTCTCCCCTCGCTGTATCCTCCAGTAATTAGAAGACTCGATTATGTCGGGACAGTCTTTTGCAATCCAGTTCCATTTCCTGATCAATGTCTCCGACGCCTCATAAGCAGATGGATCCCAAGCTTCGCCCCAGACACGAAGCCCGACTTCTTGTGAGGAATCACGCGCCTGATAGAAATCGCAACATATCTCATCTTCGTCAATCTCATCTGTCCTAGCCAAGAGGGCCTCCCGTAGAGATAACATTGGAATCAGGTCGATCCAAGGATGGTGGATGATTTTCCTTTGTTGTTGGGATGGATACAGGCTTGGTGGGAGGTGTAGTGTCGATGGACCGACGAGGTTGAACTGCGATGCGAGATCTTCTTCAAGAATTTCAATTGTGAGGCCCATGAGACTGGCGTTGACTAACATCGCTCGAATCACACTGGTTTGCAGGGTGGGATTGAGTGAGAGAACCGGGTTCTCGATCATATGCAAAGTTCTTGCATGTATATTATTGATAAACTCGTTGCGCTGTGGAGAATTGAAGCGACGCAGATATTGTCCGTTTTGGCGGGGAGACGATGGTTCTCTCGCGATTTGGTTGCTTGGTGCGTCTTTTGCGAATGCATTCTTCTTTGGGATTTTTGAATCCTCGATGTAGACAACCCATTTCTTGTCCAACGCTCTGTGTTGGTTTCTCGTCTCTAACGCTTTCCTTTTTCCTGTATAGAACATTAGTAAAGGGTTGCTAGTGGGCCTGGTGTGGCCAATAGGAGTGCCGCCTACTGCTCGCACGTTGATTGAGGCGATTTTGGAGTCGTCTTCGGGCGACGGGGTCCAACACCTCCGTTGAATCATCTGAATTCGTCTGCTCAAACGTAAGCGATTGGTGGTCTTGAGAAGTCATCTTGAACAGATCTGTCGTTGAGTGAACGAAGTGGTAAGACGTGAGAAAGTTTGAACCGGGGGGCTCGGAGTTAGGAACAAAGTCCGGCGCGTTAGGTCCGGATGAATGCGACAGCCTAAATGGACGACATACTACGAATCTTCAAGTGCTTATTCTTCATTTTTAATATATCTCAATGATATTGACACGATTTCAATCAGTTTACTATGTTTCCGGGCAGCTCGGGAACACCTCCGATGTTCTGTTGATCCAATTCATATTCATGACGTAGTATAGTGGCCAAACACGGAGAACGACAGAGTCGGTCTCTGGGAGACAACCACCATATACGAAAAATATTTCTCGCATTACACAGAACCTCTGGGTATTTCACCCCGATAGAATATGAACTTTTCCAAACTCTGGCGAATCCTCACCTGTGGCCCCAAGAAAAACTCGGAACCAGCAACAGAGAGCAGACCAGAGATGAATGCCGGGAAGGATATCACAGATGATGAACCCTTTACTGGGCTAAGTGAGGTTGCTTCGCCGGTTCCAGTTGAGCGCATCACCGAAGAGGAACGAGAGCGGCATGAATCACTCGACAGAAACCTCTCTGGGGGCTCACATTCGCACCCTCATCTATCCAATAATTAAATGGTTTGCGCTCAAGTATATGGTTCGCACATCCTCCTTGCTTCTTGCCTCGGTGGAATGTTGAGAATGTTACTAACTTACAAAAGGTCTTTGCAAACTGCATGGGGACTTTTCTAGAATATCTGTAACAGTGTTTCTTATATCAGTATTTCCAAATGTGCCGTCTTGAAAGTCGATGGGGTTTGTATAGCAAATTATCGCCGCAGTTTGGTCTGGGATTCTGAGAGCATTTAGATGAGGCTGTCTGTATCGGCATGGTGGGCTTTGCAGTGCCCAAGTGATTATCGACTTGATTGTGAGGTTGAACACGGTGCTGCTTGCCAATCTTCGCATGACAACTGAGCTCACACAATTAATCTGGATGATAAATCTGAAGCAGATTTGTTATCAAGACTCAAGAGCTACATGAGGACTTCGGGACTCTGGTGTTAGGATCAGCAATGTATATATATTTACGGTTTCATGACCGGAGTGTGCCGTATAGATGACTGGATGATATGCTCGAACACCCCAAAAAGTACCCGAGAGGATTTGATTGCCAAAGCAGCTATTTCAATATACCCGTTTTTGACTTGTATGCCTGCTAACATGAAGTACCATTCGTGGTTTAGATGAAGAAAAGGGTTGAGTGTGTTTTTGTGTAAAATGATCTCCAGTTATATAGATATATGCTTGATTAGGGAAGAAATCTGGGTTGTGACGATCAAGAATAAAGGGAAATTGAGTCAGAGATAAAAAGAAAATATTGGAAATATTATCTCTTCAGCCTGTATCAAGGCATTAATTAAAAATGGGATGGTGGGATGAATCGAACTCTGGCCAGTCAAAAATCCCAATTAGGAAATGGTCCTATATAGGCCAGTGTAAAGAACTCCTGTTACTCCCAGACCCACCTCCGTTAGCTCAATGGAATGGAAATTTGCTCTCTGCCTCGTGGGATGCTGAGGATGCATACCCTATCGCGTCTTGGGCTTCATGACCCCCGGATGCGTGTGGGACGGTGCACCCCTCTTAAGGTTGAACAGGGTGGTTTGCACAGCCCCCACACCCATGAGTAATTGGCCGAGGCCGAAATTCGAAGGGGGTTGGCGGTCCCGACGGACTAGGTTAGTGGGTCTGGGGGTTTTTTTTTTATATCTTCAAGATCTCTTGATCCCTACTTCTCTTGGATTACTTCCTCAAACATACAATCTCCCCTTTCCCTCTTGAGTCTTTCCTATATCTCTAATCCTACACTCCGATGTCTTGTTTTTCGGACAACTTAACTCAGGGTGTGGGCCCTCGTCAACTCCAACATCAACATCCCTGTTTCAACCAAGCAGTCATTTGCCATAAACCCACTACCACCTCTTCGTGAACACTATCTCGCATCGTTATCCTCCCCCGTTGTCACATTGATGATCACGGAAAGTCACCTAAGACGCCATGAACAGAGTCTTGTACATATGCATTGATGAGATTTTGACACACTACATAAATTGAGTAGGCTGCATCTCCTAACTACAGCTATCACAACCAGGATCAGCGTGTTTCACAGCGTCCTGAATCATTTTAGAAGCCTCACAATACCGAGCCTCTCGCATCAAATGTTTTTAAGACGCTCTTCTAATCGACATATGTCACAGTCCACCAACCAGCATCCCCAAAGGCTATCTCTTGCTGGAAATCACTTTTTTCTGCTCAACCTGGCCTTGTCATTCTTGCCATGGCCTTCTTTCAGGAATAATTGGACAATCTATTCTCTGGCATGATGGGCCTCCTCGTTTAGAATATACCATCTATGGTAAATTTGTTCACTTCGTCACTCACTTGGTTCTCAATTCTGCAGTCGGCTTTTCCCTTCTAAGAGAGAGGGGGAGTGGGGACTTTTCATATCCTCTCTGGTCTTCAAGACTGACCGACTCAGTAGGGGAGCTATTTCGGTTGCCTCTTCGACATTTTTCACTGCATTCCATTTCATTATCACTCCAGTCTCAGGGTCGTGCTGCTGGCAAGGCAAAGGAGCTACCTCCCATTTCCGCACGGGTTCTCGCGGCCCCTCCTTCCGGCCCTACCTTCGATCGGGAGTGGTACGCAAGCCCACTGGAGTGGTCCCGGGTGTACAAGATGGCTGAGCAGGCATCGGTCACATATGCTTACAGGCAAATCCGTGAAGTTTACCGCCACATTCTTTATGACCTCGACACCCTCCATGACCTTATGAACAAACTCGGATGGGCCGTGCCAGACTCCTCCTCTGACGACCAGGAGTCCTCTCCTTCCAGTGAGAGCTCTGCCGATCTCCTCAATAAGAAGAAGAAGAAGAAGAAGAAGAAGAAGAAGAAGAAGAAGGGAGTCTTCCGGGAGGCTTTGGTGCTTTGCGGTTCAACGTTCCCTGTCCGTGGGAGGGGCTTCATGGCCAATCAACCGACCCAAAACAGCCCGCACCTGAATAACCGGGGTGCTTTTCGGGACCTTTCCGCTCCGCCAACCGACGACGGTACGCTCCGGAAGCACACGCTTCCACAGCTTATCGCCATCACTCTCAGAAAGACGACCCACAATTGGGAACCCGTTCGCGTCCAAACCATTGCCTACAGGAAAACGTTAGGACGATCGGACTCAATCGGGCAAGGACAGCTTACCATTATCAATTTGACCGGCCACGAAGGCCTGCACATCAGCGTCCGAACGGACCTTGTGAGAAAATCCCCCGGGAGCAAACGCTGGGGGAGGCGCAGGGGGCGGAACAGGAGCAGTAGCGACAGCACCAGGAACAAGAGCTGGAATCTTGGCCGCAGGGCCAGGGACGGGAGCGCCATAAGGGCAAGGCTCCAAGGAAACCATGTTACAGCAGAAAAAAAGGGGTTTCATCACCCCATCATGCGATACTTTCTGAATCACATCTTCTATGGCCGAGACCTCACTTTCCGGCGCGGTACATGATGCCGTCTCTACAGTCGATTGGGAATTAATATTCTTTTTGAGAGGCTCCCTAAGGGGCGACCAGCCAACGCTAAGATATAGAATGATATTTGGTTTGCTCGAGAGCCTACCTTACGATATAGATAGCGCGGAGTAAATGACCATTTCACCCATTGTTTTCAAGTAATTCGGCCGTATTATTTGATAAAATATTACTTCTAGTTTTGTATGATATCTATATGTCGGTTAGCAAATAAAATTTCGTCACTATTGATAGGTGTATCTGTATGGTTTATGTATAACTTTTCATGATCTATAGTCATAAGGATACCCAAAATACTAGAGACACCTGGGTGAGTCGTGGTAATAGTGAAAGCCTCGTAAGCTCTATGGTTAGACTTATGGCTGAGAGGAGGACGGAATGTCTAGCCTAAGATCGTGAAATGGTAGAATATATGTCTTTGGGTTAATATTACAGCATGCTTTTATATTTTGACCTGGAATGGGGTTAGTAGACTTGGAAGCATTAATCATAAAAGCTATCTTGGGGAGGGGTCGAACCCTGGTCAGTGAATACTATGTATGTCCCAAAGAGGAAAGGGGCTCTATATATGCAAGGTAAAAGATCTCCTACCAGCTGATCCACCCTAGTTAGCCTAGTGGCTGGGAATCTGAAATTCTACCTCTTTGACTGCTGGTCTTGTCATAATGCCTAGGCTGGTCGGCCAACTGGTCTAGGTCCGTGGCATGGCTGTGAAGGCTGACCGAGGGATTATGGAAGTCCCCCCCAAACCCACCTGGTAATTGATTGGGTCCTTTGTCCTGAAGGGGGTAGGCGGTCCTGACAGGGCGGGGTTCGTGGATTGGCGTCTTTTTTTTTTATCTTTGACCTTGTATTTCATTTATAGCTTCGATTGGTGGAGACTTCTATCCTTTATTGATATCTTGGTACACTCACTATATTATTACTTTTGTTTCTGTATCGGCCGGACAAGATTGATCTTGGCTTAGATCTACTTATACTGAACTGTGAAGGCTAATACTAGCTTCTTAACACTCTCTTCTTTGTGACTATACCTCGATATTTCAATATCTACCGACTATTGAGTATCGATACGTAGTCTAGCTCAGCTACTCTAGTCCTCGCACAGCCTACAACCATCACTTATCCTATATCACCTACTTATCACCATATATCACCTGTCCGTGGGCACAACGGAATAAGCTTTTTGACTCACCATCCTCAATAACCACGGTCCCAGCCTCTATACGTGCCGAAGCATCACCTAGTCTCATCCAAAATCGTCTCTCTCACCAGGGCGAGAATTTACTCAGCGCTCTGTGAAAAAGATTGCTCTCATGTCAGAGTTGCGCATAAAGTGGGCAGGTTACAATCTGCCCCCTCAAATGGCGTCATAGAGGCCTGTCGACTCAGATTACTGGGCAATTGATGGACATCATCGCACAAGAGTGCTGGGTGTAAACAGCGGATTGGTGAGCCTCCTTTTGGATCTCAATTGAGCTATATCTTTCTTATACAATTAAGAAACGGGAAGTCGACAGACACATCACGTCACTCAAGTGGAATTTCAATACCTCACTTCGTCCAGACAGAGGCATCATACCCGCTCATCAAGGAGGTGTACTCAGAACCAGCCGCAGCCCATCCTTTAATGCCTCCTGAGAGAACCAAGCTCTTGACTTCCGTATCCTGTTGATCTTCAAGATGATCTGCGAACCACCCTGCTGCACGAGTACCTCTACCGCCAGATGACCCTGAATGCAGATCAGTATTGGTATTTGAAACATTCATTATCATATTTACTGGGCAAAGCTTACCACAGTACCAAATCACATATTTCACGCTACTGTTCGATACAAGAGAATGAAATGTTGGGATGGTGGGGTATAAAGTCTGAGCTGGCAAGTTCAATGACCCTTGGATCGTTCCTCCCTCCAAAAAGTCAGCACAAGAACATGCTACCTCTCTCAGACTGCTCATACCTCATAGTCCACGCGCCGCAAATCAACAAGTACAAAGTCTTGGCCTGCTTGTTTACCCTCTCGAATCCATTGCAAAAGCTCCTCTCGCGATATGGAGGGAGCCACACCCCTTGGTGCGGGATATGCAGCATGCCATGGAAGCTCGGCTGACATTTTGTTGAAGACGAAAGCTGAATTTGAGAATCAAGGGACTTGACACTTCTCAGACTGTTCGCTCTGCTAGAATACCCCCAATGCCCCGCTTGTGAGGAATGTCGTTGCCGCATTTCGATTGGTCAATGCTCCTCGGGTGACGAGCCCCGGACCCGCTGATAGTCTAATTCTTCAGCCAATCAGCACCCGCCAGTGACATATCATTGCCGTTTAGTTCTATGACACTCTTGAGAAAGACGTCCGGGGGAATATAAAGTCCCACGCTCTGCTATCTGCTACATTGACATCCATCGCTTTCTGCTGAATACATTGAGTAGTCGAGCCATTGGGATTGTTTGCCATGACATCCATACGACCGCGGTCGTGTTTACATGTCGCCCCTGGTCCCCCTAACGGACAGGCAAAGACATGCGACATCGAAAAGCAAAATGAAGCCTCTCCCCAAGACGAGTCATCGGAGAAACAATCAATGTTCTCAAGTCTCGGTCTCCTTGATCAACTCTTGGCATTATGGATTTTTCTTGCTATGGCAATTGGAATTATCCTAGGCAACTTTGTCCCAAATACAGGTCCTGCCCTGCAAAGAGGGAAATTTGTGGGTGTTTCAGTTCCTATTGGTACGTATAAATCCAACAATTTTGCGGATCTTAGTAACTGAAAATGAATTCCCAGCCGTGGGTCTTCTCGTCATGATGTACCCCATCCTGTGCAAGATTCGGTTCGAATCCCTGCATCATATCTTCCGAGAGAAAGGTATTTGGGTCCAGATGGCCTTTAGTCTTGTTTTGAATTGGGTCGTCGCCCCCTTTCTTATGGTTTGTGATTCCATTACTCACGCGGCACGCATTTTATCACTGACTTGGTTCATTAGCTGGCTTTGGCTTGGGCGTTCTTGCCTGATGAGCCAGAACTGCGACAGGGACTGATCGTCGTTGGATTAGCACGATGCATTGCTATGGTAAGTCTCTTTAACTTAGCAACCCGTTCTTGGAAACGAGATTATGCTCATCTTATCAGGTACTTGTTTGGACAGGACTAGCCGGGGGCGATAACGAATATTGCGCCATCCTGGTCGCTCTCAACTCAGTGCTACAGATGGTTCTTTTTGCTCCGATGGGAGTCTTCTTTATCAGCACTATCAGCGGTGATTCCGTCACATTTGAATATTCAACAGCCGCCAAAAGTGTCGCTGTGTTCCTCGGAATACCTCTAGGCGCCGCAATCGTCACGCGGTTCGTTCTCCGACGAATTTCTGCCAAATGGTACGATGAAGTCTTCCTGAAATGGCTTAGCCCATGGTCTCTCATCGGCTTGTTATTCACAATTCTTGTGTTATTCGCCTCGCAAGGCCGCCATGTGGTCCAGCAAATTGTCTCCGTGGTCCGAGTTGCAGCACCGCTCATCGTTTATTTCCTGATCATCTTCTTTGCGACCCTCTTTGTCACGCACAAATTAGGGTTTGGCTACAAGTTGGCTACTGTGCAGAGCTTTACGGCTGCCAGTAACAATTTTGAACTGGCAATTGCTGTTGCGGTGGCGATGTTTGGCGCGGATAGCAACCAGGCTCTTGCGGCCACTGTCGGACCGCTCATAGAGGTTCCTGTGCTGTTGGGTCTGGTATATGCTGTCAAATGGATAGCTAGACGAGTTGGCTGGGACGACTAATGCCAAAATGTAGACCAGACTCTCCATACTTCTTAGAAAGACAGCTCTTCGTATTAATCCCAAGTCACGCGATCTGCGGGGTCAACCTTGGAACAGTGACATTCCACTTTCGTCTGATTGGACAACATGAGCTTGCCTTCCATGGTTCTCCAGTTCCTTTTTAACGTCAAATCGTCCAAGCATATTTGAATGTCTTCAACTTCTCTGCCCTTTACAATTGTTAGCGACAAAAGTCTTTTGCTACAAGAATTATACTGAACTTAACTATGCCTCGCCCAAAAACCAAGACTAAGGTCGGTTAGCTTAAACTCATCCGATGCTTCTATTTTTGATTTCATCACACTCATATTCTATTCATATAGGGCGAGGATCTCGCCCGCATTCGCAATAACCAAAGGCGATCAAGGGCAAAACGCCTAGAATATATCCGAGGCTTAGAAGAAAAAGCCAAAAAGTACGACGAATTGATAGCATCCACACATTCGCCATCGCTATCGGAATTTGATAAATTGCAATCTGAAAATGCCTGGATGAGAGGGTTATTAGCAACCCTAGACATCAACTTCAACTCGCGCAAAGCACATCCCGGGAACATTCACGACAGCGAACCCAATATGGCATCGGCGGTAAGGTCATCGAGTGGAATAGTCATGATTTTATCTAGGAAAGATTCTAACTAATTTCAGGTTACGGGTTCGCTGGCTAGTAGTGCAGAGACTCACCGATCTATGGAAAGTCTCTCTCCTCTGTCATTTTGGGAACAATGGGATTTGTCAGGTCTATCACCTGACATGGGACTGGATTTCAATATCCCGCTACTATCGGACGAGGCCGATAATCTGGCCCTTTTGAATCCTCCATCGGTAGAACCACCAAAGCTGGCAGAAAAAACTTTCGAAGCTACCCAGCAGCAAGGAACCCAGGAGAGCATTGAAGAAAGCACCCCGATTAGCCTGGACACAACTCTCTGCTCTTTGGCTTGTCAATGGGTGATTCAATGCAACACTAAAGGCGTGGAATTGGATGTCTTGTACTTTCGGATGGAGCGTGGCTTCAGGCAAGGGAACAGTCCGTTGGAGGGATGTAGGGTGGATAATCAAGTGCTTCTCAAAGTATTGACAGAAATATCCTGAGAAATGTCGGTTTGGTTTCAACTATCCAGAAATTTTCTTATTGTTTGACTGCATAAATTTGGAACGATCCTAGACTAAAGTCAGTGATGACATGGTAATCTAAAAGCCTTCGAGACTCACCAGCCCATTCGTTAAAGTCAGACTTCAACAATTCTCCCCCAGTGGTGTTCTTTTCTTGTTTTCCTCCACAGCACGAATTCGGTTTCAGCTGATCACTTGTCTCTCCAAGATCCATCTGCGCCTGAACCAAATCTTTATAAACATTGATGTCACTGTGGGTGTCGACAATCACGAGATCTAGGAAGAAGAGGATGGTGAGCAAGGCACGCAAAGCACGTTCAATATTCGATAAATACCTTTGAATCCTGCGTCAGAGAGGTATTTCTCATATTCGTGAAGCTGGCTAGCCCCTGCTATGCATCCGATGTAGAAAGATAGACTATTGGCCACTTCTAGTGGTAGCTCCTTTCGGGTTAGGATATCACTGATGGCAACGCGCCCACCGTATCTCAACAAGCGGAAGATCTCGTTGAACACAAGAGGCTTCTCAACTGTCGGAACCAGGTTCACCACACAGTTGCTGATAATACAGTCGGCAGTGGCGTCGGGTAGAGGAATAGACGTGATCGAAGCTTCGATGAAGAGGGCGTTGGAAGTACCCGATTTCTTCGCATTTTTGCGGGCTAGCTTGAGCATACTCTGTTATTAATGTTAGTTGGGATGTCTCAAGTCGGCGATGGAAGTGAGCCTCGCCTTAGTCATGTCAATACCAATGGCTTTTCCTCTGGTGCCAACTTTCTTGGCTGCCAGCAGAACGTCGATGCCACCACCGCTACCGAGATCAATAACTGTTTCACCCTAGAGGAAACTGTTAGGCAGTCGCACAGTAGGATCGCTTGATGTTGATACTCACCTCGTTCAAGTTGGCAAATGCCAATGGATTCCCACAGCTCACTCCCATATTTGCAGACTGAGGGATGGAACTGAGGTCTGCAGACTCGTAACCAAATGCTTGGGCAATTCTTTCTTCGGTTTTCTTCTGCAAGTTAGCAGAAGAGCGATCCGCTAATTCTCCATAGCGCTTTTGGATACTACCATAAATCGCATTTGAGCTCATCTTGTGGTTTTGATTAACAAAGGGGGTGATTGGAAGAGAAAGTAGTTCTTGACGATAGGAGGCGCAGAATTCACGATCAAATATACCCCGAGATGAGCATGATAGCATGTCACCAATTTGGATTTTAAGGCACCAAGCACTACTTCCTACCAATAAACCTACACTAAATTGATTTTTTCATCTGTTCACAGTTTCTGGAATGTCACTGCATTCGTCGAATGAGAGAACTAGGGATAGAAAAGGTTCTAGTGGAGCCCTACTAGCCACTTTCTAGGTCTAGATCTAGAACCCCGTTACATTTTAGCTTAGCCAAATATATTAATTCTAGTAATTCACGACCTTAGACTAGATATTCTGTCCTCGTCCTAAAAATAAGTCTAACCATGGAGCTTACGAGACTTTCACTGTTACCACGACACACCCAGGTGTTTATATCGTTTCAGGCATCCAGGCATCCTCGCGACCTTAGATCAAAAAAACTTATACGTAAACCATACAGATATACTGATCAAAAGAAAGACAACTTCATTTGCCATACTACATACAAATATCATACAGAGGTAGAAGTAAGATTTCATGAAATGGTCTTTTTTACTCCGCGCCATCCATATCGCAGGGTAGGCTCTCAAGCCAGCCAAACGTCATTCTACGACCCGATATCTTATCGTTGATTGGTCGCCCCTTAGTAAGCCTCTCAAAGGGAATGTCAATTCCCAATCGAGTGTAGATACGGCACCATACATCGCGCCGAAAAGTGAGGTCGCGGTCACAAAGAACGCCATCCCCAGATACAGATTGTAGCCTTACGAGACCGAGGACATTGCGGCACCGCTCGATGCGCTGCTTGAGCATTGGTGCCTGCTCGCACTTTTCCTGATAATGGCGTAACAAAATGTCAATCTGACGGATATCCTTCGCCATCAGGGTCATAGATCTCTCGACTGGAGCTGTTGGGGATGCAAGATGTTGGGTTCCGTCTTTGAGACACGGGATGTTCGTGGCCGCAATCAGAACAAGGCCAGCAGCGTAGAGGTATTCCAGCATTTCACACTTAGCATGGTCATCATCTTCCTTTTGAAAGGAGGCAGAAAGCGTTTCCACAATGTCCTGCGAAGCGACAAGACATTTGATTGCGCCATGGTACACCATAGCGAGAAGAACAGACGAGTTCACCGAGTCCATTTCTTTGCCAGTGATATGAGGAGTCTTTTCACAGGCACACGCATTGGAAAATCGCAAGGCTAGTATCAAGAATGGCCGGTGCTGACGAAGTCGGAAGTAAACATAGCGTAGATGAGCGAGAAGAGACATGCGGCACATGCTAGGGTTTTTCTCGGTGGCAAATTCGATGTTAGCTCCTTTCCATTCCAGACATTTTGGTAGACCGTTGTACCAGCTAGACAAACTTTCGTTCAGATCCTGAAATGGACCTAGGTCGACGACGGAAAACCATTTAATGGGGCATTCCATGCGAGTCACACGTAGATTGTTTTCAACAGTGATCAGGTCATCGGTGTGCTTCAAAAGCGATGCACAAGCAATGAAGAAACAGGATGCCATGAGTGATTTTCTCTCGCCAGATGATCCAATAGTAGTCTCCATGTACGACTGCATCGGCATTGGTGAAATGTGAAAAACATCCAGACACTGATTGACAACACCAAACTGAAGGGCGAGAAACAGTTTCTTCATCCATAAATACTGCCATGTAACCCTGACCTGTTCCAGCGATTGTTTGTCGACGACAAGGCGACCACCATACATCGTGTGCATCTCAAGCGATTCCGCTTCGTCAATAGCCAGAGATAGGATGTTCCGGCTCTTTTTCAGATCCCCAACCATGTGGAGATACTCGATTTGAAGGATCCGTCGGTAGAAGTATTGAAGCGATGGGGTGTTTTCTTCGGCCCTAAGTTTGGAAACAGCGGCATCGTTCCATTTTTGGCCTTCCCAAAGGCTCCTTTCACGAGTGAGATGACAGGCGACTGCAAGACAAAAGCCGAGAATCGGATCAATCAGTTTGGGTGTCAGCTTGCCATGGTTCACAGCCATGGCAAAGGCCATTTTCAATTCGTCGAGATCAAGAACAGGCAGTAAATGAACATGCTTGACAAGGAAAATCTTCCAGAGCATCTTCGGGATTTCAGAGGCGAGTGGTTTGCTACTAGAAGCAGCACTCTTTAGAATGGGGGCAAGAGCATCGTTGTAGTTGGACAACTGGGTGCCAGAAGCAGCCTCCTTAGGAGTCTGAGGGGTGAAGTCGTTGGAGTTGGACGACTGGGTGCCAGAAGCAGTCCTCTTTGGAGATGGGGCAATGGTGTTGTTAGACTGACTGCCAGAGGCGGGACGTTTCTTGGACCCGGACTGCATGGTAGGCGACGCAGCAGTGTCGCTGGATTGCGACGACTGGCTCCTAGGCACAATCTCTTTCCTGATTTTGCGTTTCAAGTTTGTTACAGGAATCATGGTGTCATCAATCAAATCAATGGATTCCAAACTTGATATGGATAAAGATGGATGATGAGAAGGTGAAAGAGGAGGATGAGTTGATGGATGAAGAGAGGAGAAAGGAGAAAGATGGGTTGGTGAAGAAGACCGAGAGAGGCGGGGGGGTTTGTTTACGAGTTGGCCGCGATGGTGATCCTGGCGTGTACGAGGAAGGCACGCGTGGGGAGGTGGGTTTGGGTGGCTCCTTCCTTGTTGAGGTCGAAGTTTCTGCTTTGATGCCTGGACTGTCCAAGTTGGTATTGGCGATATCTCCGGCAGGGTCTAAAAGCTCCGCAAATTTCCTACAGTTCGCACGACTCAGCTTGGAACTGGTCGATATAGCTGTAAGGAGATGGTTACGGAGAAATCCAATACGTGTGTCTTTCTCGTCGAGGCCATAGGCATCAGGATGAGACGTGATTTTGCCTAGGCGATGGAGGAACAGAGAGTTATGGTTGGCTGTCGGTTCCGCCGATGTGCTTGACAGGCACTCTTCAACGCACATAATGCGCTCTTGCATCCTCTTCTCCTCTGGGCTCATCAATGGCCCATACACGAAGTTCTCAAAGCGACTGAGAAGAGCACGAGAGCATCGACCACCCTTTTCCAACTTGCTCAATGCAACTTCCATGAGATCATCTTCTTCACGCCACTCGTCATTCAATTGGGTATCCCCCAATCGGGAATCCGCAGGCTCGGTGCTTATAGATCCAGAACTTGGACGTTCGATCTTGGCTTTCTTTAGAAGCTTTATGATGTTGCGTAGAGGCCCTGCTGCAAGATTGCGATGCTTCATTCTCTGGACGTTGATCTCGGTGGTTAAGTTGCACCGCAGCTCCGTTTCATCTTGATGCATAGTTGGAGAGATACTGCGCATACGGGATGGGGGTATCGGTCTACTTCCACTGGGCATACCGGTACCAAATGGTGTGACCTGACCTCGCGCTAGCGCAGATTGTCTAGCGGGGCTTCCAGACCCAAGTTCGGATATCTTCTGCCGCTTCGCGGGAGGCTGCTGGGGCATTTGCGTCTGCTGGGCGTGGCTGGAATCATTTTGGATGGGTGATTCAATCACAGGATTGACAACTTCAGTTCTCTCAGAAGGACTGTCCGCATTTCTTGGTCTTTTGTCACCCGTTGCGAGTAGAACAGAGGCATTATTGAAAATTGGCCCTGAGAATGGAGCACCAGTCTTTGGGGTCATTTTGTTCCCAGAACTAGGTGATATAAGATCAGTCATTTTGATTCAGTCAAGCCGACAATTTGGACAAACATACACTGGAAATGCCACAGAAGGGTATGAGCATTCAGCTTCAAAGCCCATACTCTGGCAACTCTGGCAAACTATGTAAATAGTCAGCCATCAATGCACTTGCACTTGCCGTTGCCTCCTCAATCCATGAAAGAGCTAACCTGGTTTAGTGCGGTCGCAACGCCTATGCCTTGACTTGCATTTCGTACAAGGATGCCCCAGCGGGTGGTTTGACGGTGCTGAATAGGTCGTTGGCAATGCATCTGGTGGTGACAGCGAGATGTCGGCGCCATTACCCACTGACGTTTGATCAGCCATTGTTAGTTCAATTCAATGCATCAGTTGATAGAAAGATAAGTTCTGCAAATGTAACATTATTAGTCTGTATTGCTCAGACTTGGGACCATAGAGTCGGCCTAGCTGGTTTGGCAGTGGCTTGATAGAGACCGTAGCCACAAAGCCAGCAACAATGAGTAATTTGAGAAAATCACTCACTATTATCAAATTGAAATTTATGAAGTGATCAAATGAAACTGAATAGATTGAACATGTCAGTTGTTGGTTGGTTCGCGAAGTACATATGGTTCGCGGTGAACTGAGGGTGACCATTTGCATATAATGTGAAAGATGTTACGCCAGCACCACCGATGGGATTGAAGAACTGCTTACCGAGTATTTGAATAATATGTTGTTCTGGAATGCTTTACCAACAAATAATTGATGAAAACGCGAAAAAGGCGCGTGGCAAAGCCACGGGAATCACAATGCAGACGGCTATGAAGCTCAGTTCGTAATGAGAAATTCTGAAGCGAAACAAGAGCTTAATATCAAGTCTAAGCTCACCGCATCCAATCAGATGCCTTGGAGAATATGTCGCATCTTCCTGTTAATGACGATGATATCAGCAAAGAGCTATCAACGAGTAGTAGTAGGGGTCGGGTAGGGGTAGTTATTGCTTTACCGCCTTAGCCATCCATCTATACTAAAAACTAAATGACTCGCGATGCCTCGGTATTAGCCCTCAGTTACTCTTTACAAATAAAAAAAGGAAATGAAAAGTGTGTGTATATGAGGCTAAATTTTTGAATCATCAGTCGACTCTAATTGCAGATGAGAGAAAACAAATGACTTGTGGCGAGTACCACAAAACGGGTGTATCAAACAGCCAAGACTGGTCAATTTGGAAAGCAAAAGTAATTGGAACTACGGATCAAGTGTATAATTGCGGCATCATTACCTCCCTGGCAAAAGGAGTCACGCATGATATACGCTAGTAGGGCACCTAGACACATCTTAGGTGTATCTGCCGTCATCCACTGATGGTCAAAGATAGTTCAAATATATACAGAAGTATACCGAACCATGTGGAAAAGTGAGACAAATATAGATCCTGCAGCAGAGCTGAGGAGTCAAGTATGCAGAGATAACGCAATGAGGGCTAGGTGCACTAGTGTGTCGGTATCACGATGTTGATGTCTTCGTATAGAGCGCAGGTGTGCCGTACGCCGTTCCAGTGAACCATGGTGTTCGGTATATTTGCACATATCATGTACAAAGATAATATATTTAATCAGGGCTGCGCTTGCTCTGCTTCATCTACCGAGCGCTCGACTTCTTGCTCTGTCCATCGGTGGAACAATTTGCGCGCGTCAGAGAGATCGGCCTCCTTGGGCAATCCATTGTGGACTGACTGAATGTGCAGAACGGGGACATCAAACTCGTAAACATCCTTCCATGCTTTGTTCCCAAGTTGCATGATATCCGCTTCGACATATTCGAAGGAGCGCCGTTTCTGGAGCTTGAGCACGGTGTTTTTCGCGGTGTCGCAAAGGCCACAGCCTGCACGTGTGAACAGCGTCAAGCGGGCTGAACCGAGAAGGACACGCGTAGGGAACATTGAGAAACAACGTGTCAATTTTGTATGCACGAAATGAATTGAACGGAATTTCGAGATGGCCGGTGCTGGGACGCGAATGCGGTCAGAAAGTTCTCCGCGATGGAACATTCGAGCTTCCCCGCTAAACCCTATTAGGAAGCCTGCGCCATTCTGCCCAGAACACATTACAATCTCCTCTCTCAACTCAGTCACGTCAATTCCCTTATAATTTGTTTTATCATACATCATGGCAGGAAAGTGTGTCCACAAAGCGTGTGGGAAAACCTTCACCGACCCCGAGGAGGAATGCGTGTACCATCCGGGTCCCCCAGTGTTCCACGAGGGGCAGAAAGGTAAGTACCTTGGTGTTCAAGCTATGCCAGATCTGTGTTCCATGAGTCCACCAAGGGTTCACGGTGGACCATTGCGGCAACGCAATGTGATACCTGATCTTGTCGATTCATTCTAAGACATTTCTATCCTGCGACACCGCTAACTTCTCAGGCTGGAAATGTTGCAAGCCCCGCGTCTTGACCTTTGAGGAATTCCTCGCCATCCCGCCATGCACAACCGGCAAGCATTCCACCATCGACGACACACCCACGCCTGAGCCCTCCAAGGCTGAAGAAGTCATTGCTCCTCAGCCGACTGAGCAGAAGAAGTCCGAGCGGCCACCCATCTCCGCTACTCCCACTATCGCAACCGCGGCGCCGCCTGCGAAACCAGTCATCGAAGAGCCAGAATCCGATGACCCTGATGCGGAGATCCCGGCTAACGCAACATGTCGTCGGAAGGGTTGCGGTGCGTCCTACACCGGATCGACTGCTCGTGATGAGGAGAAGTGCATTCATCACCCCGGCCAGCCGGTCTTCCACGAGGGCAGCAAGGGGTGGTCCTGCTGCAAACGCCGGGTGCTCGAATTCGATGAGTTCCTGAAGATCCCCGGCTGTACAGAGAAGACGAAGCACTTGTTTGTTGGCAAGGCCAAGCCTCCGGGTGAAGAGAAGGTGGACACAGTCAGGTGCGTACACGATAAAACAGGCGGACCAGCTATATTTTGTTCTTGAAAACCGCAGGCTGACATGTTTTGACATTTTATAGAAACGATTTCTACCAGACTCCCACCGCCGTCAACGTCTCCCTTTACCTTAAGAAGATTGACAAGCAACGAGCCAAGGTCGAATTTGCCCCCAACTCGATTATCTTCGACCTTCCTACCACAGACAACAAGCGCTACAGGGATACATATAACCTCTTCGCGCCGATTGATGCGGAGAAGTCAACTTTCCGCGTGTTGGGCACCAAGCTAGATTTGAATCTGGTCAAGGCCGACGGTACTAGCTGGCCGGTGTTGCGCAGCGACGACAAATGGACTGGAGAGCGCATCCAGGTTGGCAACGCTGGACATGCATGATTGGGGACATGTAAAAAGCTACACGATAGAAATTTTCAAAAGTTATGACGATGATGACAATTGAGATGGCTTCAGCAGTACGGAGTACATGTAGCTTAACGGGAACCGGTGGAACATCGCGTGAGGCATCCGGCATGCCGACAGCCAATATCTCGGCAAGCAAAATCCAAGCATTCTAGATTTTGCCTTGGCTTGAAACGGCATCACAATAGCCAATTCCGAACTATTGAGGCTTCTAAGACCATTATGTGATAAACTTGTACATGAAAGTACCCAGTTTACACAGAAAGCCAATTACGAGTTGATGACCGCGAGATATCCAATGTTAAGATAGTTGCGATCCCTGATCCAGTTTCAAGATCAGAGACAACCTAGACAAACTCAGACCACATAGAAGTGACTGAAGAAAATGGTATGTGACGCCCTCTCCACAGCTAGCACCCATGGGGCTTCCCGAAGGATACCCTAGCATAGCCATAAAGTGATTGGGAAAAAGAGAGACGCCTTTACTCTCCAGGGCCGGGAACGGAAGAAAACCCAGATTGACCGAAGCCATGGATAACCCTCAGCAAGCCACTTTGTGGAGCCCCGTTGAAATTTACATTAAGTTATGTAAACCTCTACTGATGATGGAGAGAAAAGAAAAAAGAGTAAAGGCGCGGGCGAGCAGGTCCCTTTTATGCGTTTGGGAGTCAAGATGCGCTAGAGCCGATTAGGCTTCGGTGAAAATATTTTTCCATTTCGTTGACTAATATTTTATTTTATGACTAATTCCGCCTTTTGTTGAGGGACTTCGTCGGATTTGGTAAGTAGGGTTATGAATCTCAGGGTTAGCTATCTTCATGTGACCCTCATTGATTTTCAAGGGTCTTGCATGTGATCGTCCCCGTGACTTGTACTTGGCAAGCAACAAGCAATCTACATCATACAGTGAAGATGATTTAGTACTACGCCACCAACTTGTAAAAAAAAAAATAAACAAAATGAGATGAAAATATTGTTTTACAGGTGTCCAACCTTCCAATAGGCTCATGTCTCAAAAGACCGAAACTTGAGACATTGATGTACAATTTGTAGTAGTGGCGGTGGACAAGGTTAAGTACCCAGCAGATAATCCCATCTTCCAATCACGGGTCGGGAGCACGAGACCTCCCCTCGCTCTCATTAACCTCCCCGCCATCGACAGTCAATTTCTCCCCTGAATTTTTGTTCTGCTTTCGTCACAATACAGAATCGGCCGTTTCACATTGTGCTCTACCTCTTTCTCTCATTGATCATTATTAGCACATTGCACTAGCAGCCTGGCCTTGTGCAATTGCCTATTGAATTCAAGGAGCTCATCATAGACATAGAGGCGGTGCCTCTGAGTGGACTAATCTTTCAATAGCACAAAACCTTTCAAACCAACTCGCCCCGCACCCCTTGTTCGATTCCCGCTACACTTCCCAACATGGGCTCAGCAGAGACTCAAGCGGCCACCTCGCCAGATTTCCGATACATTCCCCTATCATACAGCCATGCGGACTCCCAAGCGTCTGCTCTTAGGCTAATCCTGACACTCAACCCCGACTGGGAGGGTCCTGGCAACAACATTGAGTTCGTGCGATTCACCGACGGCATCACCAACACTGTCTGTCTCTCTTTCCCAGTGTCGCATCCCACAAGACAAGCAATAAGGCTGTCAGACTTCGACTGAGACTAATCGTTCCCTAGCTCCTGAAAATTATCAACTTGAGACCCGGCCTTACGCAAGAACAAATAGACAATGAGGCAGTACTGATGAGAGCGTACGGAAATGGCACAGAGATTCTCATAGACCGCGAAAGTACGAGCAAAATCCCCCGACTGAAAACATTCGTCAAAACCCCCGCTTCTCAAAGAAGAACAATGCCCCTCTGCGCCTTTCTTGCCCATTGCGACATATGCTGAAGTAGATCAATTATTCTTAGGAGAAACCAAGTCTCACGCGCTTCTGGCCAGCCGCGGTCTGGCTCCGCCTCTTCTCGCTCGATTCAAAAACGGCCTGCTCTACCGCTTCATCCGCGGCAGACCCTGCGGCCACCAGGATTTAGTCTCCCCGCCTATTTGGCGCGGTGTCGCCCGCCGCCTGGCGCAGTGGCACGCCATCCTACCTAGTAGCGGAGCCGAACCCAAGGACGCCCCTGTGGCCGAGATCACGGACGCCCATGATGATATTACCGTAATCAAGCCTCGACGCGGGGGCCCATCTATGTGGGCTGTGCTGCAGAGGTGGGTGCTTGCCTTGCCGGTCACCACTCCCGAGCAGCGTGCTCGCCGGTTGGATCTGCAAGCCGAGCTGCAATGGGTTTTGGAGATACTGGACGATGGGAAGGGCATCGGAGAAGACGGGGTATGTGACTCTCAGCATCGCTCCACTAGAATTGGGGATTTCGTTGTTGAATATACGGCTAATCGCAGAATTTCTAGTATGTCTTCTCACACTGCGATCTCCTCTGTGCCAACGTCATTGTCCTTCCAAGTGAAAACGGCGTCCCAGCCCCCGAAGACGGTATCGCGCCTGTCAACTTCATCGATTATGAGTATGCTGTCCCCGCGCCCGCGGCCTTTGATATCTCAAACCACCTTGCTGAGTGGGGTGGCTACGATTGCGATTACAATATGATGCCCACAAAGTCAGTTCGCCGTCAGTTCCTCACTGAGTACACAAAGAGCTACTGTGAACAGCGCGGTCTCGACGCGTCGTCCCAGGCTGAGATTGTCGACCGGCTGTACGAAGACGTTGACCGTTTCCGCGGCATTCCCGGTCTCTACTGGTGAGTTCAACGAACGAAATCGAGAAAAAAATCCACAGCTCAATGGTCTCATGCTAAAAACATCTTGTAGGGGCGTTTGGGCACTCATCCAAGCGCAGATCTCCCAAATCGATTTCGACTACGCCAGCTACGCTGAGACCCGTCTTGGCGAGTACTACGCGTGGAAGCGCGAGGTAGACGGAAGCCGCAAGCAAGCTGGCGAGAAAATTCCGCTGCGCGAGTCCCGGTGGGCGTCGGAGGCGTAAAGCCATTCACAATTCTTTCAGTCTAAATTCCGATCCCTCCTACTTCTATGAAACGACGAGAATCAATCCCTCGGCCCTTCAATTTCCCGAACAATATGTCAACGCTATCAATTCCCCATGATCTTGGCAAAACTCTTCCCACCCCTTTACCTTATTTTTGCAATTGCAAGAAATGCTCAACATGGCACTCCAGAAATTCAACAATATTCTCGGAGTCCTACGCCGAAACCGAATTTAACCAATGAATACAAATCAAAAGTTGTGGTCTTGGACGACCACAGACGAACGAGGTTGGACCGAGAGGTCCAACCCAGAAAATGAAGAGAAAGATAAAAATACAAGGCTCTACTCTGATTGTGGTGTAGAGCCGGAGCAAAAGTCTCAGGTATCTGTCGACATAGATGGTGGTTTATCTCTTTGCATGGCCCTTTTTTCTCGTGATCTTGTGTGTTGTCTTTCAACAACGTCATAGCTGGGGTGTTTAAAGGCTAATATGGTTTCTTATTTTTCATGTTTTCTCCTTTCAATCCAATGAATCTATTTCGAGGACAATTCACTTGTGTGGTATTCTAAATTGTACCTGTTCGGGGGATACTCTGAGGTTGAACTACATTGTACAAGGAATCTCTTACTCGACGCCAGTATCCTGAAAATAAGGTCGATTCTGCATTGGTGTGAACACAGAGCTGTTCTTCCTTTCATGGACATGATATCTAAATTCGAAATCGAAGTTGTGAAAATGTCAAAAATCAAAGTTGCCAACAAATCCCCAGAGAAATATATATCCGCCTTCAGTCTCAGATGTATATACACATGCTGCTCCAATATTCTGTATACGGTATTTCAGTCACCCAACGGACGCAACCATTCCCCAACCCATTTCTGAACCCAATGAGGCATCCTCCCCACCCCCGGAATATCCCGAAGCCTTTTACTGATTTCCGCCGTTCCTCGCGTATCCAAGACATTACCCGGCCCAGCACCAATCTCAGCAACAACACCTTCAAAAAATCCCAACAACTTAGCAGCCGGATTCCTCTCCAAAAGCCCCTCCAACTCACCCTCAGAATTCTCAATATCCACTCTCACCATCTGCACCCACGCAGACAAATCAACAAACGCAATCTCCTTCCCACTAATAAGAGAAAGCATCTCCGCAACAACAGGAGCAATAACCCCCCACGCCTCGGGATACAAATTCAACGGATGGAAGACATTAACAGACTGTCCCTGTCCACGAACAGCACCATCTGAGCCTTGCCAAAGCGCAAGATCAACCAAAACTTCCGCGAGTAAATCAACGGGCACCCAATCCACCCGTCCCAAAGTGGATCCTAGCGTCTCCGGCAACGCGCGCACTTGCAAAGAACTTCGCACCAAGCTCGGGAACCACTCGTTTCTATTCCAGAGGCCTGGCGAACGCGCCGCACCAGCTATCTGGCCGATGCGTGCGAACGACGCGTTTATCGAGCGCGTCTGTGTCGCGTGCGAGAGGAGGTGCTCGGCGATGTATTTGCTGTTTGCGTAGCCGTTCGGCGCGGGGTGGGTTGTTGTGATGAGCTCTTCGGGTGTTATTTGGGATGTTGTTTCATGGCCTAGAACTGAGCTGATGGAGGAGAGGAAGAAGAGGTGCGGGTTGTTGGGACTGGAGGTTGTGAGGTTGATGAGGTTTGTGATGGCGTGCAGATCGGGGGTGAAGGATGAGAGGGGGAGGTTGAAGTTTACTGTCCATGCGTTGTGGATTATCACGGTTGCGGTTTTTTGGAGAGTTTGGAGGGATTCTGTCGGGAGACCGAGGTCAGGTTGGGTGAGGTCGGCGTGCCAGAAGGTGACTTTGGAGGGATCGAGGGTCGAGTGGAGGTGGTAGAAGTTGCTTTTCTGTTGTTGGATTGTTCCGCTGTCTTTTTTGCGATTTAGACAGTGGATGTGCGATACAGATGGGTCGTTTAGTAAGGTGCTCAGGATGTATGTGCCTAAAGTCCCCGTTGAGCCGGTCAGCACGACGACCTGGGGCTGGATCGCCGTGTTGGACTGGACAATTGTCTTTGGTTTGATATTGTCTATTTTTTCTTTGAATTGCTCCAGAAGATTGTTTCGTTCTGCGAGCATTGCTTCCCTGCCTGCTGCTTGGATGACAGCATCGTCCTGGATGAGTCTGAGGGTGGCTTGCGTGAGAGCAGACAACGATGGGTTGAGGTATATCATATTGGGAGTAAACGAAGGTAGGTCAAGACCACGCTTGATACGGCGGGCAGTGGTGATGGTTTGCAGACTATCCAATCCGAGGGTGAAAAAGCTCTCAGCAGTGGAAACTTGATCTTCGCTCCAGCCAGTGACATCCACCAGGGACCGCTGGATGAAGTTCGACACTTCTTGAAGATTGCTGACGCGCACAGGCCCGCTCGTCTCGTTGTCTTCTCGTGCCGCCAGCTGATCAGCGCTTGCATACAGCGCATCTAGTTCGGGTGCGTAGAGAGCTAGAGTCCCCGCCCGCTGGACAGTGCCTTTCGCTGTCCGTGGCATGGGTTTCTCGGATGTCGTAAACAAGATGTGCGTCCGGACGAGTCGGGCATGTGCCGGACAAACACGATTTGCTTCCTCAATGCTGGGCCATATTTTCTCGATGGCAGCAGCTCGCTCACTTGGACCCATATCCCCATCACCACAGAAGTCAACAATGAGCGAGGCTTGGAAGCGATGAGTGCCTGCGACTATCACAGCTGAAACTTCAGGATTCGAGACGGCAATATGCTGCTCCATTGAAATAGGATTTGTTTTCTCCCCATTCAGGAAAACGATCACATCGTCCGCACGCGCGCTCCATCGCCACAAATCCGACTTTGTTGGGTCAGGGTGGCGCATCCACAGATCACGAGTGTAGTATTCTTGCTGACCGGGAAATATGGTAGATGGCAGCTGATGTGTTTCCCGCTCTGGCGTGTGGACTATCACTAGCTCATACTCATCTTCCGTGAAGGGTCGCATCTCGACTCCCAAGTCCGGGTGGAACTGGGTATATCGCCAGTCTCCACGAGGGTCCCTTTTCACTGAATGGATAGCACTGAGCATCCCTACCTCAGTCGCAGCATACTGGCCCACCAACTTTAGCTTTGACACCACTGTATCGCCAACATCCTGCGGTAGGTCGCCACCTACGTAGATGAGGTATTCCAGATGCTGGCTGCAGTAATCCAATAGGTCAGGTTGTTGGGCCAGCTCATGGACAACAGACGGCACGACCAAGGCGATTTCGAATGGGGTTTGTTTCCTGGCTTCGACCAGGGCTGCCGCGGTGGGGAGGCCACCCGACGTGGGTAAAATGATTGTCATACCGGCGGGAATTCCGAAGAACAGCAGGACAGCGAGTCCCCCCGCGTGGAAGGGCGGTAATGTCAGAAACATTCTCTTGCCCTGACTCCAACTGTGTTGCCCCTCAAAGTTCTCTGGCGGACTGAGGGCGACCATTCGCATGTGTCGAGTCGTAGTTTCAAATGTCCAAGAAATGGGCTTGGGAATACCGGTGGAACCGGATGTATGTATTGAGACTAATCTCGTACTCACATCGTCGGGATGAGTTTTGTGATATTCAAAATGAGGGTATTCGTTGGCTAGCAGCTCCTGCAGGCTCGGCACATCATACACTTCCAGAGGCATAGAGACATTCAACAAGTTTGTGATGGGCGGCGATCGGGGTGTTGTGGCAAGCACCTTGGAGCAATTCAGTGAGCGCAACAGGCTTTCGTGCGCAGCGAGACTGTTGCGAGGCGAGGTCAGAAACATACAGTATCCCGCCTTTACAGCCCCGATAACCAGAGCGGGATATCGTAGGTCATTTGGACCTATGTAAGTTAAAACATCCCCCTGTCCGGGGCCTAGTGTCTTGGTCAACCACCAGGCAACACCATTGATGGCATTTGCAAAGGCGCGATAGGTGATGGGGACGTAACCGTCATCATAGCTCGTGGGACATGCTGGATACTCCGCGTAGAGGGCGTCTGGTTTCACTCTCGCATAATGATCAATTGTGTGCGGTAGTAGCTCATTCTCTGGATAGAAATTGGGCATGATGATAAGTGATTTCAGACGTCGCTGGGAGTGTTACGAGGAGAACAAGGGTAGGGACAGAAATTATCATCAAGTTAATATCAAATATGTTGATCGTACCCACGCCTGGTGGTACATCCATATGTACATAGCTAGACCCATACAGAACACGATGTAACCAATGAGAAGTGTCCTTCTGTAGATCATCAAGGCGCCAAGGGCCCTTTCCATAGCTCTGGGGCCGCCCGAACTCCGTCAATTTTCAGGTCGGGCAGATCACAAGCCCTGACAATGAACGGATTGGATTGGGGGATTCCCTGGCAGGATGACATCGTCTGACCTTGAAAACGCCGAACGACGGACACGTAGGAAACAAACAGCGAGGAATGCAGGAAAAAAGCAGAATCTGCAACCTTTCAGCCGTAGCTGAACATGAACACCCGTTCAGAACCCAAAGGTCGTTCCGCCGCAAAGCTTGATCTTGTATTCTGCAGTACGGTGTATAACGCCAGCGAGTTTCTGGCACGTTCCCAAATAGTATGAGCTGTCATATCGTGAGGTTGATTTTGGCCCTATCTGGACTCTTTGGTCTTCTCATTGGATGCCCGTCAGAGCTCGTCTCATATTGATTAAAATCTAAGCTAGCGTGGACATGTACTATGGATGTCATACTTTGATTTCATTTCCTCCCAAAGTTATTACAAAATACATATTGAACACAGACTACCTTCATGCCTTGAGCTCTAGAACAAAATGGAGCAAAAAGCAACCATAAAACACGAAAGTAGGCGGCCGCATATGCGGCCTTGTGATGTCGTTTCTGTGGTTATGTGGTTTTCTCAGATATTCTATATAGTTGTTGAGATCATTTGCAAAGGGTTCCTTGATGAGAACAAATTTTCCATGTATAAGTTCGGAAAAGCCAAGGAAAAAAAAGAGACAAAAGTAAGGTCGTTGGTTACTTAACTACTGACTGGCGTGGGAATTGGCCTCGATACTTGGGGGTTCCGCATAAGCAAAAGGGGATGATATCGCATTTGTTGATTACACTACTTTTCCAGTCATTTGATGCAGCCATAAGTGGCGGTCAGATCGCTGTTCTAACAAGGAGTGTGCATCCCCGGCATATACGAGTGTCTTTCCTAGCGCCTCGGACGGCTCTTCATCAATAAAATAAATCAAGCCATGTGCTTCCTTGTAAGCATTTGTCTCATCGTACACAAGCCTCCGAGTTTCTTCGTCGGTTTGCACGATGTACCTGCAACCAGGAATCTCCTGGTCATGCTCTCCATCTATCAACATCGGATAATCGCCCCATTTCGCAAGCGCGTATCCGACAAGTTTCGCTTTTCGAGTTTTTGGGGTTTGGCTCTTCGGGCAGGTCGATGATTTGTTGAAGGGTTGCCGGTGCTGTCAATGTTCTGTAGAAAAAGTAATAGACTGGATATTGGGTGGGAATCTCGTGGGGAAGTTCGTGTATGTTGCCCTCCATATTGGTGAATAGTCGGCTGACGCGGACCGCAGCACGGCCTTGTATGGTGTTCCCTTATTGCACATCTACGTATTTCGGGAACGTGTACCTTCCTGCCCTGAAGGATGCTGCGACATGGTAATCCACGTAGTGTCTGAAGGATTTACCTAGATTATAAGATGCAAAAAAGCACCGAAGTTGACAAAAACCCCTGCCAAGTTGTGATGAGGAAAACTCGCACAATCGTGGGCATCAAAGCTGCTGTATCTTCTACGCACGCGAATTTTTTCAAGTCCGCGGTTGAGCTAAGCAACAACTGCCATTTCATATAGACATAGCTAAGCTGAGCTTCATACCTAGGTGCATGACTTGTTCTGACACGTACTACTCATGCCCACCTAATCTAACTTCCAAGTAAGTAAAGGGAAATGATGGACATACAAGACCAGCTACACCATCATCACTTACATAAATAGCTCGAAGGTCTCTACATATCCGCTATATCTCCGAAGAAAAGCGAGCAGCACACTCCTCCTTATATGCTTCCAGCTGCTCCATTTTCATCCGCGTGAATGACTCCATCTCCGCACGCGTCTTGTCCTCAAGCGACTCAAAACCTGCACCGTCATGTAATGCAGCCCAATAGATACTGTCCACATCAAAACTTTTCCTTGCCGCATAATTGAACCAGAATCGCCCAGTCCTCCAGGAATCGCGCATGCGTGTAGAAAGCGAGGGTCCGAGTTGCTTGCACTCGAATTCAGATTCATTTTCCACTCGTTCCAGCGCTCGCAGGAACTGCTCCATTCTAGGCTCATAGAGGGTAACGAATTCTTCCATCGAGCAGCGCTCAAGCCACATTTCTGGCCCCGAGAGCAACAGCCACCAGGGTGGGTCATAGGTGAACTCAGCCGGCATCGCATTTGTAAACTCGAAATCAAGCACGGCAGTAATTTGGAGTGTTTTCGGATCTATAAGCATGTTTGAGGGTCGCATATCATCGCAGAAGGGTGTAAATGGCCCGCTGTCGTCAGAATAGTATTTTGAAATGAGCTGTGCGAACCTATGACGGGCAATGAACCGCTGCTGAGCGATTTCCGGGTTATCGGTAAGATTACGCTGGGTCCAAAGATGGGTCAGGTGCTCATTCGCGATTGATCGTAGATACTCGATTGCACTATCAAACGGTGCGATTGGAAATTGACTATCAGGGTAGCCGGCGACAGTAGCTAACTCGTTCATGTTGTATGTCAGCGGACGTCCGGTAATAACCCATGCCCCTAAAGTGTCCTTCGAGATAGCTCCAATTTTAGGAAACCTAAGTTGAGAGAGCTGGAATATATAACGAGCGATTTGGTGATAGATCTTGTCCAATGTCGCGTTATCAATGTTCGGATTCAGCACCACCTCTTCCTGGTCTGGTTGCTTCGGGTGTAGCACCACCTCTCCTTGGTTTGTTTGCTTCAAGACAGTCCATAAGAGCGTCCCATTCACATAATCCATGATGATGAATGGGCCAAGATGTTGTGGACTATCAGTAGTCAAGCCCCAGCTGTGAACACGAGGGACAGGGATATCAGTGTTTTGGCGGAGGTATTCCATGACATAGGCTTCATTCATCACTTTTTCATCCCTATAGACTGTAGCCGTGTGTCCTGGCTTTGGGAACCGAATGATAGCATCCGGCCCTTCATCGGTGAAGCTGAAGCGGAAGGCTAAGTTGAAAGAACCCTCAAGGAAACCAACATATGTCCCAATTCCCCCTCCTTCCCGGCGCCCAGCAACAAACATGGCTAATTCATCTCTTGAATCAAGAGCTCTGCTTAACCAAGCCTTGCATTCATCGTCACCATTGGTCTCTTCTATCTCGTCAAAATAAGTCTTCAATGGTGTCTTCTGTTGAGACATCTGAGAGATTGTGCAGGTGAAAAGATGCAAGACAGAGTAAAGATGTGAAAAATATTGTTCTGGTTGGAAGACTCTCTGTATGAAAGAAGTGCAAAGTGAAAGATGTCTGGGTACCCCGCTGACAGAATTTAGCCGGGGGATTGCATACGATGACTCGAGGATCATAATCTGAGGACTGGGTTGAGAGAAAAGGAAAGCAAGAAGACTTATCTAAAGCCCAAGTTTCATCTACTTAATCTCACTCTCTAGACTTTGTTTTCCTCCAATCTATAAACCAATCTGCAAACCGCGGGTAACCGTGATCTTCGAGCCTCTCCCTGAGTCGCCTTCTCCATTCAGTCTCAATGATTCCTGGAATTGGTGAGTGGAAGTTCAGTCCGGGAGAAACACAGGGATTCCCCAATTCTGTCACACTCGATTTTGCAGCCAAGGCTCCAGGTGGAAGGAGAAGTCTGCAAAACAGAGTTCCCGATAGACACTGATGCTGACATGACTCAAGCGCATGAGCGTTTTTTCTTGGACTGATTTTGGGGTGTTGTTACAACAAAGGAGAAAGCACTTGAGGATTGGGTTCTGAAGGGAAGCGTGTTGGAAGCCAGGGCATACACAGCATGAATCAGTGGTTTTCTGGCCCACTCGATGTACTCGCCGCCAACTCTATGAAAACCCCCTGGCCCAGAATGTGATCAGGGGCCCAGAGCATAAGCAGGCTGTCCGCAGTTTAGATTGGTCAGTGGGAGTCAAAAGATCTTAAAGCCTGGGCTCTTTTCGCCCCTTCACAGCTGGTTACCCCCTGTTGGCCTCTGATCGTCGCCGCCTAGAAGCGCCTGCAGAGTACGGAGTACTTGAATCGTCTTTCGATGAAATAGACAAAAAACTGGTGACGCGATTTCGAACCTTTGTTTTCCATTTAAGACCTAAGCTCGTGATGAAATATCACTATAGTCTATGTGAATAGCGCATTTTAGAACCAAACAAGTAATACTTCTCCCCGCGGGTGGTAGAGTCCTGAGCTTGTAAGCATTCAAAGTTGTTTAGATCTCCAGTTTAGATCTCCATGTTAGATCTTTGATGGCAATGTGTACTTTGTACTTTATAAAGACAGTCATCATCATGATAGATCTAAATATCTGGTTTCCATCTATCATACAATGAGGATATCGCAGTGCGAGTGTTGAGATTGCTTTCGAGCCATGTCAATCCAGGAAATGTGAGTACCAGGGTCATTCCACCAGGTTTCAACAAACGAGAGAACCCGCGCTCTGTCCAAAGTGCGACTGATACGCATGACATTGCCGAAGCATTCTTGAATAATTCGTTGACCGGTAGGATATCCTCGGAGTTCAGTTCCCGCCATGAAAAGTGGCCAGACAAGGTCCTGGGCGAACATGCCATCTCGGGTCTCGGAAAGAAACTGTACATAGTGAAGGATTTCATCCCGAGACTTGCGCACATGATCACCCGCAGGACCATCCTTCGCTAAAGCCTGATGGCTGTAAATGAGAGTTGCATGGTAGTACATCCACACGACCAGTTCAAAGCCGTGTTGATCAGCTTCAGAGGAAAAGTGAATGGATCTACTGAGACGCATCATGCTGTTTCTAGCTGAATCAATCTGCGACTGGATGTCTTGCATCGGGCCGCATGATGAAGCCCGCTCGACCGTCCCCGAACAAAATCTCAGACGCTCAAGACGGGTGATCTGGTCAATGATCTGAATAAAATCGGTAAAGACCGCGTTCTTGCCGCCACCGGGAGGAGTCTTAATCGCCATATTGTAGTTATCGAAGGTCGTCAAATCAGCCCACACCGAAGCCTCATAAAATTCTAACATGAGAAATTCTTCGATGGAGGCAAGCTGGTGGTGTCGGCGCGGTCGGTTCTGTGCTGCCAAGATGATCTCTCTCGCAGCGGAGAGATGAACCCGCCACCCGGCGCCTTGTGGTTTCATAAACTCATTATTGCAGAGAAGAATCACAGATGCAAGGGTGTAGGCTGATGTTGTGCTCGCTTCCAACGCCGATGTGGAAGATGTAGAAAGGCTGTTCAACTCTTGAGCCAAAAGAGCGAGGGTTTTGTTTTGATAGCTTTTCGACATCTGCTGGAATGTGCTATGCCCCAGGTCATTTTGAGGGTACTCCGATGCAAGATCATGGGCGGCAATAGCAAGGATGGAAGAAAGGACTGTTTCGGAGCTCTCGGCCATTGGCAGAATCATCTGACGCCACGCATTCTGCTGCGGAACCCATGCAAGTCGATGGGCGACTCGGTCGTTGAACCAAGACAGCAACCGTGAAACATGTAGTGGCCGAGCTTGCGATAAGCAAAGGTCCGAAATGGGGGATGGCCCCGATGGGGAGGAATATGTCGTGAAATGGCTGTACCGATCCAGAACAGATATGCCGCTGCCGCTAGTACGGGTCTCTATTAAGCTCTCTGACGAATGAGGCGAGTTTGATACTCTGATCGGAGCATCGAGAGAGGGAAATGCTCTGCCCCGCAGACTACCGCGGCTGGCGACGCCATGGACCCATTTGAGCTGTAGGCCGTAGCCTGGGCATTCCAAATTGCGCTTTCCGCATTTACGGCAGCTCGGTAGGCCCCGATCACACTTGATACGTCTTTTTTGACATGTTGGACAATCTGGTAATGTTAGGACCCCCGCATTAGCACGAGGTGAGATCCGTACCTTTAACAGCCAACTGTTCCGTAGAACCTGCGGACATTGGTATATCCCATTCGACTTTCTACTGAGGACCACGGAGAGCCTTAGAAAAGGATGAGAGCGTTGATACGGACAGTGCTTGTTTTCTAGTCAGAGTCATGTGATACACACAAATCTGTGAATTTGATGCCTTTGACAGAGATGGATGGCGCTAAACCTATTTGAAAATTTTAGTCAAGCGGGATTGGCGCTCCACTCGAGTGGACGATCCGGAGTCCATACAATATAGAACATCACCATTCATACGGAATCCATGGAGACGTGTCAATTGATTTCTATCTGAGGCTAGTAATTTAGTTACTTAATGAGTGAGACCATCAAGTTCTAACAACCGAACCCCCGGAGGCTATGTATACATAATAATATAGACATCAAGCTTTGACACCAAAAAGGGTTAGACCCGTAATGAACTCAATCCTTCCTTCTTGGCTGCCTCATTCGGTAAGGATCGCTGGTATCAAAGTACACGCTTGCTTTTCTCTGTAGTTCGTATTACTTCCAACATTTAAATACACAACAATGATTATAGACAGAAATTCAATCATCATTTGCGTACCAAAATCATGTCTTGTCTTGATATCCAGCTCGTTGCTCCTGCTATCCACAATGTCAATACCCAGTGCCATGAGAAGCATGGCATTTCTGCTTTGGCGGGACTTGTCGTTCTCTCGGTGACTGCCTCATCGCCCCTGATCAATGTGACCAAGACCCACGTTCGAATGATTCAAGTTATAAGACCTACAACTGATAGCAAAAACAATCGGCGGACTTTGTGCCCTTCATTTTGCATGATAGAAAAATCGCCCCAACCGGGTTCAACGATTGAACGAACCATTCGAGACGTTGCCCTGCCGACATTCTCCAATGGAGGATTTGAGATTTATCCAAGGCGGATTGTCTCAGAATTTCCTTTCCACTTTGATCTTCCAACAAACATACCCGGAACGACAAAAACACCTCTTGGAACCATCAGCTACGAGATCGAAGTCAAGGCGACGACATCACAACATGGGACTTTCACCCAGCGCCGATCCGTCGAGCTCAACCGCCAGATGATTCTGTCGGAACCGACAAAGACTCAACATCACCTATACTTCCAAAAATCGAACACCATCCGAGGGATGACGCTGTCACAGAACTCGACACCGAGATCTGGACCAAGGATCTCATTTACTGCTACGATCCGTACTCACTGGGAGACAGCCCCAGCAGATCGAGAAACAGAGCTCTGCCATCTTGTGGTGCGAGAGCTGAGGTGGCAAGCTGAAGAGGTCATCAAGATCATGAGCAAGTCTACCAGCCCAGATGAGAAATATTCTGTCTGCGAGCGACAGTTGGTCCGCAAGTTGTGTGATGGACATACGAAAGGGTATTGGGGATATGGTTGCAATCCATACGTTAAACAGTCTTACGGACTGGAATTTGAGGGAAAGGGAGAAGAAAAACCAGCAATTTGTATTCCATTTGCTTTCACCATCCCAAAACGGGCACTGGCTGTGGATGATATTGACTTGGCCGCATATGAGATTGGAGTGGATGGGGCTGACCAGACCCCAAACTGCGGTCATCCTGAGAAATATCCCTTCTTCTCAGCTGGAAAAGTCACGAAGGGAATCACTGTTCATCATCAGCTAAAGATTGAACTTGTTACGGGGGAAGATGTGTTCCATAAAGGTACTCGCAAACTGGTAGAACGGAAACGTTTGCGAACCATTGTATGTCCTGCAATTCCGTTGAGTGTTTGTGAAGTATCATTATAGTTGCAGGTAGATATGACTATCGCTTGGCTGCATGGGGTTAACCTTGTTGTACTGGTTTTGGGAGAAGTTGTTCGGTTTCCCACCATGGTCAAGGGCTTGGCTAAATAGATACTAGAAGAAACATCAACCCTATCTATACTACCTGGGCCGTTTTATTGAAAGTTTGTACATAGTGTCAACGAGACACCTGCTCCTCAATTCCGGTATGTGCCAGAATTTTAGGCCGTGCGGTAAGCCCGGGGTATAGATTTGACCAGCGATTTTGCTCCCACATGAAGAACCCCCGTGTTATGGCTAGTCGGCATCCACAAATCCAGCCCTCAGAGAATACCTCAAAAAAACACATCTAAACGTTAGATTCGAGAAGACCACTGAACAACCACTACGAAGACATCCGTCATACCCAAGGCCGCATAAGGAGCTGACTAATCTTGTTCATGAAGTCGTCCGAAGATTATGCGGCGGCTACAATTCCATCCAATAAGACGACAGCAATATGACCGACATCCCCACAAAATCTGCGGCAAAGCGCTCTGCCGGGCAAAATGCGGAGAAAGCGAAAGGGGAAGAGTATGAAAAGAATATAACCGATGAGCACCCAACTATTACTTCTGAGCTTCAACCTCACCTCCCAACATCCAATCTCACGAATTCACATTTCCTGCAAAAGCCATTGAAATCCTCGACTCCACTGCTACCAAATCACACAAAATGGGCAAATCCATCCTCCTCATCAACGGCCCAAACCTTAACCTGTTGGGCACACGAGAGCCACACATCTATGGACACACAGCATTGGCTGATGTGGAATTAAACAGCCGCGAGGTTGCCGCCAGCCATGGTGCCGTCCTCGAGTCCTTCCAGTCGAACCACGAAGGCGCAATCGTGGACCGCATCCAGGCGGCGCGTGGCAAAGTCGACGGTATCATCATCAACCCAGGCGCATACACACATACGTCGGTTGCAATCCGTGATGCCTTGCTTGGCGTTGCAATTCCATTTATTGAGCTCCATGTGAGCAATGTCCATGCGCGCGAGCCTTGGAGACACCACTCGTACTTCAGTGATAAGGCTGCGGGTATTATTGTTGGTCTTGGGGTTTACGGGTACAAGGTTGCTGTTGAGCATGTTTGTGTTAATTTTGTGGAGAAGGAAAAGGAGACCAAGGCTGCATTGTGATGGGATGTTTCATAGCGTAAGCGAGATGCGCACTGCCACTTCATCAGTAGATTAGAAGCTATATATGTTGGTCAAAGCGCTTTAAATTTCACAAGAAACGTACAGAGAAGTACTATAGAATGATAAATTGAGGTTCCGTTGTAAATCACGACCCGTCGCATGGAAATTTGACCATGTAGACATTTTAGAACCCTAGAAGCGAGTGACGTATACCTTCCTTCAAGCACGGAAGATATTTCAACGGAGCCCCAATCACCTTGCTACTTTCTTCACACGCCGCCAAGGCTAATCTTTTCCATGCCGTAACTCTTGCTAACGAGAACGATCTTGCTATATCTATGCTGAGCGAACCCGGGCGACAACAACGCTTCTTTCAGAGCTGCTATCTCCGCTGAGTCGATATGGATGGAATGAATTTGCAAAGGCCTTATACTGTGATCCTTTGCCGATAAGACCAGTGGCAAACGGGTGAAAATTGTTTTTGCCATCGATAATTGCCGTAGATAATGGCTTTTTGCGGCTGACTACTTGTTCTTTCCACCCTCAGCAGTACATGCATTCAGAATTAGTTGTTTTGGTGAAATGAATTTCCAGGCTACATGTGATGATTTCGTATCTGTCATCTAAGGTATCTTGCATCGCCAGTTGCCTGGAGTAGCTTGGGTTGCTCTGGCAATGTGCAGTGCATTATCCCAAAAGCACCCATAAGAAATCGTGAAGATGCTTTGGAGATTTTATGTGTGATTGAAGATGGAAGCTAACAAGTACATGTATAGCTCTTGCTCCTCAGGACCCAGGTGGATAGCGGACCAAGAAGCCAACGAGGCCGACCAGCAGCAACCCACCGGCAACAGGGCGTTCCCACACCATTCATACCATCGGAGTAAAGAGGCCCCAGAGGACATCATCGCTTGGGTGTTTCTGACATGCCAAGAGGCTGCGACTCTCGTCCGATATCGGGGGGAGTGCCATTATTGGGTAGCTGCTGGGTTTGTGCTAACAAGAACGGTTCAATCTGACTGGAAAACGAGTAGAGCTCCGGAATACCCGCATCAGAGACAAAACCTAGGTTCTGCATAAATTCTGGTTGATTATCGGCTCTAAAAGGGATCAAAGTCAGTCATTATGCAAAGGAGATAGGAGATGAATGCTTACTTCTCGGCACCATCTAATGACGCCAGCTCATCAAATAATGCATCGAGATCAGGAGCAATCCGTTGTCTTCTTGAATGCGCATAACTATCCATATCAACAAATGTACCACCCATATTGAGCGATGGGTCATGATACGTCGTTGGATGGTATTGTGTGGTTTGGTGATATGATGGCGGAAGGTCGGCGAGGTTGCCGGTAGTATTGTGGGATTTGTTAGGCGCTGATGTGGGATGAGAAAGAACATTGCTAAGAGAACCATCCATGTGGCCCTGTGGGGGAAATTCAGGAGCGCGCCCCCTGCGGAGGTTAAAGATGAAGGCGTGCGGAGAAGAGACACATCTTCGATGTGCTGTGTTGTTCTGAGCCAAGACGTGGGGAGGAATGGATTTTCAGGGGCAGCCGCCGCGTGTGTATTATTTTGGGGCGGATGTGTTGGATATGCGTCATGAAGAAGATGTGAAGATGTAGCTATTGATGACGGAATTGTCACGTCTCCGTCAGTAGAGGAACCGATGTGTTGTGAGATGGCAGATGAAGGACCCAAGAGCTGAGATCTTTGTGGTACATTTGAACCAGCTGGAAGTTCTTGATCCAACATAGTCCATAACAGGGAAAGCTGGGAAGAAATGTTGTGGATTTTGTTTCGTAAACTCCTATCAAGATCTGATGGGAGGTCCCTGGAAATCGATCGCGGAAGGCCAAACCGAAGCATCAAACCGAAGGTTGGTGCAGTGGCCGGAAAGCTGTATGTCTGCGTGTAGGCGTGGAGCAACTGCAACAACCTTTTTGAGCTTTCTGTAGCACGAATCTTGTGTGGCGGTTCAGGTATGTTTTGGTCATATTCACGAATGGCGATTTGAGAGCTGAGAGCGATAACCACACTTTCATATGTCATTTCTAAGCCAAAAATATGCGGGGAAGCCAGTCTCCCTGGGCGAGATTGTAGATCGACACGATAGCTCTTTGGTAATTCTGTTACCCAGCGCTGTAATTGCAATTCCAGTTGCTCAAGCTGTGATCGAGATATCGTTGGGTCGTGCCTGCAACAGCATAGATCATTCAAGATTGACACGAGGCTGACGAGGCGGTTGAAAGTGCTCAACGCGTGAAGGGGACCACGGTGCATAGAAGCCCGTGAAGATTGGGGAGGGCGCAACCCCGTTTGATCTTCCCAGGGATGCCATTCCTCAAGACCATCCTCATTGATAGAGCCTATTCTGGCTAAGTCTGCCTTCCGGAGCGATGGGGATTGTGAAATCGATTCTGCAATTAAGGTCTCAAGAATAAAGCAACCCAAAAACACATGCTTTGCTCGACCGAGCTGCTTTTCTTGGTCCAGAGTTCTCGATGATGATGAATATGAAGGTTGATTGATACCTAATATATGCGCAATCCGAACAGCCTGACCGATAAGCATCCAGGCACCAGTCCATTCTTGTTGTCCGAGTTTGACCAGGGCCAGGATCAACAGTGCTTGCACGTGTCCGATTTCGTGCGGGCCACCCTCAGGCGGAATCAATTGCCGGGCAGTAACATACATTTGTGATGGGGTCATCTGATCACTAGGCTGCTCTTCCACTCGGCTAGAGGCTGAGATAGAAGCATATTGAAGCGAAGCGAGAGTAAGCACAGCCCACAAGGCAGCGTGCTCCCCAGACCCGGGGCTCAAGCCGGATACATATGCATCGCCTTCCGTGTACTGAAAAGCGGTGCGAAGTATGTCGTGCTTTTCGAGTATGGGGAACCAGCACTGCGTGTAGGAGAAGTACACATCAAAAAGAGGCCATGCGTTATGCGGGAGTCGGAGAGCAGTTTTCATGGAAATTGATCGAGGATAATCAGGGTTCGATGAGAAAGTGACAGAGGACGAGGATTGGTCGTCTGGTGTAATTGTCTGAATACCACAGTCTGTAGTCGAGTGTGTTCCGGTAGGCTTCATAGGAGAGATGCCCGCTGCTGGTCGAGTCGGCGATACTCTTGGTAATGGCGTCCCGCTAGCTTCCATGCCTTCAGGGATCTGCCACTCCTGTGCTTCGGCGGAAGAAAGAATTCCTTCTACTTCTAGAGGTGTATCGCCTTCGCCATATGACTGGAGGTTCCGCTCTCTTTCCTCCTCCGGCTGCTCCAGTATGATCAGAATGCGTTCAATGTCTCTGAGTACTGTGCTGTTTTTGAAGGAAGCCAACAATGTATCGGACCCCTCCGTTTCCTTGCCCATGGCGGCCAAATGGCTTCGAAGATTGATTGATCGCATCAAAGCTCGCATCACATTTTCACTGCCTTGGATCCTTTGAAATGCCAGCCCCCAAAGCAACTCCAGCGATCGAATGTAGCCGGTGGGCAGACCTCGCTTCTTCGGATTGGCCTTGTAGGTGCAAGGTCGGCAGAGGGATACACACGTTGAGCACACTGGTTGTAGTCCATCACACTTGTCCTTTTTCGACCTGCAACTATCGCAAGCCCGAGAGACTCGCTGACGCTTCGGTTCCCCCGCTGCTTTCCCATCATCTTCTGGGTCGGTCCATCGTCGTTTGAATTTGCTGCTAGCACCTGTGGCTTGCCGCTGTTCGGCGCTCATGGTGACTTATTTTGCGATCCACTCGGAGGCTTCGGGCGCATGTTCCCGTAAAGGGATATGTGATGAATATTTTGCCGACGGGCGACTGCACAGCCGAGCGGGTGACTACGCCATAGGAATCAGCCCCACTGTATGTATATTAGGGCTGTCGTGGAAGGAGTTTGGGACCGAAGCGCGAGCTTGAGGGTACGTGCAGCGCGCAAGATGTTTGCCAACTGGACTTTTCCGGGGAAGGTTGGATGATTAGCTAGCGGTAGGCCCAGCCAGGCTCTCGCAAAAGGTAATCGTGTACAGACCGAGCGTTAGACCCTGTGTTTGAAGCTGATTCTAGGATCAGCGGTAGAGCTCAGATCAAGCCACATGAAGTTTGATAATTTCCCCAGGCCGTTTTGCACGTATCTGAGCGCAAGTCCCCCGCGGGGAAGAGGAAAACCGAAAGTCCCCGGGTGAGTGCTCGTCCGCCTTATGTAATGGGAATGCACAGCACTCGAGGGCCCGGACCGGCACCCTTTTTACGAAGATTCCTTGTCCCCCGCAAACTTTGGGAAAACCCGCTTACCATATCGGTTTGTTCTCTCCACATTTACGAACATCCTATACACGTCTATCTCAATACTGCAGCCTCCCATCCTACATCTCCGTGTGTGGTAATGGGCTCTCGACCACGCTGTTCCTGATTCCATTCCGGCACGTGGGACTTCCGATGCGCGATGCCCATGTTAGTACGACCACCGAAACGAAAGCTTCACGAGGTCGAAGCTTTAGACGATGGGCCTCGAAAGTATAGCTCAGATGTCGTGACATCTACTGCTGTCCACCTCTCCTCCCGATCTCCTTCACGTCGATCGAGTGAACAAAGAGAAGCATCCGGAGATTCGCGTCCGTCATCGCGACGAGAATTACACTCGAATCGCGGATCCCCAGTATTGTTTGAACGTAGCCACCTCCAAACACCGCGCACATTCAGCCGGAAAGCATCCATTGTGCTGATCGGAATCCGTGGCACTGGAAAGTCTAGTCTAGCGGTCATCCTTGCGGCGACATCCGGACGACGATTGATCGATGCAGACCGCTACTTTCAGCAAACTGTGGGATGTTCCCGTGCTGTGTTCAGAAAGGAAAATGATGGATCCGTCTATCGGCAGCAAGAGGCCCGGGTCTTCGAGTCGATGCTGGCAGACAACCAAGAGGGATGTGTGATTGCGTGTGGAGCCGGGTCAATGGAAAGCAACGGCCAAAGACTTCTTAGGAAATTCGCGCAGACACATCCGGTCATCCACGTTATTCGAGACCCAGAGAGCATCCAGTCATATCTCAAAGCGTGGGATACGGAAAAGGTACGACATTTCCTCGAATTATCAGGCCCGATATATCGAGGGTGCTCGAATCTCGAGTTTTTCAACCTGTCAGAAGCCAGAAGCGATGGTCTAGGGAATGACAGTGACAAATCATCACCGACACACCGGATAGAACCTAGGTCACATACGCCTATCCCATTTTTAACGCTGAAACGAGTTCAGCGGGACTTTCTCCGCTTCATTGCCTTCATCACAGGTGACATTGCTGAGCTTAACAGCCAGCATGCATCTTTCCCGCTGTCGCTGTTGCCTGTTGAATCTCGAATGTACACATCTGCAGTATCAGTACCGTTTTCTAGGGTCTGCGAGAAGGGTATGGATATTGAGCAGCTGGAATTCACTGCCGATGCCTTCGAACTCGCAGTTGACGTAACAGACCCTTCTGGTCAGCCAAGCCTCAGCTCAAGTCTTGCGGATAGTATCAGTCAGGCGGTAGCAGTCATTCGTCGCAACATCATTGTGCCGTTGATCTATCATGTGGAAAGCTATACCACCCCCAAAGGTTCTTTGTCTCCTAGTCAAGTCCCTGTGAGATGTACCGATGAAACCTACTTAAATCTGGTCCAACATGGCTTGCGGCTCTCCACGGGCTTCCTCACAGTAGACCTCACCCGTGATGACAATACTATCTCCCAGATCATCTCCGCAAGTGGACGAACCAGGATCATTGGCCACTTCGAAGCATTCCGTCCTCTGCCAGGCGGGTGGGATGGCGATGAGTATATGAAGGTTTATGAGCGGGCCAGAAGCCTAGGATGCGATCTAGTCCGACTGTGTCAGCCAGCCGAGACACCCGAAGACAACCTTGCAGTACAAAGATTCCGCCATCGCATTCAAAGCCTGCCTGCAGCTGGCCTTTCTCTGATCGCATATAACACCGGCCCTCTTGGCCGCATGTCTCGTTGCTTCAACCCCATTCTCTCCCCAGTCACACATCCATCTTTAGTAACGGAACTTCCAACTCATCTACGATCATGGATCACAGCCCGCGAAGCACAGAAGGCCCTTTATAGCTCATTTGCCTTGGACCCGATGCAATTCTTTGTCTTTGGCGCCAACACAACATACAGTATGTCGCCCGCGATGCACAACACTGCTTTCAAAATTTGTGGTTTGCCGCACAATTACTCCATTCATCAATCACCTACCTTACGAGGATTAAATGACCTTGTGGAAAATCAATACTTCGGTGGATCAAGTGTCAGTCTTCCATACAAAACAGAGTGTATTCCTCTGCTCCACTCAATGTCTACGCATGCCCGAGCCATCGGCGCCGTCAATACCCTCATCCCGATCCGCAACCTTGAGGATTTAGATGACACTCGTTTGCAAGAATCTTCAATCTTTCTTCAAAAGAGCCGTGCCGGCCCCATCAAGGGCCTTCATGGTGACAACACCGATTGGATTGGAATCTGCAATTGTATTCGCCGCGGTCTGTCCCCAGCAAACGCTGTCCGCTCGTCCTCAGCAGGTCTTGTCATCGGATCTGGTGGGATGGCCCGCGCCGCAATTTACTCCATGATCCATCTTGGTGTACAAAATATCTTTATCTACAACCGTACATTTGCCAATGCAGAGAAACTGGCCCACCATTACAATCGGCAAGACCTCCACTCAAAAGAGGCCAGAGGATCTGGCCATCCCACAGTCCGCATTATTGCTTCATTATCCGACCCTTGGCCTGCAGGTTTCAAGCAGCCGACGATTGTTGTATCGGGAATCCCGGCTCATAGTATTGGCGGCGAACCGGCACCTAACTTTCATATGCCAACACAATGGCTAGAGAGCCCGACAGGCGGTGTTGTTGTTGATGTGAGTCAACATTTATCTTTCATGCCAGCCTCACAAGGTGGCCATCCATTGCTAACGAACATTTTTACAGCTGGCGTACAAGCCCCTCAATACCCCTCTCATGAAACAAACACGAGCATTATCCTACCGAGGCTGGGTAGCTCTAGATGGCCTCGATGTTCTGCCAGAGCAAGGGTTTGCCCAGTTTGAGCTGTTCACCGGCCGTCGCGCTCCCCGGCGTGTTATGCGGAGCATTGTGCTCCAAGAGTACAAAGACGACGAGGGAAATAATGACCATCAAGCGATACAAGACCGGTTACAACAAATGGACGGACAGCCGAGTTAAATCTCGCCAACTGCCCTTACGAATGATGATCAACTGTAGCAAGCGATGACCCAATTCAATCTGTACTATGATGAATTCAGATTACAATGAGTCTCTTAAGGTGTTCCTGTCACATCTGTCTATACTTGGCGAGGCAAAGAGAGACACGTGAGCGTACACAATACGAAATTATTTGGCATGCTTTTACTTCAATCAATGCCATGTTTCGAGGTATCTAATACTCAACTTTGTCTAGCTTCTACTTCCGCGTGGCCCGAGACGCGTTGCGTAATTGACCAAGCCATCTGGGGGACACCTATACTTAGGTAGGAATATAAGATAACACAGGTATACGGTCCTCCCCTATGACTTACTTGATACTAGTGAAACACAAATGAAGGATTGAATTGATAAGAATATTGGGTACGGCTTATGAATATCATTGCTAGAATGTAGTATATAGCCATCAAAGTACACTTGCGGTTACTTTGATGATTAGCTCGGCTCCAAAGGCTGATATATCAACATATTGCCTAGGAAGGTTGCGACTAGAAATTGCTGCAAGGAATTGTCGATTCATTATGATCACTAATCTGGTTTCCACTACCGACGAGGCTACGATCCACGTCGCCAAAGTGCTTCAACAATTTGGAAAATGATATTGACTATTAGTATTGGCTAATGCCCACATAGAGCAGATGAAGTAGTCACGAGCCAAGCTAGGTAACGGTACATAGAGCTATGATCTTTTCTATCAAAGGTATACCGGATCTCAGATCTACCTAGTATAAATCCTCGCTACTCTCAAGTGGGGAACCATCTCGATAAGCAACTGCCGGTTAGTGGCGGTTATTTTGGACCTCCAATTTTCACCGGATGACTCAAGCTAAAACTCTTACCCTTCAGTCTTGGAATCTTTCCTTATATTGACATATTTTGATGCTCTTGTACCTAAACTCGTTTCACAATGGCCGTCGGACCCTTCTCCCAAGATGAACTGGATGAGATATACGCTTTCGCAGTAGACCTAGGCCGCAAGGCTGGCAAAATGCTCATGGAGCGTGTCGATCAGCGTATTTCAGGCACAAATGGCTCCTCCAGTGCCTTTGAGGAGAAGGAAAGTGCCGTGGATATCGTGACACAGACTGACGAAGGTAAGGCAGCACAGCAGCGCAGCTGATAAGCCATATCAGACACTTGTCGCTCACAATTTTACTTGGTAGACGTCGAAGTATTCATCCGGAGCGCTCTCGAGGCCAAATACCCGTCTCACAAGTTAGTCCCCGTTTCGCAACCCAGTGGCGACAAAGTTAACATTCCCCTAGATTCCTCGGCGAGGAGGCATATGCCAAAGGCCAGTCGCGCGACTACCTAATTGACGAGCAACCAACATGGTGCATCGACCCATTAGATGGTAAATCATTGCCTCCAGCATCATGATCGATTATGCACGGCTCCGAACCGGCATCACAAGAATCTCAACTAATTACCCCTACCCACTCCCAGGAACCGTAAACTACACGCATATTTTTCCCATGTTCTGCGTCTCAATTGGGTTTATCGTGCAGCACAAACCAATAATTGGTGTAGTATATGCTCCATTCACAGATCAGCTCTGGTCCTCCTGCACCGGGCGCGGAGCCTGGCTCAATGAGACTCGCCGCCTCCCGCTCATCCACAACCCAACCCCGCCAATGCCTACCAATGCGCCTTCACAGTGTATCTTTTCTTGCGAATGGGGGAAAGACCGTCGCGATATTCCTGACGGAAACATGCATCGCAAGATTGAGAGTTTTGTAAACATGGCTGCGGAGGTGGGTAGTCGGAATGGGAGAGGTGGTATGGTGCACGGTGTGCGCAGTTTGGGCAGTGCGACGCTTGATCTCGCATACGTTGCCATGGGGTCTTTTGATATTTGGTGGGAAGGAGGTTGTTGGGAGTGGTGAGTTTCGCCTTTCCCATTTGGTCTTTTTCTGTTCCTTGCAGAATTGGCTTTAATTACGTTGGTGCTGACTATGATAGGGATATCGCTGCCGGTGCCGCTATTCTTTTGGAGGCTGGTGGACTTATGACTACTGCTAACCCCCCAGAAGATGTGGATACAGCACCAATCGAGGATGTCCGACTCGGCAGCAGATTGTATTTGGCTATTAGGTGGGTCTTTTAATTGTTTCTTGCTTGTTGGATCTCTCTAATCAATTATATTTCAGACCCGCTGGCCCATCTGGCACAGAGACAGGCCGTGAAACACAAGAACGGACAGTACGCGAAGTTTGGCGGCGGGTGCGTAACTTGGAATACTCGCGGCCTGGAGCTTGAATAGCTTTACAGCCGCTTGATTCTATCTTGTTCTACATAGACGTTTGATGTGATGTAAATATTTACATATTGACCAGATAAGAGGTCCAGGGTGGGATGCATTTGAGAACCGAAGGTGCCGTCCACTGAGATATATAGACAATGGTACTATCAGCAACTACGCTCTATACAATGATTAACAGAAAATCGAAACATCATCGTAAAAGAAATCATAGGCTAGACTTCGCAGATGCCCGTTCCGCAATTGTCTTGGAGACAAGATCCTTAACCTCCTGCACAAGACCAGGGGTACCGATGACATCCTTTCCAGTCCAGAGACGGGCCTGCTCGAGACCCTGCCAAATCAGAGCCTCTGAGCCGAGGATGACCTTCCACCCACCGGCAGAAGCCAGGTGAGCAATCTCAGTCCAGGGTGTGGGATGATAGCACATCTCCAGAATAACACCTTGTTGCTTCTCTGCATCGGCAGCAGTACCCAAGAAAGCCTGTATGATAGCGCGAGAACGTAGTTCTTCAGGAGACTTCGGCGGGTAGTTGGGGATACCGGAGACAATAGCCGCGGGGGACTCGAGACGGGCAGCCTCAGCAGGATCGGTAACGGGGATAAGAGGTGCTTGGGCATTGGGGTCAGGGTTTCGGCGACGGTCTTCCTCGAGGATGGCGGCAACCTCGGCGGCGTCGCGGTTGACGATGTAAATGCGACTGGAGCCGAGCCAGCGGCGCATAACGTAGACGGCAGTGCGAGCAGTGCCGCCGCCACCGATGATGAGCGCGGGCCGGCCGCGGAACCGTGATGGGTCAGGTGCGTTCTGTGTGAGAGCTTCCCGGATGCCGTCGCAGTCGGTGTTGGTACCGACGTACTGGCGCTGGCCGGTTGTTGGGTCGTCGCGTAGGAAGATGGTGTTGCAGGCGCCGGCTTGGCGGGCGTGTTCGGTCAGATCGTCTAAGTAGGGCATAATCGCAACCTTGTGAGGCATTGTCACGGACGAGCCGACGAACTTGGGGTTGGATTTGATTGATGCCAGGTATTTCTCAATCGGGGGCGACCGTGTGTAAGGGGGGAGGATATGTGTCTGATGAGCCTGTCACGCTGGACAGGGGGATTTGGGTCCAATTGAGACCGAGGGCATTGTAGACTGTTTGGTGCAGAGGTGGGGAGAGAGAGTTGAGCAGAGGGTGGCCGTACAGATAGGCGACGCCATCGCGGTTGGAGGGAATGGCGATGGGCTCTTCTGGCGGCGTTTGGTTGATTTCTGTGACAGACATGATGAATTGTATGTATTTATCTTCTGGGATATACAGTATCGCAGAGAGGGAGGGCTACAATGTTATAAGATTAAATTCGAAAAGGGAAAATACTGAGCTCTCTACGTGCGGATGGATATTTGCTCTGCCGGGTGGGGCTATCCTTTTATGGGGTTCCTACCGCCGCTTTTATAAGAGTCAGGATGGGGAAAGATTGAACCGACTCGTCTATTATTGGATACTTTACTTTTCACACTCATATTTCTAATACCCTTGCCTTAACGGGGCTGAATTGCTTCCTTGATTGTATTTAGGCTGCGTCGTATACAATATGTGACTGTCCGCATGTTGTCGACATGTTGACCGCTAGATTCAGCTGTCGCCGGCATCATTGCTTTAGATTAGTTTCAAGAGTTCTACGAAAGAACAGTTAGAATCTTCCCGGGGATCATCGACTTATCATCTCTCAGTCTTCCAGTATGAATCCATACATAGCGGACCCCGATCATATTCCCCCTGCTGATCTATATGCGGACTTGCCGCTTCACGGTCGATATTCTGCCAAACCAGATGACTTCTGCATCGATGTAAAGGATATCAACTGTCAGTACCCACACTCAGTACAATACTGGGCTTCAGTACATGATCTTTGCAACAAATCCCTGGGGGTCTACCCGGCTGATGAAGGGGGTCGCGACGTTTCCGCTCTTGGTAATATCATCGTCAAGCCAGGCTACCTCCATACGCAAGATGGCGCAGAGTACTCAGAGATCATTTTCTATTACGCCGATGCAAATGATGTACAAGCTATGGCTCTTGCGAAAAATGTCTTGACGCACGTTAAAGTGCCCGACATTTAATTGAACGGCAAGGTACTTGTTCTCTCCTCGCTACTTGATTTTTGAATTTTCTTTATCGCTAACAGCCGATTAGATTAACATTCGACAGGTACGTGTCCAAGAGAGGCTTCGAGAGGCTTTCAGGTGGTGCGTTGACCGTTGCATGGCCATCCCTATCACAAAGCCAGAAGGAGTCCTTCATACAGCAATCACGAGAAATACTCCGGCAGCTGCAATCGATCAAGCCTACTAATAGATACCAGATCCGCTCGCACATTGTACCTGATCCTGGCACTTACCAACGGCCGTATCCAACCCCATAGAGGGCGATATCCTCTTCTCGGACACCAATCTCGACCTAGACATGAGCTTCATGCACAACGACTTTATCGAGTCTCACTGCGTAATTGACGACGACAAAATCGTGGGGCTCATTGATTGGGAAATGGCTGACTTCTTCGGCTGGAACACAGTTAGGGAGGTCCACCGTACGATTAGACCGCATGATAGTTCCGTTTGGAAAGATCTCTCCGGATAATGTGTATCTCATTCTTGAAGAACAATTCATATGTGATATTGAAGAAAAACCAGATCAAGAAATGTTCAATGAAAGGGAATGTAGGCGTGGTGCGGGTCTGCAGAAAAGCGATGAGCCGCCGAGTGGAGGAACATTTTGCTCTTCCACCCATCTCACTCCCTTAGCTAATGTTATCTTGCTAGATGGAAATGTTTACATCTTTATTTCAGTTTTGGGTTTACTCAACACACTAATTCGAGACTATTTGGCTTCGTTCCAAATTCTCAGCTACATTGTTGACTGACTCTATGCCATAGAACATCTACCGGGCTGAATCATTTCCCCAAGCAACCACCCACACCCCACGGGGAAATCGCCATGGCACGCAGCAAACTCTATGGACTCCGATGAGAAGGGCTTATATACCACGATTGATGATTGGGTTATCGGCTGATGCCCACACAGGCAGCCCCCAATGGATTTCGCAGTGGCCACGCACGTCCATAAGCATCCGGAGAAAGGCTTTTCCCCGCCACCCAAGTCCAGCAAAACGGTAATTGGCCGTTTTCTCCCTTCCCTATCGATGGATCCATTCCGGTTTTCCAATCAAACCAATTGTCTTTCGCTATTTCACACCAAAAGTTGGATCGTGCACTGCATTACCTCCGGGGTACCCCAGAGAAGATTGAGCTGACATGCACGCTGTTGCGGGCTACTGGAAACCCGCCGGGGAAGTCTCCACACCTTGATATATCCCCACAATCCAATGTATTAAGCGAATAATCACAGCTTGCCGACTTGGCTATGGCCAAACAAAGTTTGCTTGCCCCTCTGACTCATTTTCTGCTTGGGGCAAAGCCAGGAGATGCCAAGAGACGACAAAGGTCGCACTGTCCGCGCCCAGAATATCCAAAAGAACTTAGAGTATTCGTTTTGCCGCGCCTTGGCTGGATTTGCTTTTGCACCCGATTTTGACAATCTGCGCTATACTTTTCTCCGCCCTAGCATCTCCACGCTTTCTTCCCCCTTTCTCAACCCCAGATTCTCTCCTCGCTTTGTCCAAGGGCAAATCGACAATCCGGGGCTGAGCCTATTTAGATCTCGTCTATCCTCACTGGCCTATTTGTAAAAAAAACGTGGCGCGGACTTGCTGTTTGGTTTCCTCTCCCCTTTGCTCCCTTGCTTGCACATACAACTGCCTCTCATACCTACCTGCAGACGGGGTTATTCTCCTTGCTGGGACGTCCATCATACTCCTTCGCTGCATCTAGCATTGGGGATCAAGATCATCTGCCCACAGAGGCTCTTCAAATTGTCCTCGAGTTCTTCTATATTTTGCCACCACCATGTCTATTCTTAAGCTGGTCGAGGACCGGCCAACACCTAGTGCGGTCTACAACTGGAGAATTTATCTACTGGCAGCGGTGGCTTCATGCACATCCTGTATGATTGGCTACGACAGTGCTTTCATCGGCACTACACTCTCTCTCGACTCCTTCAAGAGCGAGTTCCGCTTCGCTGAAATGTCTGACTCTACCAGGAATCTGATCAGTGCCAATATCGTCTCCTGCTACCAGGCTGGTGCCTTTTTTGGTGCTTTCTTCGCGTATCCAATCGGTCACTTCTGGGGTCGTAGGATTGGCCTATTAGCCGCTGGTCTGGTTTTCACTCTCGGTGCTGGCATCATGGTTGGTGTAAATGGCGACCGAGGACTTGGTCTCCTTTACGGCGGCCGAGTTCTTGCTGGTCTTGGTGTCGGAGCAGGCTCTAACATCACCCCCATCTACATCTCCGAATTGTCTCCCCCAGCTATTCGTGGTAGATTGGTTGGTGTGTATGAGCTGGGCTGGCAGATTGGTGGTCTTGTAGGATTCTGGATCAACGTGAGCTTTCCTTTCTGCTTGTGTTACGCTTCTCTCATTGATGCTAATACATTGTTAATAGTTTGGTGTCGACGAAACCATGGAGCCTAGCCACAAGCAATGGCTCATTCCTTTTGCTGTTCAGTTGATTCCTTCTGGTCTCTTGCTCATCGGTTGCTGGTTCATCCGGGAATCGCCCCGTTGGCTCTTCGGGCGCGGTCGCCGCGAGGATGCTATCAAGAATCTCTGTTGGATTCGCCAGTTGCCCGAGGACGATATCTATATGATCGAGGAGATCGGTGCTATTGACCAGGCTCTGGAGGAACAACGCCGTAGCATTGGAATTGGTTTCTGGAAACCATTCAAGGCGGCCGGGACCAACAAGAAGGTCATGTGGCGTTTGTTCCTTGGAAGCGCGTTGTTCTTCTGGCAAAATGGATCTGGCATCAATGCCATCAATTATTACAGCCCGACTGTCTTCAAATCGGTGAGTCAATTTTCTTTTCCGTCATCTGGCTATTGATGAGTGTTGCTAACAAAGATGTTAGATTGGTGTCAAAGGTACCAACACGAGTCTGTTCACCACTGGAATTTTCGGTGTAGTGAAGACTGTGGTGACTTTCATTTGGCTGCTCTGGCTCATTGATCACGTTGGTCGCCGTAACCTATTGTTGATTGGCGCAGCAGGTGGTTCAGTCTGTTTGTGGGTTGTTGGTGCATACATCAAGGTTGCCAAACCCGAAAATAACAAGAGTGATACTTTGAGCGGTGGTGGCATCGCAGCCATGTTCTTCTTCTACCTGTGGACGGTTTTCTATACCCCAACCTGGAACGGTACACCATGGGTTCTCAACTCTGTAAGTATCTCCAGGGACCAGATACCCACACTCAATGGCACATGGCTAACACCACCTGCAGGAAATGTTCGACCCCAACATGCGTTCCCTAGCACAGGCCTGCGCTGCTGCCTCTAACTGGCTGTGGAACTTCCTCATCTCGCGCTTCACCCCGCAAATGTTCACAGCCATGGGATACGGTGTATACTTCTTCTTCGCATCAATGATGATGATCTCGATCGTCTTCGTGTTCTTCCTCGTGCCCGAAACCAAGGGTATTCCTCTTGAGAGCATGGACCAGCTATTCGACATCAAGCCCGTGCGACATGCACATGGCAAGATGGTCGTCCAGCTGCGTGAAAATGAAGAGATGTTCCGCCATGATGTTGAAGCTGCCGGCATTGACGTGGGCAAGGTGCAACCTGAGCAAATCGAGGATACTGCGGATCAGCCAAAGTATGCTTGAATGATACGCTGTTGAATTGGTTTCTTGATGAGATGCTTTCGCAGCGCTGCTAAACCACATGTTGTGCTTTTGTTTGTTAGACAAGTGGTAGCTCATTCTTCGAGTGATTTTTGATTGCACATGTTGTTGCTTTTGTGTACTAGGAATGTCTGCTTTATTATATACACTTCGCTGAACGGGTGTAAATAAGCAATTACCCAATGCACATTCCATTGTGTTTTCTCCTGCCGGTTTGGTAGTAATTCCGACATATCGTAAGACCAGAGAGACAAGATTGCCACACATAACACTACATCAGGTAAATTAGTATGTAGCTATTTATCCGACTTTGCCAACAAATTAACATCAATATCCACAGGCTGACCCGACAGCATCGCCCTCTGGACAGCCTCACAAACAATCAAAGCGCGTAAACCTTCCTCGCCAGTACAGCTCGGAACAGCGTCCCCATTGATAACATCAACAAAATGCGCGAGCTGAAGATCAAACGGCACTTTGTTATCATCGGGGAGCGGAATCCGCTCAACAGTCAATGGTGAATTCCAGCTCTTCCCATGGCTAGCATCATAACTCCAGCGAGTCAGGTCCGGCACACTGAGCGAAGCATCCGAGCCAAAGATGCGATAGAAATCCGAATCACTACCAGTTGTCGACTGCGGAATTAGCGGGTTCTCACCCGTCCCAGTCTCGAAATTATGTGGCGATGGCGTCGCATCACAGACCAGAAATGTGCCTACAACACCCGATGCAAAGCGCAGCGTCAGGGCGGCACCCTCGTCGGCATTGTGTGGTGGGCTCGGGCGCTGCGGCAACGTTCGCTCTGCTGTCACGCGCACAATAGGCCCGAAGAAGTGGTGCATGAGGTCGATGTCGTGGACGAGGTTAATGGGGATAACGCCGCCGCCGCGCTCGTTCGATGCGCGCCAGTCTGTTGGCGGGGCGAAGTATGCATCTGGTTTAAATAAAGTCCACAGACCGTTGATGGCGATGGGGCGGCCGAGAGATCCAGCATCCAGGACTGCCTTCGTGGCTCGGACGTAGGGATTAAAGCGGCGGTGGTGGCCGACAAGGAGCTTAAGGTGGGCACGCTCTGGGGCTTGGGCGAACTTTAGTAGGGAGCGGCCGGTTTCCAGAGTATCGCTGACGGGCTTTTCGAGGAGGACGTGGACCCCGCCTGCAAGTAGCTCCTTTGCGACTGGAACGTGGGTGTGATTTGGTGTGCACACGATTGCTGCGTCGGGACAGTGGGCGGATGCAAGTAGTGAGGCCACAGAGGGGTAGTAGTTGGTCTTGAGGCTGGATGCGGTTGCTTCGCCGTTGGGCATTGGGTCAACGAGCGCAATTAGCTCCGTCGCGGGGTTTGAGATTACGGATTGTGCATGACGAGGGCCAATTAGGCCTGCACCAATGATGGCAACTTTGACAGGCATGATAGTGATGATTCAGCGGTTAAAAATATATTTCGGTTCTGGGAAAATCCAATTGATTTAATACTCAGTCGTGTAACTTGCAAAGCTTAAAAGGAAATTCAACCTGATGGCTTTCGTGTGCCTTTTAGCTGTGAACAGTGTCCCCAACTGCCCCAGATTCCGGACAGCGTGGACGGTTCGGCGCCGGTTCCCCGGCCAAATTCAGACCCATAAGGAAAAGATCGTGTCGGCTATCAGCGGGAATTTTATCCTTGAGGACGGGAAGAGCATTTTTTTAATGAGGAAGTGAAACACTGTTGTATGGGAGGAAAAGTGGAGTGGTTCTGAGGAAGTGGAGCTGGCGGGAAAACAAACAGGGGGAAGCGTTTACCCGGTCATGTGACCTGTCTCCATCAGGTGGCCTCGTCATCAAGACACGAATCACAGCAGACGATAGAGGAGGCTGTAGGGGATAACGTTTTGTCGCAATTTTTTGGTATCTTTCATTAGATAAACTAGAAATCCCAAATATCGGGGTCTGCCACCTTAAAAGTCATTCTCGCTCCCTTGATATCTTTCCGCTTGGGATAATTCTTTTTCTAAAAAAAGTCCGCAGCAAATCCACCTCTTATGCTTGATAATATCAACATATAAGACAAGCATCAATTAGCATAACTCCAATATGGCTTTCAACCGCCCCGGCATCGCTTCCATGTCCCTAGGTCGGCCATGGGTACACGACCTACCTGGGAAGCTGATGCAAGCCGCAGCACACGGCTTTGAGGGCATTGAACTGTTCTTCGATGACCTAGACTGTTATGCGCAGCGGGTATTTGGTGGTGATCACCATGAAGCCGCACGGTCAACACGGCGGATGTGCAAGCGGCTAGGTCTGACCATTATCTGCCTGCAGCCATTTTCCATGTACGAGGGCCTCATCGACCGCACCGAGTCAGACCGGCTCATCAATGAGAAACTCCCTAAATGGTTCACCCTAGCGCGGGCGTTGGGCACAGACATGATCCAAGTTCCATCAAACTTCTTGGGTCCGGACCCAAAGACCGGTGCTGCTCGCACCACTGGCGACCGAACTGTCATTGTTCGTGATCTGCAGCGCCTGGCTGACTTAGGTGCTGGTGCTGGGTTCAGGTTTGTCTACGAAGCTCTCTGCTGGGGTGATCATATTGATACCTGGGAGGCCTCGTGGGAGGTGGTTCGCGATGTCGACCGTCGCAATTTTGGTCTCTGTCTTGACTCCTTCAATATCGCCGGTCGTGTGTATGCAGACCCTGCTGCTCCTTCAGGTTGTACACCTAATGCGGTTTCCGATTTGGCTGCCTCGTTACAGCGTCTACGCACTGCCAACATTGACCCCGCCAAGATTTTCTATGTCCAACTTGTTGACGGTGAGCGTCTTTCCGCCCCATTAGACGAAAAGCACCCTTTCCACGTTTCCGGACAGCCTGTACGCATGAATTGGTCCCGAAACGCCCGTCTATTCCCCCTCGAGGAGTCGCGTGGTGGCTATCTGCCTATTGTGGATGTCGCTCGCGTCTTCTTTGAAGACCTCGGCTACCGCGGCTGGGTTTCTCTTGAACTCTTCAGTCGAACTCTCGGGGAGACCGATCCATTTGTTCCTGCCGACCACGCTCGTCGCGGTATCGAATCATATCAAAAGATGGCTCGTATCTTGCGCTGGGATGAGCCAGCTGAGAACACTTCGTTGCCCCTCCTGGCGCCCGAGTCGCCTGTTCAGCACCGCCTATAGGTGGTTGGTTTTCACTGTGCTCATTTTTGTTTTGTATATAGCATGTGACGTCTGTATAAACACATATTAACGAATTTGACGATTTTTATTGTTCATTTATACTGTGAGGAAACTGGCAGAGGAAGTGATACGCTTGTGTAGTCTGCTCAATTCAATTGTTTATTTAGGCAGTCTTGCCGTTGATCTTAAGGAGCTCAACCTCGCTGCGACATGGTTAGTTTCCCGATAAGATCATATAGTACTTAGCAGAACTTACAAAATCAGAGTAGAGCCTGCAGGAATCTTGCCAGCCGCCCTGTGTAGAAGAATGTTAGAACACCTCTATCCGAGGGATGTCTAGCGGGCTGTATCTTCTGTGTGTTCACTTACTTGTCACCATAGCCATAGTCCCTGAAGATTGATGTTAGTAGTGGTCCAATTTGCTTTTGCTCGATATGAACTTGACTCACGGGGTAATGGTCAGGGTTGCCTTCTCTCCAAGGGTCATCTGCATGACACCCTCATCCCAGCCTAGACACAGAATTAGCATCGAATCTCGAGTTGACATGAAAAGGTCTCCAATCATTTCAAAGATGAATAATCCCTTCGATAGATAAGAACGACGAGGATGAAGTACCCTTAATGACCTTTCCGACACCGATCTGAACATTGAAAGGGCCACGGCCAGGGAGTCTCGAGCTATCGAATCTATTTAATATAATTAGTATCTAAGGCCACAGGCATGTATTAGACCAATTAAGGGTATGGGAGTCAGCTTACTGCTTGCCCTGGAAGCCCTTGTTGGACTTCTTGGCATCGTAGAGCCATCCCGAGTAGTGGATCGTGACCATATCGCCTGAAGCAGGCGAGCCAGAGCCGGTACCACGAGTGATAATCTTTCTTTCGACACCCATATTGAATTGTGGTTTGTTAAATGTCTAGGTATAAATGTAGACGAAAGAAGGAGTGAGGTTCGAGAGGGCGACGTTTGATTCGTATTTTTCTGATAGTGGGGTGAAAGCGGTAGCGGCCAGCCTATGGGCTCCGAGATGCAGGATGTGTTGATTTCGAACACCGCATATTTTTTTCAAGTCATGTTGAAGACAAATTCATGGGTAAAAGCATCAATTTGATTTTTAACAACTCGGCCTTCGTTGGCTTTGATGCAAACTCCGCCTCTTGAGGAGGCGGAGCCTCGATTTTAGCACTTGAAAGCACGAAACACGCTCAGCACTTCTCTCTGTGGTCTCGATACTACACACTCATGCGCGGAGAATGGATGTCAGAATTGCATCTCAGAATTGATCATCATCCACACTGTATGAGCGTCAAATTTTAGCAATAACCCACTCTGCCCTCGACGGCTACTCAGCTTTGCCAAAGCGAATAACGCACTATATAAGAAGCGGGGTGTTAGGGCAATGCATTCGATATTCTCATCACATATGAAGTCCTTACTGGGCTAGCATATCCCAATCCATGTGGTCCTCGGTCTTGAGTCGAGGAATGTACCCATTCAGCATCTCTTCTGCTTGAGCATATTTCTGAAGGCACATGAAGTACCGCGCATGTTCCATGATATGGCGAGCTGGACGATGATCAGTTTCCTCGCCATTCGTAACAATCAAGTGCCACCACTCCTCGGATATTTTGAACCAGTCCTGCGCCTTTTCGTACAGTTTGGCAGTGATATGGGCACAAGCAAGTTTGTTCGCACTTCAGGGGCTCACGCCTTCTGCAGAAAGCGGCCCAGGTTGAAATACCCTCATCAAGGCTCAGGCTATACGTTTGCGACAGCCTCGATCGGCTACTAACAGTTGCCGGCCCTATGAGCTCAGCGTTGAATGTCATGAGTGAGAATTGGCGAGAATCAGTTACTTGGCTCAGTGATACGGCCCCCCAACTCCTTAGGGTTGTTGTAATTAAGCTCGAAGTACTATGAAATGGCTTTTTTACCTAGATCATATGCTTGTTTTATGTTACGGGTTTTACTCTATATAGCTTTTGTATGGGACTCTCATACAATAGACAAAATTACGATTAGTCCAGTGCGGCCCCAAACCCCGAAAAGGTTAGGAGCCGAAGCCAAGGGCCGAGTAAGAGGAACAATAAATGAAGAGCAACATTTGTATGAACAATATCATGGCGGGCAGTCGAGTACTATTCACATCACGGAGCATCGCAGAGTGTACACTTCTCGAGATACTACAAATTTGATAGAGTACAATGTTATCATAGCGAAATTTTTGCTTGGATCCTAGACTCTAGGAGCCCTCTAAGAATCAATCTACAATGCCAAGCATTTTCACAGGGTGTTTGGCGACAGAGGGCAGTTGACTTTGCAATTCATGTCTCAATCCAGCGAGCTAAATGTGGCTATTGAACGCCCAGGTCCGAATAACCACCGCTTCGACATGACAGATCACTTCTTCATGATTTTCACTCTGCTCGATTTAAATCTGGTCTTCCAGTGTGTTATGAGTTCGTTCTCCTGGTTAATTGGCCATCTTGATAAACAGCCGTGTTCTCCACGATGCAGAAAGATGACATCGATATGACGAACATAGCAATTCAACTCCAACTTGTATCAAAATAATACAAAACCATCTATTTCTCAATTATAATTGCTGAGCAATAACACTTTCCACTCGCTACTTGACAAAAGCATCAAAATGGAACCAATAACAACCGCCTCGGTCCAAACAATTCCTCTAGCCTATGCGTCCTGTTCAATCGGCAGCTCCAGTGACACTCTGCCCCGCAAGCTCGAAGCAATTAGCAAAGCTGGTTTCACTGCGATTGAGCTTTCATTCCCTGATATTGTGAAATATGCAGAACATCTCAAGAGCCAACCAATTCCATCAGATAATTTTTCCGAACTCGTCAATGTTGCCAACGAGATACGAGATCTCTGCGAGGCCAACTCATTGACCATCATGATGCTGCAGCCGTTCGCGAATTTCGAGGGCTGGCCGAGAGGGTCAACGGAGAGAGAAGATGCTTTTGCAAGAGCGAGGGGCTGGATCGAGATCATGAAGGTTCTCGGGACAGATATGCTGCAGGTATGAATTGATCCCTATCACTATGTAAATCATCGATTGATCAATTTATCAGGTTGGAGCTACGGATACACCACTTGACAAGATATCAACTACTCGTGAAGCAGTCGTTTCCGACCTCCGTGAACTAGCCGACATGCTAGCACAACACAATTTCCGTCTAGCCTACGAGAACTGGTGTTGGTCAACCCATGCACCAGGCTGGAAAGATGTGTGGGAAATTGTATCAGCCGTCGACCGTCCAAACATCGGGCTGTGTCTAGACACATTCCAGACAGCGGGTAGTGAATGGGCAGATCCGACGACGGAATCTGGTGTCATTGAAGAGGTACCGTATGGTGCTTTACGAAAAAACTTCGCCGCTAGTATGGATGAGCTTGCTCGCACCGTTCCGCCCGAGAAAATATATCTGCTACAAATCTCGGATGCGTATAAGGTTTCTCCGCCGCTGACAAGTGAGCCTGTTGAGGGGCTTCGACCACGCGGTCACTGGAGTCATGATTACAGGCCTATGCCGTATGATGGCGGTTACTTGCCGATTGAGGATGTGGCAAAGGCGGTGCTGAAAACCGGATTTCGGGGGTGGTTCTCAATGGAAATCTTTGATGGGGGACCGGATGGGTCGGGAAAGAAGTATGAGATCGAAGGTTATGCGAAGAAGGCGATGGAGAGCATGCAGAAGTTATTGCTCAATTGTACAGATGAGTGATGGTAATGCAGTGCGATTAAATGTTTCTTGCTACGCGACAAAATACTTATACATTTCAATTGCTTCTCTTCGATTCAGTCAACGGAGGCATCGAGTCAATTTATTTCAAGGAGCAATAAACAGGAAAATTAACCACGCATAGTAAATAAACCTTCTTCTAGAGAAAGGTCGAATTCCATGAGTCTTTTCTATAATAATAATGTCTCCCTGAAATATCATGAGTTCAGCATACTGCTGCAGGAAATCCAACAATATCAGAACGTGGCATACGCTCGATACAACACCAATTCTGTCTTTGTCGAAAATTCCAACTCGGCGTCTTTTGCGGCAAAATATACATCTCCTTCACCAATATCATGGACACTTCCATCACCCACATTCATCGTTCCAGGGCCTTGAATCACAACTAAGATACTAGGACTTCCAAGCACCCGGTGCTTCTCAGACTGCGTGGAAGACAAGATCACACCCAAAACGTTAAACTCGCTAATTGGGGGCGCATATTCCACTGATCTTCCTTTTTGTCCGATCGAACTCTTTTTCGATGGGAGAAGAGAGTCTTGTGGGCTGTGTGGCTTGAATGTAAGTGCCTCGGCGAATAACTCGACATCGTCACGGTCAGCGCGAGGGCAAAAGCCTGTGTTTAGGACATTGTCCGACCGCGCCATACACTCAATAATGTCACCTGAAAGATACGCATGGATGCCGTCGGCTGGGACGCAGATGGCCTCTCCGGGCTCTAGAACCATATAGTTCATTAGAAGAGCGGCGACCAAGTTACCGTTGTCGAATTTTGAATATTGCTTGCTGAGTCGATCCAGAAGTGACGGAACATTCTCATTGTTTCCAAACTCGGATAAAGGAGTATCCTGTAGTTTTGTGATTGTCTCGGATACGGTATCCGGTGGTAAGCGTAACAATGTCTTGCAGAGTTGGCGTAAAGCTTCTTCATCAAACTTCTCGTGCGTTGGGATAAATTGCTCCAACGGCTTCAGTCGGATGAGCTCTGCAATTTCGTGCAGAGGTTTGAATCCAACGAACGACTCAAAGCGAGACAATGCGATAGCGATCTCGGGCTTGTGATTGCTGTCTCCAAATTTTTCAGGGTCCTTTGCGTGCAGACGCTCGGCAAGGGCTTTGTCGGGATGAATTTGAAGTGGAAGGGCTTTAGCAAAGGAGAGCACCTGATCAAAGTTAGAGCCACTGCCATCTTTATTACACTTGTACTATATTTTACCTTGGGAAGGAAGGGGATGTCAGGCCCGTATCTAGATTTGCAAAGTGATTGGCCAATCAGATCGGGATTGTTCTTGAGATGCTCAGAGAGAAGCTCTCCAGTCGAGCGAATTCGAGAAGGCACAGAAGGATATGTACCCATCCACATCTAAGTATCGTCAACGCCGTTCCTTCATTGATACATGGAAGGAGTAGTACTCACTTCAGAGTATGTCTCTGAGGCATCCAGTTCTCCTGCGTCAGGCATATGCGACCAAAGGCGCCCGGCAAGTGAGTTCTGGCCTTGCTTGCCCCATGGGTCATGCTAGAATTGTACCGTTAGTATGATCCAGGGTTCTTTCTTGATGTGTCTTACCTTGCATTCGCACACGAGTTGCAATACTCCGTCTGTCATTGTGGATAGTGTATGTGATTGAAGTTTTCGTAACAAGTTCAAACTGTACATGAAATAATGTCAATGCCTTTTTAGGTCATTTAGATTACCTGGAAGATGCATTACGTTTATTCTCCGTCATCCATGTATAAACAAGTATCTCTCATATTCAACATTCATATCAGAACATCAGGATTGTAAAAACTCCAGAAACCTGGTCCTGTCAACCTTGGAATGAACCTTGGAACTGCTCATCTCCTTGTCCAGATCAGAAGTGAGGTCATTCTGACGAAACCAGCTTTGTTTTCTATTGAAGGGTCATTATCGACTTCGCATATTCAAACAATGAATACAATATAAGCCAATGAATTACAGAGGTGAAGTTCTAGAGCTGGATATGGTGGAAAAAAAGGTGAAATTCCTAGTTCGGACCTAAATATATCAACGAAGCAAGCAATCGAATTGAAGCTCCAGTTATCGACCTATTCCTCCTTCGCAGGTCGCCATTCGTAGTGATGGGGTCCTTTTCCAACGGGCCCTGGATCCTCTCCAGGAACTCCGGGCTTATTATATCCGTGTGCGCCAAAGAAATCCATTTGCCCTTCCATGAACTTAGTTGGTAATGTTGTACCGCCTCCATATTTCAGATATTCGAGAGAAGCAGAGATTGCTGGAATATACTGGTCAGACAAGGTGCCCTGGACCACAATCTCTTTCAAAGAGCTGAAAGTGCGGTGCAGCTCCCCCGCGACTTCATCGGCATGCTTCAGATTTTTCCAGTGATGATCTCTCGATAACACAGGCTCTAAGAGGTCGGCTATACCATCGGCTTGAATGATGCACCCCCCGCGCCAGACTCGAAGACATTGGCGTAGGTCAATCCCCCAACCCTCGTCATCAGAAGCCCTTGTGATCATTTCTAGGCCCTGGCAGAACGAAGATAGAAAACAGGAATATATAGCACAGCGCAAATGCTCTATAATAAGCCTCTTGTCTTGAACCTCCTGTATTGGTCTGGGTTGTGGAAGTTTAAGCTTCTTGGCTGCTAACAGCCTTTCTGCCCGGTTTCCGCTCGCAACGCGCAAGTAATGCGCTGTAGCAAGCGTGGGTGTTGATATATGCCGAGACGCTGACTCCATGATGTTCCAATACGGGGTACCTTCAGTATCATCGTCGTCCTGGACGACCTTGTCAAGGACTTCATCGAGCACATAATGTTCCTTTTTATCGTCCTCTCCATCTTGCACGCTGGAAGGTATCTTGGCGCGTAGCATGTCGACCGCTATGTCGAGCAAGTATGTACCCCGTAGTTCGCCATGGTCGTTCCACTGGCTGAAGATATCTGCGATGGCGTTGTAGTCCATTTCTAGGCCATTATGGAGGAAAGACCACGCCTCAGCCAAGGTCGATAGCATGCCTCCCTCAATCCCATTGTGAACCATCTTCACATAATGGCCCGAGCCACCAGGGCCAATTCGAGCCACGCATGGATTGCCTTTGGGGTCCTTCGCGGCGTATAGCTTGAGTAATGGCATCACAGTCTCTAAAGCTTTCGCGTCACCACCTGGAGACAGACTTGGACCGCGGCGAGCTGCTTGGTAGCCACCCGAAACTCCCATACCAATCCAATGAACACCGATCTTTTCGCATTCTTGCTGTCTGTTCTGCGTACGTCGATAATCTTCATTGCCCCCATCAAGGATGATGTCTCCATCGTTGAGATTGCTCTTAATCATACCCAGCACAGAATCTGTCGGGTTACCGTGCGAAATGGAGAAAAGGAATAATTTGCGTTTCTCGTTCTCTAGGCTTTTGATGAAATCACTGATATCGTGAAACCCAGCGATTGCACCTTTGGTCTTGTTGTTTTGTGACCATTTCTGAAGCCTATCAATGTTTTCTTCATTGACATCCCAGACAGAAACTTTCAAGCCAAGCTCTGAAAATGCGATGGACATCTGTGTGCCCATATTCCCAGCACCAACTATTCCAATGCAGTGGAACTGCTCCAGTACATTGTCTCTGTTGGAGGGTTCCGTCATGGTAAATGCGCTTCGGAATGACTGGATGAAATGAAGATAAGAGAGAGGTTGTTTGACTCAATCTCGATCAATAATTCAGTCTTTCATAACAGTACATATGTTTACCTCTTGGCGAGTGGAACAATGAAGTGTCATAGTTCGGGTTCTTACATCATCGAGCCAAAACAGGATGAGCAGGGGAGCAGGATCTTGAAAGAGAACGCAGTTAAAAAGCGAACTGGACGGATTATGAATATTTTCCTGATTACTAGCATGAAGAAACGTCATTGATGAAATCGAGAGTTTTGACTATTTTAGAAGCTCATCGGCCATTCTGACCTCATTAATTTCCCACATCCAACGCCGTTAACCTTCTGTCTATTTCTTCATCATTAAAATACTACCACCATTGTCATATAGCAATTATCTGAAAATAAATCACAAAGATGCAACAGGAAGTGGAAAAGCCCTCTCGGGGCCCTCAATCTCAGTTCCAACAGGGTAAGCTGATGTCCAAATCCATATAACTACTTCGATTTTGATGAGGAATACAGGTCACCAAATTCCTATTGAGCATCACGAGAAGCCTGGTTTACAGGCTGAGATGGAAGATCCAAAGCCTACCTCGAGCAAGGTTCCAACTGATGATGGCGGGTATCAGACCTACAAAGCGGCGGGGAAGCTTTCAGGGAAAAATGCCATTATCACCGGCGGTGATTCAGGCATCGGTCGCGCAGTTGCAATTCTCTTTGCCATGGAAGGGGCCTCTAGCCTAATCACGTATCTGCCTGAAGAGGAAAAGGACGCGCAGGAGACCAAGAGGCGTGTGGAAGAAATTGGGCAAAGCTGTTATTGCTTCCCAACCGACCTTCGGGAGGCAAAGAATTGCCAAGCGGTGGTTGACGAAACCCTGAAGAGGCTAGGTGGTATCGACATCCTAGTCAATAATGCTGGGACCCAGACGATGATTGAAGATATCAAGGATTTGGATGAGTACGAATCTTCTATTTTCAATTACCGGGTGTATTATATTAACATATTCCCGTTAGGTCTCAATGGCAAAGCACATTCGACACTAACATTCATCCTATCTTCTATCTTTCGAAGTATACGATTCCTCACCTAAAGAGTGGATCGACCATAATCAACTGCGCATCTGTCAACCATTATATTGGTCGCCCAGATCTGCTGGACTATACGTCAACAAAGGGAGCCATTGTTGCCTTCACCAGGGGACTATCCAACCAGCAAGTCAAAAATGGCATACGGGTGAATTGTGTGTGTCCCGGCCCAAGTAAGTCATAATCACTCACAGAGTTAATTCTACAACCACTAATGATTTATATAGTCTGGACACCTCTGATTCCGGCAACCATGAATACTGCCGCCGAGGAGCAATTCAGTGGCACACCAATGGGCCGCCCAGGACAACCCAGTGAGGTTGCAACATGTTTCGTTTTCCTTGCAAGTCAGGATAGTAGCTTTATCTCTGGCCAAAGCTTGCATCCTAACGGGGGAGTTGTCGTCAATGGATAAGAGATTGATATATACTCATATCTGAAAATGAAACCTAGATTCTCAGCTTGAATCCAGTTTGGGGGACTTTTGCCTTGTCATTCAAAACCTGATCTATATTAGCTTCAAGTATCATAACAGCGTCTACCACATGTATACTCCCTACTTGGATGTCAATGGTTATGTAATACTCCAATTGGAAGGTTTGATCGGCCCTCCACGGATGTTAGGTATTGGCCTCTGATGACATCATCCGACTTTCATGGGTTTAGTTCAACATGTTCACCGTGGATCAAATCTTAGTAAGGGTTCGCGCTCCCAAGGTTAAATACCGTCAACACCCAATGCCTTTGTTCTTTCATTTAACGAAACAATGACCAATGACAACATGGCTATGAATTATATTGTAACTTAACGCCCCTTTACCTACGATCCTCACTAACAAAGACAGGTAACATTTAAAGACTCGGCCACTACCGAGCAGATCAATTCATACGTCGAACAGATCAACGCACACGATGGAACTGTAATCAACAGATTTCCAGACATGATCACAAGAGGATTCACGTACGTGTTTTCTTAGCCGTAATGCTCCTGTGAATGTTTTCTTATTATGCCTTCTAGTGCCTCTATAACGGATGAAATCCTCCAAAAGCTCCGGTCAGACCCTCTGGTGGACCGCATCACGCCTGGTGCCTCCAATTAAGCTCGGACTTGCCTCGCCACTTCTGAGATAGCGGCGTAGTCTAGCGTTCTTTTCCTCCCATTGACTTATTCTAGTACAATAGTTAGCAATATTAATCATGGTTATGTAATCAAATTAAACACTGTGTCAGCTGCCTGTACATATGTGAGGGAAATAATTTAAAGCTCAGATCTATGAGAGGTTGTTTGGCTTGGCTGAACATACTGTGCCGACCAAGTATAATAAGGGTTTCAAAAAAAAACAAAGACTAAAAAGAAATCTCGATTAGGACTTCCGTAACTCTTGATTCGTTGCTCTTCGGGCACCTTCATATTGGCACTTCACTGGACTTACAAGATTGGAAAAAGCCTAAAGACATTGAAGAGATATCATGGTCTGCCGCGTATAAACCCCACTCTTGGCGCCGATCCGCCAGATCTAGTAAGTGGTCGCCAACAGTAGGGGCATGGTTCTGTATATTTAAATTGGATGTCATTGTTGCAGTTTAAGAACAGATGATGGTACTACAGGCTTTTAATGCTTGATGTTTAAATTGTGGCGATTATCATGCCTTGAACGGAAAGTTTTCCCAATCAATAATCTCTCAGATCTACACAGTACCTACATATGTCCCAGATAGATTGATAATTGCAAGTGGACCCTATGGCTAGTATGTCATTGGCCACAGCTATCCATGGATGAGATGCACACCGATATTTTATAATATTATCCATGTTGTATATATTTCATTTCCGAGGCCGTTGTTTACGCGTCCAGATCGAAATGTGTTTGAATTGGACAGGACACTGTGGCTTAGATCAATAGATCTAACACATCCTGAGGCAAAGTCTGAGATATTGGGGGTTCTTGACACTTAACGTCAACTCCAGTGTTTGAAAAGATGAGATGGGCTATTTATAGCTACATATATATAGAGGAGCGGCTCGGCAGTATATAGCACTAATAGCCTCACGATAATAACTCACTTTCGGGCCAAACAGAAAGACTCAAATCCAACATTCAGCAAGCCCAGTCAACGCACAGCTGTGATTCGCAAGCCATTCCTCAAAGCCACTCCCCTTTAATCTGACTCGCACGTGACACAAGTGTTTCACAATTTCCCACGGGAGGCCTGAATTTGAGCTGAGATATGAAAGATCAGGGGTAACCCGCTGCCAGAACATCGTTTTTTTTTTTTGCAATTCGGGAATGTTTTTAAATTCCCTAGATCGCGAGATTGACTCCGCTCCGGATTCTTGGTGAAACCACGTACAGGGCTGAAGATGAAACGGAGCCTGGAGACAGGAAGTGTTTGAGACTAAATAGGCGTACCATGGTCAAAGCCATGGGGCTATGGAATACTCCGGAGTAGAATGGAGATTCGACGATGAACTCCGTACTTTCCCTTGTAGCTTAGGCAGTGGCTTGTTTTTTTTTCTCTTTTGGGTCGGAATTGGGATACATATAATTATATCAGGCTTCATTGGTATCATTTCCTAGATCAAATCAGAGACCATTTTCAGGGGTATCCAGAACCTCATTGGTCATTGTATGGGGAAATGAAGGCCCGCACGTTCTGGGCGCACATCCAAGTACGGTATGTTTGTAGTAGTAAGGTAAAGAAGTACAGATTAGACGAGAATAGTCGGGCATTACCTACAAAATATAGGTAGAAATAGAAAAATGATTTGGGGGAAATCAGACTCTCAGATTAACGTGGGGAAGCAGACCTTTTTGTGGCAGAAAGCCAAAAGTTCACCTCTCCTTTCTCATCCCTCCCCCCCTCCCCTAATCCAACCCTCCATGTTTGATTGCTTTTTCTATTCTTCTTCTTTTTGACGACACTTCCTCCCGGATTTAATTTCCTTTAGCATCGGGGCTTCCTCCGTGCAATCTCCCAATCCAACGCCCGCGAGGGGCAGTCTCCGTTTCCCTTCGCCTGTTGCGCTTAACGGTCACAACACCCGCGATTATTTATCTGAAACACCTCTGTAGCACGGTTAGTAGTACCTGGTACGTCAAGAGTCTGTTATCCATGATCCCTGGTTGATAGGCAAATCATGGCCATCGTTATCATCCTGGTCCGTCCCATACGTGGTTAGCCCTGCTTGTTTTCGTTCGGGGACTGTCTGGGGCTGGTTTTTTACCCTTCAAATCAGTGCCGGATCACGTTTTTAATGCTTCAGTAGTCTGCAGGTTCAGCCACCATTAGCCGTTCTTTCAGGTCCCTGTTGCATCTCCCCTCCAAACCCGCACCGACGTCCCCATCTCCCTAATTCGGCCTACAACGCGGGTTGCGCTCAATAACAACCATTCAAAGAAACCCAAATCAACGGCGCATGTGATCCCGAGTGAGATCTTCAGTAGCGATCACGAATCCCCCGTATACACGCGATTTTGGACCTGGTGTGCGTTCTTCGCCAGACTTACATTCGCAAGCCTCGATATACTATTCTACCTGAGACTTTGCGCGGTAGACACTGGATCTCACCATGGAGAACCAAGGCGCTTATCCGGAGTCTACCATGGAGCAGGATGAGTCTTACCCGTGCAAGGGCTGTGGAGAGGTAGGCACAATGTGGAGCGAGGGGAGAGGACTTGGCTAATTGTATCGGCAGACCCTTGAAGAAGGAAAAGCGTTTGAGCTTGGTATGCCGGATACTTGCGGTTCTCTTTTTGGATAATGTCATATCACTAACCTATGGTAGCTGGAAACCGGTGGCACATCGACTGTTTCCGATGCAGTACATGCAGCACTCTTCTTGACTCGGACGCGCACCTTCTCCTTTTGGGCGATGGATCTCTTATATGTAGCAACTGCACATATAGTTGTAGCTCCTGCAACAACAAGATCGAGGATTTGGCCATCTTGACAGGAGACCAGGCTTTCTGCGCGCAATGCTTCCGATGCCGGAACTGCAAGCGAAAAATTGAGAACTTGCGCTATGCGCGTACTTCACAGGGTATATTCTGCATGGAATGTCACGAATCGCTAATGGCTCGAAGAAGAAAACGGAAAGCTGGTGGCAGTAGTGCGAAAAAACCAGCAGGACCTAATGTGAAACTGGATAAATCCTTGCCGTCGTTGCCTCCTCACCTTCTTGAAGAAGCGCAATTAACGGAAGAGGAGCCTAGTGAATATACAGGCACGCCTGACCCTAATAGAATGGCAGAAACGCCTGATCTAAATCAAAGGCCGGAAAGCTCAACTTCCAATCAGCAAACCGACTCAGGTATGAAACTCTCCGGAAAATCCCTTTGCCTAAATGTTTGCACATCGAAGCCTAAGATTTGGCGTCTGTTGTATTGGCACGCGTGATCTATACACCGCCCCTATTGTTCTATACATTGTCCTGTCTATACTTATTGCTGTGGTCGCGTGATCTATGAAGTCAACAATCGCGTTCTGGTCCTCTTGCTTACTTTTTACACAGACATTCTCCTTCCATCCAGCACATATCGCAGCAGTCGTCAATCAATTCCACGCAAGACTGATGCAAATGGTGGTGAATTGTTGATTCCTCTTGCATTTGATCCTTCAGCTGAGGGTAATTCTTCCCGTGGTCACTCACAGACGCGGCAAGAGCCTACCCGCGACTATTTCAATCAAAGCCGATCTGGTGACGGTTCACGCAGGGCCTCGCGCGACGGCCGTGAATATCTACCAGAGCCCACTTCTCGAAAATCATCGGAAAGCCATTCGCCCCATATCGCCTATCAGGAGAAGGGCTGGGAACGAGAAGACGCCATTTCACCCGATAAAGCAGCAATTTCCGATTTCAAGCTTACAAAATCGGACTCTGCGCGCAGCTCATCCGATATACCGATCAGCTTCAGAGAAACCAGCAATCTTACTGGGCCGACCAGCCCTGGTAGCACGAGATCAAAGGAATATTCCACCGATACAAAACGACACATTCCCATGGATAGCGTTGCTTCGGCCCCAGCTCGTCCCTCGAGTGAGCTTCGTCGTCATCACGACCATGGCTCATCGGACTCGCCGCGCTCTCCAACCTCCGGCTTGTCGCATCTGCCAAAGCGTGGCGATTCACTGGAAGGCAGGCTCCACCAAATTCCAAGGAAAGAGGTTGGAACGTCGCCTGTATCATCGCAATACGAGGAGTCCCCCATGCTCCGTAGTGACACTTTCGAGCAGCCGAGTCAGCATACTCCCTTGAACACAGCACTACTTGAATCACACACACACGATGGCGCCGGCGGATCCAGCTTGCTACGGTACAATAGCGGAGGTGACTTCTCTATGGACGAAGAGTTATCGCGCATCATCGGTGGTGATGATATAGTTGGGCAAAATAACGAGTCATTCCTGCGGCGCGTCTCAAACTCTGTCCGCCATGGTCGAAGCTTCAGTGAGAAGAGTGTGCGGATGAGCAAAGATCTCAAAAACCCTCGATCACCAAGCACTCGAAGCATAGCTGGAACGGATGTTGGCAGTCCCATCGCCGGATCACAGAGTGAAGAGATCTCTTGGCTTCGCAACGAACTGCGTAAAGAACGCCAACGAGTTGCAGAACTGGAATCAGCTGCTCGCACCGCAGCAGCCGTCAAGCAGGTTAATACCGAACTTTCTGAGAAGCGATCTACCATGGTCGTCCTTGATGCTCAGCGCGAGATTGTTCTGCGTGAGCTCACGGTTCTCACCGATCATATGGAGGCTGAAAAGCGCGATGGTACCAGTGGGCCATTAGATCTTGGCAAACTCTCGAATCGTGTCCTGCGCGAGCTGGCAGAGTCCATTCAAAAACTGAAAGAATCGTATGCTCCGCAGATTGAAGAGCTTATGCAAAAGCGCAATGACCTGTCGGAGGAACTGGAAGCCATGAATGCTCAAAAGGAAAAGAGCTTCCAGGAATTCGAGCAATTGTCTATGAAGAACGCACAGCTAGCTGAGTTGAACAATCAGTTGGTTCACCAGATCCAAGAACTCTACAAAGCTACGGAAGGTCAACCGCGACCCAACGGCTTAGGCATCTCTCACAACAAACAGCAGTCCACAAACTCTATTGAAGTGATGAAACCTTCCTTCTCCAACGACTATCAATCAATGTCGACTGCTCACATCTCGGAGGATTCCGAGCCTGCTACGGCTACTGTTGTGCCAGGCCCCCAGGTTGTCAGCATTCGCAAAGGTCAGCCTCGTAAGTTCAACTGGAAAAAGGGTGGACAGAACGTTGCCAAAGGTGTCAAGGGCCTCAAGGGAGCCTTCATGTCTAGTGAAGGACAGCCACAAGAGGGTACCGGTGGTATACCGCGTTCTCAGACTCAAGACCCGAGTCGCCAAGGCTTTGGGTTCTTTGGAAACCAGAGAGGCAAGCAGGGAGGGAAGATGTCCCAAGCCGACAGCGTGCCAGTGCTGGCTGAAGTTGCCGCTGATGGTATGTGCCCGATACAATCATTCAGGATGTATATAAACTAATCGCTTGCAGCTCTCTTCGGCACCGATCTTGAGGCTCGCATGGAACACGAAAAGAGCATCATTCCAGCCATCGTCACGCGGTGTATCCAGGAAGTTGAATTGCGAGGTATGTTTTGTCGGCCCTTATTCAGTCGCTCATCATACTAACGAATAAAATCAGGTATGGACATGGAAGGCATTTATCGCAAGTCTGGTGCTGCTTCAGTCATCCAGACTATCCGTGAAGGCTTTGAACGCTCGCCATTTGATTACGATATTTCCGACCCGGACCTCGACATCCATGCTGTCACATCTACCTTGAAGCAGTATTTCCGCAAACTTCCTAACCCTCTAATCACTTACGAAGTTTATGAACTTGTGATAGATTCTGCCGAAGTTAGCCCTGTGTCTGCGCGAATCGAACTCATGCAGAAGAGTCTACTCGAACTGCCTCGCGTGCATCGCGACGTCCTGGAGTTCCTCATCTTCCATCTCAGACGCGTTGTCGAGCGCCATGAAGAGAACCTGATGACCAGTCAGAATGTTGCGGTGGTGTTTGCGCCAACAATCATGCGACCCGAAAGTCTCGCCCGTGAAATGACTGACGTCCAGAAGAAGAATGACGTCCTGAAATTCCTGGTGGAGAACTGCCAGGAAGTTTTCATGGGCATGCAGGGCTAGGGTCCAAGTACCTTTCTTCCGAAGTCCTCTCATTTACTCCAATCTCTCATAATCGCACCATCATGTATCGATCGTCCCAGTTCTTGGGCTTGATGCCAATGCATGAATCATTTTCCCCCGTCAATCCTACATGCTCTTTTTCAAAACAGTGTCCCCTCCTCCCATTTCTGTACAGATACCACTCCTTCCCATTCCCTCCACCCCTACTTCTTCACTCGGTTCACGATCAGCGCTGCAAGCTTGATTCAAATACCCTGTCTAGCCTTTTCCTTCTTCATGCCCAACTTTTCCCTACATATTCTGCAGATTCGAAGCTAGTTGATTTCCACCGCCTTGGCTGATACTAGCCTCACTGAATATTCCCGTGACCAAAATTCCTCATGGGTGGTTCACTTCCTGTCCTTTGAGGCATGTCGGTATTTTGTTTGTTTCTGACTCCGAGCGAGCATTGAGTCGTCTAGCGTTATGCATCACCATACAGCACTTCAAATGAAATGCGGTAGCAGCTGCAATGATATTCATATTCGTTAGTTAGGCTCCTAGTATGATCTCATGAATACTTGATTTTATGTTAAACATGATTACAGGTTATATATGGAAAAGTCGTCCGGAATTGTGCCTTACATGGGAATCTACGTTTGCGGCATATCATTTTTTACCACTGTAATAGAAAAACATCAAGAACATAATGTAATCCGAATCATTTGCAGGAAACAAGACCACATTGTTCAAGTTAATAGGACAGAGACACAAGTGACTCTTTTGGCGTAGAAAGTGTAGATGTGCAACCTGGTCCATGCACCCCACCGCCTACGACATCGAGGCCACCCGAGCTCCCCCCTCAACCCCAACTCCTTGTCGACCTTAAATTCCCCGACATAATCAACCATGTCCAAACCAAGCAAATACCTCCTCCTCTCCCTCCCAACCTCCATCGTTCCCTCGCACCACCGCGACGACGCCCTCGAAGCGGTCTCGACTACCGTCTCCCCGGACAATGGCTCCGCTACCTCGTTCCCAATTCCGGAATTCAAGATCGGCACGCTAGATGCCCTCGTCCAGCAGGCCGAGGAGCTGTCCAAGCTCGAAGCTTCGTGCCAGAGTGTCGTTGCCAAGGTCAGCGATGCGTTGAAGAACATCCTCGAGGACGAGACCCAGATTGAGCAGATGAAGGTTGTCAACGATAGTACGTCTCCGGCTTTGTATTGATCTGGCTGTGAGGGGCAAACGCAGTGGATGAGATATCTCTGGGTTCTAGGTTCTGACTGCCTACAGAGCCAGTCGATCAGTACCTGCGTACTTTCCAATGGAACAAAGTCAAGTACAGGGCCGATAAGCCCTTGGCGGAGCTGATTGATCTGCTGCAGAAGGTGTGTTGCGCCGCGCATAGAAACGGGGTCACTGTCTAGTTTGGGGGTACATACTAATGCTTTTACGTCTAATGTAGGAAGCATCCAGCATCGACAACGACATCCGATTCAAGTATTCCCAATATAACCAGGTCAAGAACACGCTGTCCACACTGCAGCGGAAACAAACGTACGTCGGTTCTAACGAGGACTGCGATGTGTGCATAGAGGATATGAGAACCAGAACTAACCCGCTCTATACAGAGGCAACCTCTCAACCAAGTCCCTCGCCTCAGTGGTCGACCCGAAATCAATCATCCAAGACTCCGAATACATCGAAACCCACCTTGTCGCCGTTCCCGCTCAGCTAGTAAAAGACTTCCTCAACACCTACGAGACCGTCGCGCCGATGGTGGTCCCACGATCTGCGCAGCTGATCGCTTCCGACAACGAGTTCACGCTGTACGCTGTGACGGCGTTCAAGAAGCACAGCGTCGAGTTCGTGCATAAGTGTCGAGAGCAAAAGTGGATCCCGCGCGATTTCAAGTATGTCGAGGGTGGGAAGGAGGAGGAGCGCAAGGAGGTTGAGCGCGTTGGTGGTGATGAGCGTAAGGTATGGGGTGAGACACTGCGACTCGGTCGCACGGCTTGGAGTGAGGCTGTTATGGTCTGGATTCATATTTTGGTTTTGAGAGTGTTTGTCGAGACGGTGCTGCGGTATGGATTGCCGTTGGATTTCGTCTGTGCTTTGGTCCGGGTATGTTACTCTCTACTCTGCTTTTTGGCTTTCACGGTGGCACGGGCTGATCCCCTTTACTCTTTCTACAGACACAAACCAGCAAACAGGCAGACCGCGCAAAGCAAAACCTCGAGAATAAATACTCGTATCTGGCGGGCAATGCCTTTGGACGGGACAAGAAGGGTCGTATGCAGCGGGATGATCCTGGTGAGATGCACGCAGGTAGTGAGGGCAGCGCAGACTACACACCGTACGTGTTTTATGAATTCGAGTTCAACTAGGGCTGCCTATTTGAGACGTCGCAGGAGATACAAAGTTTCGAGAAGACATTGCGTACATATACCACCTTGGTACATCAAGCACACACTAGCATTGGATAATCTTTTTTTTTTCTTCGTTTCAACCGTGGCCACACATTCAAACAGCAAAAAGGATCAGATCCAATGTCTGCCCTCTAAATGCAACGTGCAAAAGCGATCTATATTGTCCACACAGTATATACAGCAAGTGGGGAGGGGAATCAAGCACAAAAACACCATATCCAATCCGCTGTACAGGACTCTTTTATGTCAATCTGACCATAGATACATCCATCATACCCCAATTTCAATCAATGGACAACCCACCTTACTCCTTCTTGGGAGGCAAGTAACCCTTGGAATCCAGGTAATCAATAATCTGCTTAACAGCATCCTGAACCGGCAACTCATCGTTCTTAACATGAACCTCAGGGTTAGCCGGTGCCTCATAAGGAGCCGAAATACCAGTGAACTCCTTAATAACACCCTCACGAGCCTTCTTGTAGAGACCCTTGGGGTCGCGCTTCTCGGCAACCTCGACGGGAACATCAACATAGACCTCGACGAAAGGCAGACCAGTCTGCTCGCCGGGTGTGGCAGTCTCATGCAGCTGACGGGCAGTGTCACGATCTTTCCGGTAGGGAGAGATGAAAGACGTGATTGCGATGGAGTTGGAGTCAGCAAACAGCTTGGCGACTTCAGCAATGCGACGGATGTTCTCGTTGCGGTCGGCTTCGCTGAATCCAAGGTCCTTGTTCAGTCCGAAGCGGATGTTGTCGCCATCGAGACGGTAGGCGTGGATGCCACGGTCACGGACGAGTTGATGCTCCAGCTCGACGGCGATAGTAGACTTGCCCGAGGCGGAGAGTCCGGTCAACCAGATTGTGAGACCTTGCTGGTTACGCAGCTCGGTGCGCTCACTGCGGGTCAAGGCGCTGGCGTGGAAGGTGATGTTGCTGTTATTTTTTTAATTAGATTGGGGATAGATTGGAATTGGGAACATTCAGACTTACGTGGACATTTTGGGATATGAATTAATGTAGAAAGAAAGTTGAAAATCGCCAAGTTGCGCAAGTAGAAATATGGAGGGGCCGCGTCACTGAAGATGTGATCATCGCGGGGTGGTAGGGGTGTCGCCATAGCTTGGCATTTCCACTTTTAGTCTTCGTCTTATAGTCTTATACTTATGTGATAATGTTATGTGGTATTAGTTATGTGTATGTGTTATTGGTTATGTGTATGTGTTATACCCTTTATTTAGTCTAATCTGGTAGATGTCCAATATGTACATTACATCTTTCGCCACACCAGGAACAGGAACCAAATGAAATCTCTTCAATCACGCCACTTTGTAAAGACTCGAAAGTGCCTGAGAAAATTAGCCCAAAGTCAAAAAAAAAAAGCCGACAGAATTACTTACAGCAGCTTGCCGAGGCTCAATGAACAAAGCCTTGGCCTCAACCAAAACAACCGGCTCGCTCTCATCAATGGGAAGAGTCTCAATACGACCTTCTACCCACGCCTTACGGCCCTCAACCTTAACCGTCTGCGCACGAAGAGCAACATACTGATTCGCCATAGCAGGCGCACGGTAATCGATATTCAAATTGGCCGTAACACCCACCCCATTGGGCAGCGCGGGGAAACAACAACGCGCCAAACCCTCATCCAACAATGTAGCCAGTAGACCACCATGAATAATCCCCTGATGACCGCAGACATCACCGCCGAGATACATGAGCGAGATCATACTCTTGCCGTCGCGCTCACTGAAGACATATGGCGGCACGACGATCTTCCCCGGTCCGGCTAACGTTCCGGCGGTCAGGTTGCGCTCGCGCAGAGGGCCGGGGATAGTGAGGTGTGGGCGGGCTTCGGTGTATTCGGAGTTTGCGCGGAGAGCCTCTGCGACGGGGTGGGTGCGCAGGGTGCTGTCAATCTTTGCGGTCATGGGATCGGTGGCGATGAATGCCGTCAGGGTCTCTTCTTCGGTTGGGGCGGCCATTATGCGTGAGAGGGTGAGTTGGGTTTGGTAGGTGAGTCCGACGGTGAATGCGAAGACGGCGAGTGAGGTGAAGCCGATGAAGCGGCGGAGACGGGAGCGTTGGGTTTGTGGTGGTGGGAGGTGGGTGGGAAGAGATTCTGCTGTTCTCGAGTGAGTTTTGCTGTTTGGAAATGCTGGGTGTTTCTAGTTGGCTTACCGGTAGAGTATGGCCGGCTACTCAGTCGCTTCGGGGCAGCGGAGAAAGAGTTGAGTCGCGAAGTAGAGGGGGAGGAAGGAGAGGGGATACGAAGAGGAAAAGGTTTCAAAGACCGACGGAGCATCATATAAAAAGTATTAAAGAGCGAAAAGATTAAAAATCCAAATCTATGGAGATCTAGAAGGCGAAGTTGTTAAACAGTGGTCGAGGGCGTCGAGTGGATTTTGATTTTGCCTCGGCATCGTCAACTTCACCGAGTTTTATGTTCATAAATTTTGTATTAATTCTTTTATCATCAGAAGGCGATTCATCGCTGTGGTTATTTCTATAACGTTTTAATCAAAAGTCGAAATACACATATGTGTGCAGGCTGCGTAGGTAGTGGATTTGGTAGCGGTATATATCAACAAGCCGACTGTATACTACAGCAAATTCCCGAATCGCAAATAGTATGAATTGGCTATAATATCCTAGCCTGGTGATATGAATCTATCTCTATTCCGAGATGCCAGAAAAAGAATCAACCTCCTTTGATCATCCTCTTCATCCGTATCTTTAATGTCAACAATATCCTGAAAATGGCTAGAATAGTTCATGCTCGACTGGGACTACCGAGATGAAGATGACCACTCGCGTTTGCTTCATCATATAATCAAGCACCGAGGGTTCGATCACACTGCCTACGCCCGGAATCACAAAGGAATGGAACTGGTCATGATCCGCCGAAAGACCGAAAATGGGACACTCCATGTTAGCCACGTACGGACGCTGTTTATAAACCATACCCACACAGGTGAGACACTGCCGTACCCCGGCGATAGACTGGCCCTCCATTGTTTCCACAACAATCAAATTGATGGCCATATCCGTTCTTGATTCTAGGCCAGGCTAGAGCGAATAACCAGGCAAACCACGCAGATATCTCTCGACTCATTGGGAGATAAATTCCCCCCAAGAAAAGTCGAGGCTTGTCGGTTATTTAAATTGGAGGTTAGGTGGCAGAATTTGAATGTCAAATATTGATAGAATAATCGAACGATGAAGTGATGCAAAAGTCGCCGGTTGTCTTACATCTGGATGCCCTTGAATGTTTGAATAATAGTCCCTACACATAACTAGCTTCTCTTGATCTTCATATATAATCTGTGACGGATGTTATACAATTGCTTTTTGTAGACAAGATGATTTAAAAATACCACGGAATAATATATCTTTTGGGATGTTCCATCTTGTCTAGGCTGTTTCTTAATCCCATCAGTCCGAGTACTTGAGTCCTACCAAAGCGCAATACTTTTTGCACTACATGAGACATGCCCCCAGGCTCATGGAAATATGCACGCGGAATGCAACAGGGATTGACAGGGATCGCCAGGGGCACGCATACCAGGCAGGCGCGGGTTGAAGGGAGGTGCATACGTTGAGCATGTATATAAGTACCAGACCTTCCCCAGGCGCTCATCTTTATTCAACCTAGACCATGCCGCCATATCTATTGCTATTGCTATTATTAAGCCGCCCCCTAGTCCATGCTGCAAATGTCCCTCCAGTGGAGGATTACGATGTCCTACAATACATCAATCCCTTGATTGGCAGTGCCAACGGAGGTAAGTTCCAACAACCAATACTTACGTACTACTTCATACCAACCAATTCTCCCAGGCAATGTCTTTCCGGGTGCATCACTACCATACGGCATGGCGAAAGCCGTCGCCGACACAGACTCAGGAAGTAACCAAGGAGGTTTCGCCCACGAGAATGGCAGCGTCACCGGATTCTCCAGCATGCACGACTCCGGCACTGGAGGCAGTCCTTCGTTAGGGAATTTCCCACTCTTTCCCTATGCAAAATGCGCCGGCGACGATGTTAATGGCTGTGTTTACCCGAAGAATCAACGAAAGACAAAGTACAAGTCCGAGTCGGTCCAGGCGCACCCCGGGTACTTTGCCATAGAGCTGGCATCGGGGGTCCGGGTTGATATGACAACTGCACATCACACGTCCCTGTTTCGCTTCCAGTTCCCAAATGATAATAGCACCAGTCCATTGATATTGCTGGATCTTACCGATCTATCAAACTCCCGTCAGGACAATGCGACCATCTCGGTAGATAGCACCACGGGCCGTATGACCGGTGATGCACGGTTCGCTCCTAGTTTTGGGTCTGGATCGTATGTCTTGCATTTCTGTGTGGACTTTGCAAGCCCTGCGGCCCAGCGAGACAGTGGTATCTTTGTCAATTCGCGTGCCAGTGCTGGTGTTCATGACTTGAAAATCTCACGCAGTATCAATGGATACCCACTTCCAGTGAGTTGATGAGCTTTCTTTTGTGTACAGGGAGCGCTAACTGTAACTCCGAAGGGTGGTGGGTTTGTCCGCTTCAAGCCTTCCACGGACAACACGGTCCTTGCTCGAGTTGGCGTCAGTTTCATGGGCACAGAGCAAGCTTGCGCCCATGCTGAATCTGAGATTCCACACTTCGACTTCAATGCAACCCGTCAGGCCTCAATCGACCAATGGACCGAAAAGATGCGTCCGATCCGTGTTTCACGAACGGATATCGATGCCTCCGTTTTGTCTAATTTCTATAGTGGAATATACAGAACTATGATAAACCCTCAGAACTATACTGGCGAGAATCCGCTCTGGCAGAGCAGCGAGCCTTACTTTGATTCATTCTATTGTCTTTGGGATTCATTCCGTTCTCAAATTCCATTCCTCACTATCTTCGATCCTTCCTCGGTAGTTCAGATGGTCCGCTCACTCATCGATACCCAGCGCCATCTAGGCTGGCTACCAGACTGCCGCATGTCCCTGTGCAAAGGATATACACAAGGCGGCTCTAACGCGGACAACGTCCTGGCAGATGTCTACCTAAAAGGCCTCAGAGGTGGAATTGATTGGGATGCCGGGTACGCAGCTGTACAAAAGGATGCCGAGGAGGAACCATACGACTGGTCTAGCGAAGGCCGCGGTGGTCTCCGCAGCTGGAAGGATCTACACTATATACCAGTGGAAGACTTCGACTACGAGGGATTCGGCACGATGACCCGCAGCGTCTCGCGCACACTCGAGTATTCGTACAACGACTTCGCCATCGCACAAATGGCTCGCCGCATGAACAAGACAGCCGATGCAGAGCGGTACGAGAAAAGATCCCGAAACTGGCAAAACCTATTCAAGAAGGACCAAACTTCTCTCTGGAAAGGAAACGACACTGGCTTTACCGGTTTCTTCCAACCAAAGCATCTGAATGGAACATGGGGAGTCCAAGATCCCCTCGCATGCTCGAACATCGACGAGAGCGGGCGTGCCTGCTCACTGCAAAACACCGCAGGTGAAACATTCGAATCCAGCATCTGGGAGTATCAATTGTAAGCCTCTCCTCCTCACTCCCAATCTCTTCTAACACAACTTCTAGCTTCGTCCCCCACGACATGCAAACCCTGGTAGCCCTCCTCGGCGGCCCGGCCAAATTCGTCACTCGTCTCGACTACCTCCACGACCAAAACATAACCTACATCGGCAACGAGCCCGCCTTTCTAACAGTCTTTCAATACCACTACGCCGGTCGCCCAGCGAAATCTACCTCCCGCGTGCGCACCTATATCCCCGATTATTTCTCTCCCACCCCAGCCGGACTCCCAGGCAACGACGACTCAGGCGCAATGGGCTCATTCGTCGCCATGGCGATGATGGGCTTATTCCCAAACCCAGGACAGGACGTGTACCTACTCACAGTACCGTTCTTCGAGACCGTTAGTATTGTCTCACCGCTGACGGGGAAAACGGCAACAGTGAGGACGACTAACTGGGCTGAGTATAATACGCCTAATGCCACTGGTGCTGCTGCTGGTGGAAATGGGTTTATTCAGTCTGCTACGCTGGATGGGAAGCCTTGGACGAGGAATTGGATTGGACATGATTTCTTCACAGAGGGCAAGGATTTGGTTCTTGTTCTTGGGAAGGAGGAGAGTGATTGGGGCACTAGACCGGAGGATTTGCCGCCTTCTTTGGCGCCGGAGACTGGGGTTGGGGCTGGTGAGAAGGCTGTGAGGGGCCGTATGTGGGATAGTATTGTTGAGGGCGGGAATGTTGGTGCTGTTTCTGGTGCATCGAGGCATGTTTTGCATTTTGATCATCATGTCCGTAGGGCTGGAGATGGTCATGTGGATACAGGAAGCTTGGGCTGATCGAGGGCTCTGCTGCTTTTTTGTAGTTGCTTTTTAATACTTCGTATTCGGTAGATAGTCTATCATTATATCCATTCCATTGCCTTGGATGTAGAATTCTTGCTTTAATCCAGAAATTGTGAGTAGGTATTGAGTAGTTTATGTCTGTCTACATCTCACTCAAAGTCACCATTCAGGGTGATAGTCAAGATAAAAATATATTTATGCAAGAATAGCTGTCATAACATGAGAAGTTATCAGAAAACAGTCTTTTGATATGATGAATATCAGTCGTAAAATCGGAACATATATACAAAGGCCAAGTAATAAGTCATCTCAACGCTAGTCTTTCGCGGGGGTCCCTCCATTGTAAGGAACAAGAAACCGAAAATCACAAAATCCAATATAGAAATAGAAGAACAGTTGATCTTCTATCTTCTATTGGGGAGGACGATAGAACTTGCTGGTAATCCAAGGCATACCAACAACAGTAGCCTTGCGGACCTTATTGCGGACCTTAACAGCAAGCTCAGTACCCTTGGTGTGGAGCCCTTGCTTGACATACGCCATAGCAATATTGGCACCACCAAGCGACGGGCTGGGCAAACCTGAGGTGACAACGCCGACCTCAACTGGGTTTGCCGGGTCAGAGATATCGACGACAAGAGCGCCCTCACGAGCTGGGGGACCCTTCTCAACGGAAAGTCCGACGCGACGCTGTGGGATAGTCTTGGGGCTGGCGAGTTGGGAAAGGATAGTAGAAGCACCGTTGAAGGTAGCAGTTGCAGGATCGCGACGATCACGGCCGACGACCCAGCCAAGGGCCGCGGCAGGCGGGGTCTGCGCGGTAGAGATATCATGGCCGTAGAGGCACATGCCTGCCTCCAGACGGAGGGAGTCACGGGCTGCCAGACCGGCGAGACGAGATTTGCTGCTGTCGGCAAGGAGGAGCTCAG